AAATACAGTGGTGCTTCGCATAACGAATATCCCGCATAACAGTCATTTAACGCATTACGAACCGCATGGTAATGTCATGTCATATTTATCAGCATTATATAGGTTGTACCGTAAATGTTACCACAAATTTCTAGAGGCGGCAGGGCACATAAGGATTAAGAATTGCATAGGAACCTATACCCGGAAATGTCAGGGGTAAGTGGTGACAGAGGTAGAATATGGGAAAAGAAGCAGTAGTGATTAATTTGAAACATTTATTAGACATGAATACAAATGGTGTACGACAGCTTGAATGTTACACAGATGCTCGATATTTGCACCATCAGACGTCAAATGTGCTCTTGACACTAACGGACCATTGAATGCCTCGAATTATTTGATCTTTCTGGAGGAGTTTCTTCCCGATTTGCTTGACGATGTTCCATCAAATGTGATTCCAACGTGATGGGGCCCCTGCTCATTTAGGACTAGATGTCCGTAGTCATTTGAACAGATCGTTTCCTCATCGATGGATTGGGCGTGGTGGGCCAGTTCCCTTGACCCCCCACGCTCCTCGGATTTATCGAGCCTTGATTTCTTTTTGTGAGAAGCCGTCAAAGTGTCGTGTGTCATGATCCTGTTGTATCTGAAATGGATCTCGTGGCAAGACTCGCCTGCACAGCTGCTACAATCAAAGAAACTCCTGGTGTGTTTGAACAATAAATGGTCCTTCGGTGTCAGGCATGTTTGGCGTCTGATGGTGAAAACTTCGAGCATCTGTTGTAACATTCAAGCTGTCGTACACCATTTGTATTCATCTCCAATATAAATGTTTAAAATTAATCACTCTTGTTTCTTTTCCCATCTTCTACCTTTGCTACCACTTATCCTGACATTTCCGGGCATGGGTTCCTATGCAATTCTTAAACCTTATGATGTGTCCTACCTCTCCTAGAAGTTTGTCGCAACATTTCCGGTACATCCTCTATATTACGCTAAACTCAGACTTAAATTTGTATTAGTTTCTGCTTATCCGACCCACAAGTGCAGAGAGCACATCTGTTTCTAGATAGATACAGAAACCAAAGGGAAAGGAGAAGTAAACCTATTTCTTAATATTATATTCCCAATGAAGAACTGTTAGCTCTTCTTCAATAGATCATCAGCTGCTGAGCAGTGAAACCGCTGAGCACATGTAGTTCGTTTTGGATTCAAAATCTGTGTAAATGTGCTGGCTGCGTAGGACTTTTCGTGGTTTTGCTTCATGTAACATGAATCCGAGTTAGTATCCCTGAGTATCCCCGAGTTAAAAACCTTCCACGATTCTCTTGGGCAGATAGCCTTCGTATTCTTTGCCTTAATCTAAATAATCCAATCCAGTTCTTCAGCAGCAGTTTTATAGTGGTCACATTAATGTCACCGCTACCTACTTTCGATGTGATCGTGAAATAACCAATCACTGGGAATGATCATTAGCTTTCGTGCCAAGGGTGGAACTATTTCCGAAACGGCTAATTTTGTAAACTGGTCCTGTGCCCCCGTGTTTAACGTATATCATGCATGGTAAAATGTCACTATCCAAAATCAGAAACGTGGCAAATGTCGTGCACCACGGGCCATAGATGACAGAGGTGAACGACGGCTGCGGAGATGCGTTCGAGCGGATAGACATGCAACCGTTGAGCAACTGACCACCCAGGTGAACCGAGGAGCTACCAACAGTGCCTCCTCAACAACGGTTCAGCAAACGTTGCTGCGCATGGGCTTCTGCAGCAGACGCTTATCTAAAACACCTATGGTGACTGCAGTTCGTCGGCGACGAAGGCTGGAATTTGCACTTCAGTATCGCAACTGGACGTCCACTGAGTGGCGACAGGTGGCTTTTTCCGGTGAATCACATTTATGCTCCATCGAACAGATGGACTTTGTCATATGCGGCGTAAAACGTCAGAAAGCAACTACCCTGCAACAATTGCCGGAAGGGTCCAAGCTGGAGGAGGGAGTATTATGGTCTGTGGAATGTTTTCGTAGCATTCTTTAGGTGCACTCATCATTGTAGAAGGCATGATGGATCAACAGAAATGTGCATCTGTTCTTGCGGATGATGTCCACTCCTACATGCGAATTTTTCAGAATCTACCAGTTGGACAATGGGAAGTGTCATACAGCTCGCAGTGTACGTGCGTGGTTTGAAGAGCACTAGGATGAGTTTACCGCACTCCACTAGCCAGCAAACTCCCCAGACTTAAACTCAGTCGAGAATCTATGGGATCACCTTGATCGGGTTGTTAATCAACAGCATAACCTAGCGTAGCTGGCCAATGCTCTGGAGTTGGCATGGCTCAACATCCCAGTGAACACCTTCAAGAATTTAATTGACTCTCTTTCTGCACATCTCACAGTGGTTCACTGTGCAAAATGTGGTTATTCTGGCTTTTCATAGGTGGTCACATTAATATGACTGTGAACTTATATTATTATAAAAGATCAAGCAATTGTACATCGGTATCGTTGAGGTCCAAGTATCTTTGTCTCAAAGGGTAATTATATGTAGGAGATGGTGTACTTCCCAGGCGTCTCCTATTAGATAAATGGTTTATGATGGATGTCGTAATCTGCAATAATAGCAATATCAAACAAATATAAAAGACACGTGGAAGATATAATAGGAAAACTGCATATTTGTGAAAATTTCTAATATAACAATAAAAGGTAAATTTTCAAATGAATCTTGAAGCAGTTTTGATTTGACATTCAAAATTTGAGAAGATGGAAAGTAAATGTAATAAGTTACTTCTCTGAGGTTGATAAAATAAAAAAGGGGAAGTTATATCACAAGTTCTGTAGTTTAGTGCAAATGATATGTTGCTCGACTTAAACACACATCTCATTCAAATTTAATTATTTAGCATTCCTTCAATAATAGTCTTCAATTTTTAATATAGTTATAAAATTGCAAAAGCTGCTCGTGTATAGTTGCAGTTAAATTAAAATATTTAATATATATCATTGACAAAGGTCATTATAAATTTTGTCAGTAAAGTTGAAGGAAGGAAAAAGGAAACCAGTGGCATAGCTAGGATTCCAGTGCCCGGGGACAACTGAAGAATTTGTGCCCCTTTCTGTGTACCAAGAATAGGAAACATTTCATTAAAAAAATTTCATAGCATCAATTTGGCTCCACCTGGATGCTGCGCCCCCCTTGCCCCACCCTAGCTATGCCACTAAAGGAAACAGATACTCTTGTAATAAAACTGAATAATTTCAAGAGAGACATTGTTTCTATGTTATTACTGCTTAATTTTACTCAAATTTCAATTTACTGCCAAATTAAGATAGGTTATCCAAATATGACAAAACACAAGAGGAGGATAACTGAGGGATACTTTTAAGACGTTTTTAAGATCGTTCATTATGTTCATCGATTGGTTACTGGCTCATATTTCATGTTACATATAGGGAAAATCAACCATGCAGGCAGCCCGTCCACCTGAGTTCGCACCCAGGTCAAACTACCAGTATTCAATATCCACTCACTTACACTCGGCCATTGGTAAGGCAAACTTGCTGCCAAATGTTTTTATTGCTTAAATAAATATATACCTCTGAAATCTGTAAATAAAAAACATTATAATTATGGGGGAATATGCTTAAAAATGCCTACTACAAATTTTTATTGATTATAATTTTAAAATTTTTATTGATTATAATTTAAAAATTTGTAATATTATTTAAAATAGAAATTTAAAAAAATCAGAAGATTACAGATTTTCGAATTTTCTTTAAATTAAGCGAAAATTCCAGATTATGCCAAAAAGTTATTTAAATATATTTAATTCAATAACTAAATATTAATTACATTTAATTAAATTAATAAAAATTTAATTGATTAAAAAATATAAACACAATTCAGTTAAAGCTGCGGAACTAAAATTTTGAGTGATAGTCTTAAAAAAAAAACCATTAATGCAATTTTTACAAAATTTTAAAGTTTACTGTAATTTTAGATGTAGAATCCAATATGCAAACATTTCGGCATGTCATATCAGAAGTCTTATTTTGTATCAATATTGTAAAGCATTGTATATTATTGTATATCTTAAAGTATTATATATCATTGTGTATTGTATATTATTATAAATATTGTAATGTTGTATCAAGTTGTAGAGGCATTAGGTTTATTTTGGAAGCAGGCAAGATGAAAAATTAGCAACGCCTTCACCGGAAATCGAACCATGGACCTCTGGAATACGCGCCCAGTGTGCAGACCACCACACCACGAAGGCATGCCAAGAAGGCGGGAGAAATACCTTATATACTCCCCCTTTTAAAGGGCAACTGGGGTTTTTAGGGAACCCAATTGCCAAATTCTGGGTGGGGAGGATCATCATCGACCACTCTTTTAGTTTGGGCACCACAGTAAAGACATTAGATATTTTTTGGAAGAAGGCAAGATGAAAAATTAGGAACCGCCTTGGCCTGGAATCGAACCGCGGACCTCTGGAACATGCGTCCAGTGTGTAGACCAACACTCCACAAAGGCATGCCAAGAAGGTGGGAGAAGAACCTTATAAAGTATTGTAATCTAATGTATGTCATTCTTTTGAGATATGAAAAAATGAGTTCATTCGATTGGTAGCTAAAATGGAAGATATACAACCTTTCTTTTTATTTCCTTGAGGATGAGGAGGGGGGAACAATTATACTTTTTCATAAAATATTCAAAAAAATGGCCTACTGTAAAATATTGAGTTCAATCAGTAGAGGTCAGCGAATTAAATAGAGTAAAGGATTGCTGTATTACAGAATGAAAGTTTTGCTTTCACTTTTTATTTATCTCTTAAGAAGAAAGTGAATTAAAATTAATGTATTTAATTGTATTAAAACATAAGAGTAAGTATATTACTTAACTATTTTATTGATTATTTTATTTATTATTATATAACATTATTCGGCTATTAATGATTTTAATTTTCTATGTTTTAAATGTAAAGGAAATTATTAAAAAAATTTTTTTTCAGTTACTGTCACATCAAATTCAGATTTCGATGAATTATTAATTACTGGTCTGTACACAACATCTGCCGAAGACGCAGGCAACACGGTGGATCTGAAAAATAAATATGCGGTTACAAAACAAGTGGATGGAAAAAGCCTCACTTGTGCTATGGTAAATATCCACCACACTCCCACAAGGCGTTACAAATCAGTAACATTTATTTGGAACTCTCCCAAACCTGGTTCTGGATGTGTTAATTTCATGTAAGCATTACAGTTATACTATATAAACAGAGTTCTAGTTTTGATTTTGAAATAATATTTGCCCTAAATCTCTGGTATATCCCTTTTCTTTCAGTTAAGCTCTACAGCAAAGCTTATTATTTCTTATCAGGTTTTATATTTATTACTTTGTTAAAAAATAGTAATTTCAATTTTTTTGTACCATATGGACCATTGTGGTATATGGAAAGTTTTGTTATTATAAATTATTGGTTATAGATTAAATTTATTATATATACAGAATCAGGTATTGTGAAAAAATGATAAAAAGAAAAAAAAAAATCTAAAAGATTTCGGATTTACCAGTTTGCTCTTTTTGCTCACTCATGCTAACCCTTTTTCCCCCCTCCCTCTTTTCAGTTTTATTATTAGGCATCCACACTTGCACTACATACAGTTCAAGAGAAAAATCACAAGACGTTTAAAAGCAGCATATGTTCGGAATTCCTAATGCTGTGTTAAGTGCTGGCATATATTTTTTCAGTCTTTTTCTCAGTACATATTATCAGTGTTCAGTTTCCTTAGTAAGATAGATTGCTTACAGATTTTTTTTTTTTTTTTTTGTGTGTGTGTGTGTTATTAGAATGTAACATTTTTTGTATTTATTTTATTTATTAAATACCACATTCTTCACACTTACTCCACAAAAATTCCAATTTAACAGCAAAATCACAAAATATTTAAAAGCACTATGTCTTTAGAATTTCTGGTAGGCTGTTTCAAGTGCTGAAGATAAAAATATTTTATTCCATTCAGTGTTGCAACTGCTTGTTTTCAAGTCATTGAGTTTATCAATCAAAAATTCATTAAAGTTTTACATAATATAAAATAAATAATAAAAGAAGTGTATAATATTATTCTGGGAAAATATTGAATATTTTTAATTAGATAGATAAAAATTAAATGCATTTTGATTATTTAAATCAATCCAATTCAAAAGTAAGAAACGAATATTCTTAACAATTGCATTTATTGCTTTCAAATAGCTTAGTCTGTTAATTCTCAACAGAGAGATTTAATTTAAAAGATAAATATCTTACATTTAGCCATGAAATGTGAAAGGATGTATTTATAGTGATTCCATGGAAAATTCCATTTCCAGACTAATTGCCCTCTTAGGCTAATGGTATGTTCTATGAGTTACATACATCAAATTGCATAAAAGTATCAGAGTGAAATTTGTAAAAAATTGTAGTTTCTAAGTGAAGCATGAAGAATTGGATAATTTTGCAAAGTGTAAATTTGTGGAAATATTGAGAAAGCAGTTTGGAAACAGTGAAATCATTTCAGTGAGTTCAAAAGTTATATATTGGTTCAAAGTGTAAGCAATATGCAAAAAATCATAAACCATTCTACTCATTTAGAAGTACACAGAGAAAAAAAAAACTGGCAATAAAATCAATATAAAATTAGAAGGGTAAACATGAATTTATAAATATAGTTAGCTATTCAATGCTATTTTGGGAAATTTCTATTGATTATTTTTTTCTGAATCAATATAGGCATTTGGCACTAGGTAAATTAGTTACAATTGCTGTCATTCTTTTTTAAATATGTAAAATCATTTGCAATCTGTTTCAACCCAATAATCCAAGATTGGTAGATTTCCCTTGTTAGACCTTGGCACTAGCATGTTTTGCCATAATCATGCAAACAACAAACAAAATACACGTTGAAATTTGCATAATACTGCAATGAAGTTTTTGTTTTCATCTTCTCCACCAATAGGTCATAGGGAAATATTTTATTTTATTTGTATTGTGGTTTGGTATGCTTAATTATTGTAAAGCACAAGAGGGATATCTGGCTGAAGGTAGGGCTGCTTTCATGGAGAACTTTCTAAGGAAAACTGAGTCATATCCACATTATGCATGATAGAATCAGTGGTTAGTGATTTTGCTGCTTGAACACTGCTGAGCCATTTTTCACTGTTGCTTGTGATGCACTGTTGCATATAACTTAGCAAATGAAAGCTGGAAAAATTGTAATTTGATAAACTCTTGTATAGCTTTAACAAATGATGAGTATTATCTTAAGTATCTTGTGTGCTACGTTTTAATGATATTTATATTAATTAGTACCCCGTTGTTTATCTAACATTTTCTGAATCTTAGTTTTGTCTTAATTTGTTAAGAAATGAAATAGCAGCATTTGAAATAATCTAAGTAAATGGAATTCATTATAATGTAAATTTTATGTCTATTATTTCTTCTAGGGCAACTGCTGCTTTAAATGATCAAGTATTATTTAAGGATACATTAGTTTTTCAGTTGTGTGAAGCTGATGGTATGTTGTTTTATAATATATATATTTTTTACTTTTAAGAAATTATATTAATGATGAAATATAATGTAACTATTTACTACAAATATGCTGCAAAATTTTAAATTAGTAACAAGCTGAATGTTATGAAAACAAATGAAAAGAGGAGGTCATAAACTCAAGACTTTATCTATTAAATGGTATTAAATGCTTCCTGCTAGAAAGAAACCCTTTTTGATTTAAAGAATTTAATGTCTGTTTCTTTTAAGATAATCCTGTATTTACCAGAATGTTTTATTTGTTTAAATATAAAATTTTAAGTTATATACTACACTGTGTTGCATCACAGTGGCATTTTCACTCCTTAATGTACATCTTGCCAGACTTACAGTCTCCTTCTCACTTCCTTCTTTTATCATTGATGCCACAGAGATTATTATATTATACCGTATAATGCCATTATTCTCTAATCTAATTCTGGTATTTCCATGTCAATATGTATATATATATTTTCATGTCATGTTATAGTCATTCAGTTCTGCAACAATGTGTCAGTTTTGTGTTGGAGTTAGTCTGGAACAGCTAAACCTCACTAAGCACAGGTTGTGATAAACAATATGTTTTTCTTTTCTTTTCTTTGAGGGTGGGTGGGGAAGAATGCTTATTGAAATTAATAGCAATTTCATGCATTATAGTTCATCTATGGCTCGTTTTCAATAATGTTACCAGTATGAACTTCACTATCGATGCCATGTTACTTTCTGTCAGTGGAAATGTATCTTAAATGGTATTCATGACACACTCTTAGTATTATTAGTACTGATTGCCAACCGAATTCATTAATGGTTTTTGAAACTGTATGGATTATTTTTCAAGTACCAGTAATCATGCAACAGATTCAAGTAATTCTCAGAATACAGCTATGCTGAATGGGAACAGATGTGGCAAACACACTGTGTTGTTTTGGTAAGAAAAACAAGTTTTTGTAAAATTGTTAGGCCTAGTAGGCAAATTAAAAACAAAAACTTGACTAATTAATATAATGTAAAAACAAAGCACTAACTGTTCGGAAAAAGGAGAAAAGTATTAAAAACGTTAGTAAAAATGTAAAAAATTAATTTTTGACAAAAAGCACAGCAGAAATGAGAAAAATAACCAAACAAAAATATACAGAAATAATTAAAGCGTTTAAACAAGTTGTCATACAAAACAAAATCTCGATAAAATTGCATGGTTACCATGCTAGATGAAAAATTGTCATATTTGGTGCAGGGTGCATCTGGCACATCTGTTCTACTAAATGTACAACTGGGTAGAAATAGATCCTTTATTTTTTCAGATATTGCAGTATTATCTTGCATTTGACATTCAAAGCATTATTCTCTTACAGATGTTGTAGTTTTTCCTTTCATGTTATTCCCAAATCTTTTCCCTTTCAATGCATTTCAAATTTTGAGTTTCTGCTCTTTAAAAAATATGCAAGAAAATATTCATAAAATAATTGCATTGATTGGCATCAATAATAAATAAAATACACTCCTATGCAAAATTAAAAGAATTTTCAAATCATGTCTATGTTTATGAAAGGTACTAATTATAGATTTATATAAATATTCATAGTAGAATATGTATGTATCTGCACTTGTCTGTGGAAGCGCAAATACAAGAGTTGGGTAAATTTTATAAGGTATCAGGTAAAATGAGCAACTGTAAATGTATGGATGATGGAATGAGATAGAGAACTACTGATAGATTGGAGATATAGGTGAATCACAAATGCTTGTGGCTACAGAGCTCAGTGCAATGCCCTGTGTTATATGCAGTTTGTGAAAATAATTTCAAGAAACTAGATCCATATCAAGAAGACATGGAAAGGTTGACCAAAATCAACAACAACAAATGAGGATTATCATTTGGCACTTTCAGTGTGGCTGCAGAAGATTACTACAGCTTCACAGCTCTCATATGAGCTGAATGCTGCCACTGGAAGAGTTCATGGTGTGCAGTTGCTCGAAGGCTCCATCAGATAAGTCTGTATTCCAGAAGGTCTGTTGTTTGCATTGCATTAACTGCAGCACACAAGAGAACATGTTTAGTATGGTAGTAGCTGACAATGTGTTTAGTATGGTAGTAGCTGGCAATGTGTTTAGTATGGTAGTAGCTGACAATGTGTTTAGTAGCTGACAATATGTGCCTTAGATCAGACTATGCTTTTTTACAGATGAGTCAGTATGTAGTTTGGATACTGGTTCTTCCCATCCTGTACCTGGAGAGATCTTGGAGCACGATACTAGCCCTCCTTTATCAGGGGAAAGAATCATTACAGTGGTGATGGTGTAATGGTTTGGGCAGCATTACATCAGATGACCCAGACCTCTGCATGTGTTTGAAAAAGGCTCCCTGACTGGAAAGATCTGAGAGCCCTACATTGACTTCTCAGGACATAGGGTGCAGTTGGTCCTGGACAACAAAGCTCACCCACATAGGGCTTAACTGGTCAACAATTAGCTGGAAAGTGAGGATATTCACCTCATGGATTAGCCAGCCAGATCTTCTGCCCTTAACCCTATAGAGGATGTCTAGGATACTCTTAGGAGGACAGTTTCATCTTGCCATCCCTATCCAAGAACCATCCTGGGGTTGAAAACTATATTGCTGCAGGACTTCTCAACTGCCTCCAATCCAGTATGCCATCACACTGCACAACCTGTCTGACTGTAAAAGGAGACCATACCCCATATTGGATTTATATTCAGTTTTGAATCACAGCATGGATTTTGAACATCCCTGTATTATAGGCTCAACTGATAATCATACATACAATACAATAATCATACCCTCTGCTTACTGAAGCCTTCATAAGTATGCCAGCCCACTGTATTGCATTCTGCTTTCTACATCTTTTAGAAGATATCATATAGTGTTGTCTTTATCATCAGTGAAGCCAAGATAACTGAGCTTGAGTTACTGTCCACAGATGAGTTCAAGTTCAGTTTAAATAGAGATTCTGAGTATATTTTCATTTAGAAATTTTTATTTTAAAAATCTATAAAATTTTGCTACTGATGTTCTGTCTCTCTCTCATTTGCTTTCTGTGTTTGTATCAGTTTTGATAAGATTTTTCTGGGCTATTTATTTAGTTTTGGTTCTAACTTTTATTTTAGATTCATCAAAATTTCATGGAGCCCTGCAAATGAGTGTTGTGCATGATCCTGGTTTAGTATTAAGAGAAGACTTTGAAAGCAGTATTGAAGCCGATCCTTCAATCTGGTCTGAAATGATTAGTGGGGTTGTCAGTGAGCAGTGTGGATCTGTTCTTCAAGGAAAAGCTGCAACATTTTGTAGTGGTGTTGGCCCTAGATCACTAGTAAGTAAAATAGCAATTTTGCATAAATTTCTATACATATGAAAAAGAGGCTATATTACTTTAATATGTAATATAAATATATATTTTATCATTCAAACTGGTATTAATTTAAAATAATTTTAAAAGTATTATAAAATGTTGCTTGATATTTTCTGGGATAAATTTGTTGAGATAAGTTTATCTAACAAAGAAACCTTGGATTTAGAAATTTTGTGAAAGCTGTGTGATGTTACAGAGGACTGTAAATCATATATGTATCATATATATGTCAAATAAGTATGTTATACATGTGAAATTCTAATGTGGAACTCTTGGAAATACACTCATAATTTGCACTATCCACCAGCAAAGCTTTTTTTGTCAATATTGTGAATTCTTTTATTATGAAATTAAATTTATTTGTGAGAAATATTTTTAAAGGAAAACAACAAAAAATAGTGCTAGCTAAAGGTATCATGGAAAAAAAAAAATTTCACATTTATTTTTTTCTAATTTACTGCATTTTTCTACAAATTCATTTATATTTGCTAAATATAATACCAATGAAAAGTGATTTTTTAATACAAAAAATGTTACTTTAAGTTAAATAGTGCTAATATTTTCTAGTGCTTTTTTCTTTTTCTTTTTTTTATTTTGTAGTTCTCTTTCTTGGAAGAATTATGTTGCATTGCATCTTCCTTGGTCATCCTTGACCCCTCTGAGTGGCATGACCAACTTTATCTGGTCATGAAAATTTTTTGCTATTTGCCACATATTAGCTTATAATTTAAGATATTTTCTTTAATAATGTAAATACCATCTTAATGAATATGATGAAGTTTATGAAAATAGAGTCTAAAATAAACAATTGTACAAATTTAGCTAATAAAGGCTGTTTAAATACAGATAATAATCCTGCACCATTTAGAGGGTTAAATAAAAAAAAATTAACATTTTGTTTTAAGAAAATACTCTAAAACAGAGTTTCTTAAACTGTGGGTCACATCTCCGGGGGGGGGCATGGGACCTGCAGCAAGAATTCGCCAAAAATTTTAGCAGTTTTGATATTTCTTCTTATAATAATTTTACAATTACCAAATATTTTTACGCAGTGTACCTGAAAATAGATAAAGATAAGGCAACACCAACAAAGAAAAAAATGAAAACATTTTGATGCATTCTTTTTATAATATAAACATTTATTTTACTTGCTTTGCATGTTACGTTGTCATTTTGTCTGTTATTCATTTAAAATTTTCATATTGTTCTGTGTCTTAAAATTAGAAATTAAAAAGTTAATTCAATAGTATATTGCAGTGCAAGTGAAAAAATTGACAGTTTCACTCACACGTGTGTCGGATTTGCGCAATGCTTATGGGGTCCCACAAAATCTTTGTAATTGCTATGGGGTCCTGGGATCGCGAAAAAATATCAGTGACAAAAGGGATCGCGCCTGAAAAAAGTTCAAGAAGCCTTGTTCTAAAACATGCCCTACTCACAGCTATTATCATCCTCAGTCCTCAGAAACTCTTTAACACACAGTCTACTCACATCTTTTATCTCGATGAATAAACTAATTAAATGATCATAGTTAATCTAAATGTCAGTCCAACTTACAAGTGTAAGAATCATAAATAATGATAAATATAATAAGAATAATTGAAATTACATCACAGAATAAACAACATCGCATAGAACAATAATCATCTAACACAACTGCATTATATGTCTTAATTGACAAATTAACAATTTTTGCACTACTAATATTGCCTTGAAGAACAGTGGAAAATGTTATGATTAAAAATTCATAACAAATTACTTTCATGATTTGCCTTTATTTACTTAAAATTACTTTTCATAAGTAAAATTTTTCCAAAATAAAGTGCCATCAAAAGATTAAATAGTTTTAATATAATAGAGCACTCCCAGCTTACAGTGGCAAATATAAAAGGCTTAACTTAATTAGGTATATCATATCACTAGCTTTATATAAAAGTGCATTGTCTCTTTCACAGCTTTCACAAATAGTTCGTCCAAAATTATACCCTTCTAAACTAACTAGTTGCATGATGCTTTATATTTCTCCTCAAGTACATGAATTATTCCATACATCAGGTTTTAATGAAAGTTTCCCCAACACTGCAAGTATTGTCAGCACAAAGAATTCGCATTGGTGTGTTTAATGATATTTTGTCAAACAATTTTTGGCATTTGAAAGAAAGAGACTTGCTTTAGAACAACTGCATAGTGAAATTTGTAAAAAATTTCATTAGCACCCCACAATTTTTTGTAGCATATCACATTTTTTTCAGACAAGTGATGACATAGAGAACAGAGCAATGCAGCAGCACATCTTAGTGAGAAGGCAGAAAAAAGTTGAGTGTACATTTATGCAAATTGTATTCATAGAGTTGAATCCTTTGGTTAAATTTTTAATGGTGATTGTACGAGAGCTAACCATATTTAAGAAAATAAGATTGCATAATAAGGATTAGTTTTCAAGGGATGCAGTTTAGATTCCAGGAACGGGACGTAGCCAAATTAAAATGAGGAATTGAAAGAACTATTGCTAAATTAAAGTTAGCAATTTTCTTTCATATTTTATACCTTCTACATTCCTCATCTCAAAGAGAAAAGGCTTAGCGATATTGCCAAGTGTAGAGCATTAGCAAATGAAGATAAATTTTGTACACTGTACTCAATTTATTCTTCTTCAATAAGAAAAATGATTTTCTTCAATCCTTTAGGTTTCACTATGCCCTGTCATTTCGTTCATGAATTTCCTTATATCTTAAACATATCATAACATACATATATAACAACAAAAAGCTACAAAGAATAAGAAAGAATTACAAAGAAGTAGAAAGAACTACTAAGAAGTAATTTGGAAAAAAAAATTTAAATATTATATATTAATCTAAACTAAATGTGCAGTTTAATTTTTACGAAGTCTGTAACTCCATTTTCTCTAAAAATATAAGTTTTTATAGCTCTTGAAATGTTCTGTCAAACCGTCATAAAGATTATTCTAAATTTGAAATTCATATTTTTCCAGAAATAATTGAAAAAAAATTCACAGTTCTTGAAAATATAATGTAAATTGTACAATTCTTTTTTTGAAAGTCTTTCATAAAAACTGTTGCATTAAATATAAAACTGAAATATTGCTGTTATATATACAGATATATCTATAACTATATATATATATATATTTATTTCTAAAGAAGTTAAAAAAACTGTAAAATCATCGACCAGAAGGACAACAAGTAAAGGTAAAATTGGTTGACATTTACCTCTATACATGTGAAAGTATTTAACTAATACTAAAAGTACAGTATCAGCTTTATTTGCAGTAGTTCCTTCATTGCATTTTTAAAAAATATTTATATGAACTAAATTTCATAAAGCTTATGTATTCATTAAAGTAATGTAGTAATATCAGAAATATCCTGAATTAAATAGTATCTTTTTTCTAGACTACTGTGCCTTTAAATACAACAACTGCTTCAACACTGCAATTTGCATTAGGTGAGAACTTTTTTAATTTAATTATTTTATTGGTTTTTATCTTACGTAAAAGTCTATAATTATGAAAGTTACTTTTCTTAGGTATATTTGGCCATATTTGAAAGCATAAACTTTGAATTTCTGTCCTTAGTGTATTTTTCTTATAACAAAGTTACCATGTGTAACAAGATTGGTTACATAAGCAGGAACTGTTAAAAGTGTCCCCTTCCTGATAAAAAGAGGAGAATGAAAAGTTTACTAAATTAACGTTATTCACCTGAATTATATTATTCATATTTTTCAGATGAATGAATAATCTTTAGAAGAGTTGTCTTATGTTTGTAACTTATGTAATTTGTTTTCTCAATTCCATTGGTTCAAGAAAAATTTTACTGATTATACTTCATTTTCCATAAGCTTACTCAAATTCTCGAAAAATCTGAAAGCAGCCATAAACAAATAGGCCTAATGATTAATTAATTTATATCACAAATGAAGTATTTTCAGTAGGGTGTAAAATGTTTTGTTATTTATTTAAATTAGCTTGAGAAAAAATTATTGCAATATAATTGCAACAAATGATTCTTCCATTAGGGACTGGAAACTGTAATATTGCAGTTGATGAACCTCCTATAAATGTATATTATGGTACAGAAAAGTGCACAAAATGGCATGAGCTGGAACAAATTAGGTAAGAATATTCTATTCTCAATATTTTATTTACTTCTTTATTTATTTTTGAGATTTCAAGGATATAGTAAACACTGTTTAACCTAAATTCTACCAAACAAACCTAGTAACAAAAAATATTGTAGAATCAGTAGGTTCCATCACTTGCAGTTTTTGAAATAATATTTTTCTCTGTTTCATTCTTTAGAAGCAAATATATAGTTTGTAATGAAAGCAAGTGATTTAAGAATAATGTTTTCAAAAACAGAGAACTGAAAAATGTCTTTTATCCAGGACATCAAATGCAGTAAAACTTATTAAACACAGAAACAACATTAACAACAGCATTTATTAAAAACAGAAACATTAAAAACAAACAACATTTATTAAAAACAGAATTATGAGGAACTAGTGCCATAACCACTTGGGGCAATTCCCGAATTTGTCACCTTTTGAGTACACACACACAAAAAGAAAAAATACTGCTGAATGTGTGAAGCATTATAATGCAAAATAAAAGCCCACCTATCTAACATTTAACTAGCCCAAAAGTAACGGGAATATTTTTAAATTTTAGAAACTTTTTCTTTTAAATGAAAAATTAAGCAAATGAGCAAGGCCTTCATATATCACATCTTGAATTATGATTCTGAATAAACAAAAAATGTTGCTTGTGTGATTAACTCCAATATAGAATAATCATAAGATGACTTTTGACTCGAACCTGATTAATTCTTAATAAGCCATTTTGTAGCTTTTGTCAAGAAGTATTATTACTATAGAATCATAAACTGATAACTGTTAAAAATTAATTAAAGTTTTTTTTTTTTTTTTTTTTTTTCATTTTTAACTCTTGCAAATAATGTTACAAATTGGCCATGTGGCCAATACTGAAGCCTGCCAATATGAATGAATATGAATTCTATACAATTGTGTGGCTAAGATCTACCTTTAGGAAATAATAATATTGATCATTATTTTTTGTAACAATCTGCATAGAAATGCTGGTCATTAAATCTCTTAACATCAGAAAAACTGATAATTTTTGGTAGTTTCATGCAAATGTAGACATTTCGTTCTTCGCTTTGTGTATGGCCCCTGAATATAATCTCCAGTTTTGAGATCAAATATGTTGGTAAATTTTTGTTATTATGTAGGATTTACACATTTTGTGTTTGATTTTTTATGAGTACATATTTTTCCTAAATATAAGTATAAGGCTTGAAGAGGTATATAAAAAGTTGGTTTCAATAATTTTTACAAATTGACTTCTCAAAATTTATAAAATGCCAAAGTATAAGCTTCATTCAAGACCTTTTTGTAAATGAAAGTATATGTCTACGACTAATAGTTGCAAAAATAAAAGTTCGGTAAGGATTTTATGGACATGTTGTATATTGTTTGTTATGATGTCCATGAGTTATTTGAAATAAATATTTTGTGAGCTATGGAATGTTGATGTTTCTTATAATAACTGCAGATAAGCTGGAAGAAATGAACAATTTATTATTTATTATGAAGCACAATAAATAGCACACACAGCACAATAGCTGGAAATTACTCAAAGAAAATGCAGATATTAAGTATTCCTTCTTAGTATGCAAAATTAGAGTCGACCCTAACTTAAAATTCAGCTAACTGCTAAATATCACAACTGATTCATGACTGAATTTTCAGGCTTTCTGATCTGTGCTTATGTACTGTTGCGTGGGCTGTGAAACTTTTGGGAGATTTGGTCTTAAGGCTTTGAAAAATGTGTTTTTGCAAATATTCCATAAAATTACCAAGTTGACAATTTCCCATTGCCAGATTGGTGGCAAAAATTGCTGCCAGAGAATAAAGAAAATGAATGATAAAATAAAGTAAACCCCAAAATTATCAACCTAAAACATAAATGAATAAAACACTACAAGAATGCAGAAAAACAAAGCATACATTCAGAAAGGATTCAGATATTTACAAATATTCACAACCTTATTATCCAAGATAAATCTACCCCAGTCAATTTGGAACAAATGGGGTGCTATTATAGCTAAAATAATATTTGAATGTAAGAAACTTTGATTTTCTAATTTTTTTTTATTAGTCCTTCATATATATAAGGATTATCTATTCCTGAAGTTGTGTTTAATTCTTTGAAACTGTATAAAGATGAAAAAGATAGACAGATTTTAATAAACATTTGAAGCAATTATTCTACATAATTTTATTTCTTAGGTTACAACCTGCAGTTCAAACAACAATACATATATTATGTTTACCTCCCTCTGCAAAATCAACTGATGTTTGTATTCAGTGGTATCAAGAGTCTGTAAGTGGTGGAGGAACTTTTAAGGGATGTTGGGCAATTGATAACATCATCATAAGCAGTGTCGCAGATCGTCCTAATCTGTTAGAAGAAAATTTTGATCCAACTGATCCTGGGAATTTCCTTTTTTTTCCTGGAGGAGTTATTGAGGTAAAAAACGAATAAAATATAATCAGTTTTAAACTTTACTGAACCAAACATCACTTTATTAGCAGTTTTAATTTTTTTTTAATGAGTGAATAAAAGTAATTTTTTTCATAGTTTTTTTTTGTTTCATATGTATTTATTATCATGCTGCATAATGATTAATTAATTGTAAATGAATTAGCTTTCAGAATGCTAGAAATTTATTTTAGCTCTTGTTAGTTTATTAGAGTTTGATTAAAATGGGAATGGTCTAAAACAGCGGTTCTCAACCTTTTGACTAACGCGTATCATCTAAACAAAAATTGAAAATCTTTAGTACCATCACTACAAAGTACTACTACCACCACCACTCTTGAACAAAGCTCAGATTGCATAAATTTATGAGTGTTAGAGAAAAAACTTGATCAGGATGTTAGTGTTTTAATTTTTGAATTTAATAGTGAAAAATACTTTGCTTCTTTGCGTACCATCTATTTTTCTCTTGCTTACCACCGGTTGAGAACCGCTGGTTTAAAACATTAAAATTTTTATTATGGAAAATTCTGAGCTTATGTAATTAATTGCTGTATTAAATTAAAGTATCTAAAAAAGAATAACACCAGAAAATGGTTCTGATTGTCATATTTTGTTTTTAACATCAAATAGTTAATTTTACATAAGACATATTTTCATTTAAAAAATAATTTTTTACTATTGGTTTAGATGACATCCTAAATCTGGAATGCTGATTCACCTTTCTATGTCATTTTATAATTTTACATTTCTAAAAATGTTTACAAAATGATGTTATTCTCACAATGTATTGAAAAAATAATAAGCTGTTAAAAACAATTTTCGTATAAATCATAATTACTTATTTCTGTTTCTTTCGTATGTCTGCATGAGGCTTCGGCTCCTGCAGAAACCATAGAAAAAAGGGGGGAGTGCCCATATAGCCTTAAAAAGTAATCTTCATTACCATTTAACATGTAGTGATGATGGACGCACTGAATTTGCTTAACGCTTAATACTTATATTTCACATTTCTAAAACATTAAATTTGTTTTTCATCTTTGTAATATTCTACTGCTGTATGAATTGCTTTGAATTGGTTATACAGTCAAAAGTCGTTAATCCGGACTCGTCGGGACTTCGGCGATTCCGGATTATAGATCATCAGTTTAAATCTGGTAAAATGGCATGCAGAAATTATAAAATTAAAAATATGAAACCGTAATTTACGAAATAAAGAACAATTATGATCTAAAGGGTATCAAAATTTACAAAAAAAAAGAAAGCTTAATATTTATTTGTTTACTTTATTAAACATTTCTTTCAATGTAAGTTGTTTAAGTTGCTTCGTTTTTTATGTGATAATACATTCTCTTTAATTCTATAAACAGACATAATTTCTTGTTCAGTTACAAAGTTTCGCTGTTCAAGTCCTATAATTGCTGTGTCGAGAATACCGACTAATTTGTCAATCGAAATTTTTTCGTTTTCAATAACCTCTGTCACTTTCTTCGCTATCGGAAGCAAATTATAATGACGAGGCATTTGATTTAAATCATATCAAAGAGGGAGTACATCGAGATGAAATACTACATTGAGTAAGCAATTATAAGCCAAATAAAATGAAAACATCTGCCCTTAAGATAAGGATAGTGCTGACAGATCACCTTCCAATTCATTGCACGCGGCCCGGGCGTTAAAGATAAACAAAGTTTAGATAAACAAACGTTAAAGTTTAGATAAACAAACGTTAAAGTTTAGATAAACAAAGGATATGCCTTTATCCAATTTTTGCTGCAATTCCACTTTTTGTTTAATGGACTAAAGATACTTTCGTATATGTAAAGGATATACAAACTTTCGCTTTGTATATCCTTTACATATTAGTAAATATATATCAGAAATTCTATTTGACATAATCAAAAGTTCAAGCTTACTTTTATAAAATTGTTCTAACAGTCTGCAAAAAATAATAATCCGGATCCAATTCGAAGATTAAGGAGCAACGCAATCTGCAACATTAACTGAAATAGATAATTAGATAATTTTAGCTTAGCTTATCCCGTCCGTTATACATTAAACGCACATTCGTAAATGTATTTTGTGCATGCGCACACGCAAATTCGCAGCGGTATTCGCAGTGTCAACGCGATGCATGCGCAGAAAGTTTGTAGCTTTGAGGTCCGGATTATAGATCGTTCCGGATTATGGGTGTCCTAATTAACGACTTTTGACTGTACTAATAAATTTTTATCCACCTTAACACACATGTGATTAGTGATGACTGAATACTAAGGGACGTGCATTTAAAGGCTTCTGTTCAGGTTATTGTAATATGTAAGGCATTATTCCATACTAAATTATAGATGCTCTGTATGAGTTGCAGCAATTAAGTAACGAGACTTCACACCTCCTATCACACAGCAGCATGGTGGAGGTTAGTATTGGAATGCAGTTGATCTTGAACCTTCATGAGTAGCCAATGTTCATTTTGTGTTTCTGCCTGCTTTAATTTGCTTTTGAGCCCTGGTTGTAGAAAATGTTTTTCTGTAGTCCCACCACAATCATGCTGAACTTAAAAATTGAGCAGCACATTAAGCTCAAATTCCTTCTGAAATTAAAAGCATCACCTATAGAATGTTTTCATATGTTAAAGGAGGAATGCTATGTCATGTGTGTGAGTTTTTTAATGGCACAAACAAAGGATTTTCAGAAGGTAAGGAAAAGATTGAAGATCATTGATGTCCCAATCCATCTGTGAGTTCAAGAGCTGAAACTGACATTCAGAAAATCAATGGAACTGTGCAGAAAAACTGACATCTGAGCATTTGGGCAATCGCAGACATGGTGAACATTAACAAAGTGACAGTATGATAAATTTTGTGTGATGAATTAAACATGTCAAGCATTTGTGCAAAAATAGTTCTGAAAAACCTCTTTTAGGAACAAAAAGGCAGTCGGAAGAACATTTGCTCTGATCCCATGGGACGACTCAATGAAGGATCAGACTTGCTCATGCATGCCATCACGTGTGATGAAACATGGATCTTCCAATATCACCCAGAAACAAAGCATCAGTCGATTCACTGAAAGACTCCCACGTCACCAAGAATGACACAGGCATGACTGAGCAAATCAAAACTGAAGGCAATGTTAATTGTTTTTTTTTTTTTCTTCCAATATTAAGGGTGTTATCATGACTGAATGGGTGACTGACTGCCAAACCATTAATCAGAAATACTACAAAGAAGCCCTAATCAGTTTGAGGGAAAGAGTAGGAAGAAAAGTTCAGATTTGTGGAAGAATGAAGCATGGGTTCTGCATCAGAATAACATGCCAGCCCACAATGCCCTATCTGTGAAACAGATTTTAGCAGAGAAGCACATTTCTGTGCTGAAACATCATATTTGTATTCACCAGATCTGTCTCCCTGTGACTTTTATCTGTTCCTAAAAGGAAAAAGTGCATTGAAGATAACACATTTTTAGTCTGTTGAAGATGTTAATGCAAAAATGGGAGAGTTGTTGAAGAGGGTGACAATGGATGGCCTACAGCTTTGCTTTGAACAATGGAAGACATGTATGTAGGGGTGTATATATAAAGGAGGGGTGTATGTTAAAGGGGATAAAAGTGAGTAGTAACTTTGTTTGCAATAAATCACATTTCTAACACCAGTCTCATTATTTAATTGCCCCACCTTGTGTAATTGTAGTTGATATGCTTCATTGTCTCTTGTAATTTATTTGAAAGGATCACTAACTTTCAAAATTTGCATTTAGTGGTACTGCAGTTGGTCTTATCACATACAACAAAATCACCTGATTCTAAGTACTGTAAAAACTTCCACAATTCTAGCTTTCTTCTTTCAAAAGTAATTTCAATGTTAAAGGACTTCATTATCCACATTTTATGTATCAGCATTTTGGAATTCATATCATTCAATTTCAAAATCACCATCTTGGTTCAATTTTTTTTTTCTGGTGGGGGCAGGATGAGGGATTTAAATCAGTGGGTATGCATGTTTGTAGAAATGAAGAGTAAGTTATTAGTTTCTTTTATATATTTTTATTTATGTTCCTTATTATAGGTTATTTTATTCCTTGATACAGATACAAATTTTGCACAAAATATTAACAGCTTTTATTTTAGTTTAAATTTTTCACATATGAAATTCAGTTTTCTCAATCTACCATACCATAATTTTATTTAATTTAGTTTAAAATTCGCAATGCCTTATCATAATCTGGGTTAGTATGAAAATCATAAATGCTTATTCATAAATTTTAGAGGAAATGCCATTCTGAAGGAGATGCTCTTACGTTCACTGGTCACGGACTTCATCCTCGTTCTCTTATTACAAGGGATTTAGATATGTCAGCAATCATAGCAGCAGATGATATAATTTTTAATGAAATGTTTGATAAACCTGTTACATCGTAAGTATTAGTTTAACTGGCGAACTTAAACACTTAAAATGGTGCCATTTTAGTGCATTTTTTACACAAAGTAATTTATTCTAATTTTATTTAGATGGGTTATAAAAGGAGGTGATGTAAGTCAAAGATGTGAAATCTTGAATTATAAAAATGCGTTACTCATGTCTGCTAAAGGCACTCGAATATTCTGCACACCATTCATAAATTCTCAGAATGCTGGAAATTTAAGATTTCATTTCCTTTTTGGTAAAACTTTTACATATTTTCTTTGAATAACTTTTCCTATTATTAACTTGTTGGAATAGTTTGTTGATTTATAAATTTAAATTTGTTTTCTGATAGCTGGTGTTAATTGTTCTTCAAGTCAATCAAATGCTGAAATAGGACACAATGCACCTGTATTAGTATATGCTGAAACTGCCAGTGGTGAGCAAGTAATGCTAGCTGATGTTATTCATGCATCTGTTATGGTAAGCAGTTTTTATGTATGCAATTTGTGTTTTCATTTGCTGAGCTCTTCTGTAAAATGTTATAAAGAATTTTCAACCATATAATGATACCCAAAAAAATTTTAAGAAAACTACTACTTGTGATATCATGCATTCTTTTAAGTTATCAATTAAGTAATGCCTCAATTGATGAAAGCCTATGTTTTATCTTCAGTGCAAAAAGTCAAAGTAACTTACTTTTAACTTAAGCTAAAAGGAAATATATGAAAGCCAAGAAGAATAAAACTTAGGAATGAATAATGAAACCTCTCTTTTATCTATTAGATTTTTCTATGACACCTACGAAAGAGAATAATAGTTGTATGTAAATACTATGAACCTCTTTGTTTCTTACTACATCTTTCAGTTACAACATCTTCTGGTATTTCGATTTCCAAAGTTTATAAAATTGCTAAAAAGTATCTTCATCTCAAGTTGTAAATTCTCATCGGAAGTCTGGTTCTTTTTGCTAACTTATTAATTTTCAAGGAAAGAAAGAACTGTTCACATGTAAATGTTCTTTCAAACAAAGCGATTATTCTTACTGCAAACAGTCGTAACTGAAGAATATTTATTTTTTGACTGCTAAAAAAATTTAATCAAACTCGTGTCTTCAAATATTTGAATAAGACTTATACCATAATGTAAATAAATTAGATCTGTTTCTAGATTTTATTGAGAGTTCTGTACATTCAATTTTGATAATGTAAAATAAGTAACATAAAATTGGAATTTAATTCTTTAAACTTTTTCTTCAATATCTTGTCATAATAATGGTAATTTATTTGCGGAAATGTATTCGCGGGCTGCGTAAAATTGCTTTGGGGCTGCATGCAGCCCACAGGCACCTAGTTTGAGACCACTGTTCCAAAGAAAATCTATAGAATGATTTCATGTTTTGATTTTAGTCAATTTTGAATATTATTATTCTTGCTCTTTTTCACTGGATTTTAGTTGTGGTTTAAAAGTGTTGATTTTATCTCTGTATTTCTAAATATTTATTGTGTCATTTCTATAAATCTATTTAATATGTAATTTCTATTCAATCAATATGTAATTTCTATAGGAACCAACTCTTGTGTCCATTCCCATTCCCGCTGAAGCTCAAACTCATCGCACTCGATTTTGTTGGAGCCAAGCATCAAATAGTGGAAAAGACAAAGATATGTGGGTTGTTGACAATGTTCTTCTATTGCCTTGGTTGCAGTCAGAAATAACTCATGTGTTATCATTTAAAGTCAATTTTCAGTGTGGTTATAATTTGACAGCAAATGAGTAAGTAACAAACAGTTTTGATGAAAATATGAATTCTAAGATAAAAACATTATGTTCAAGCAGCATAAATAATATACTTTTCAGTATGAATTTAATATATCTTAATTATAAATTACTTAAAATATTAATTGTGAATAATATGTTCAGTGATTCGTGTTAATACTATTCAGATGTTAATTTAAGTCTTGATTGGAGAGTTAATATAATTTAAAAAAATTGACAAATTATTTTCAAGTCTTTTTTAAGTCTCAGAAGTCTTTACTAATGAGTATTGGTAGACTTCTAGGTGTCTGATTGTTGATATGTAATTTTACTACAACTGATTTTTTTCTTTTGTAATTAAAATTATGTTTTTAAACATTTTAAACAATGATTTTAATATAACTTTTCTTTTCTCTAAAAATTTTGGAAAAAAAATATCAAATTTTTTATTAAATATTCAAATTTTATATTATATCTTGATTTTAAAATTTATAAAAATTATTTACACAATAAGTGTTTTTACATTAAAAAAAAAATTTATTTCTATTGGCTAGGCAGAAAGTTACAAAGAAGAAAAATCTTATAAACAGAGGTTACAAACAATAAAACTAAAAACAAAAAGACCAAAGGGATTGCCTAAAGAGTGTTGTTGCCTTCCAGTATCTTAACTCTTCTGTATTTTTACAATTATTAATTGTATCAAAATTTGACTTTCTAGAAAAGATTCATAAATTTTTATGTAATCAAATTTAATTAACAAAATACTTTGTTTATGCAACAGAACAAATACAATGCAAACCTTATATGATTATGAATGTCTGTGTGTCAATGTCTTTATTTTATAGAAAAGACACTTTCAAAGAGACTGATCAGTTTTTCTGATATTCATTAAAAGGATGTTAGAGTTTTTGTAAAGTTCAAGATCAAAAGTTACGTAAGAGGACTGGTGCAGTGTATGGTCTTATTGCCAAGAAGTGAAAATGTTCCAAACAAATTCAATTTCATAAGTAGGGAAGAAGATCACGTGCAATTATAATCTGTTACCTTTCCATTTATAATAATTCAAAATTATTTTGTCTTACTTTGTATTACTGATAAAATTTTAAAATTGTTTTTGATGTTGCTGATATTTTAAAGTTAACTTCGATTTGTAATTTGATTTGTAACCGTTTCCCCCTTTTATTTATTATCAAGATTAAAAGGATGAAATTAATAACATATTTGGTGAGACCAATTCAGTTCCATTATCTTAAATTATAATAATAATAGTTCAGTTCTTTTTGTCATCCAAAATTTCATTTTTCAATTCTTTTCAATTTATTTCAGAATAGGAGTTGATTTCAGCACAACATCTGGCCACAAATGGCATCCTTTACATGAAGTATGTCTTCCACCTTTATGCAATGGGAGCCAGTCCTCCTTAAGTTCTCGACTATCTTCTCATGACATGGAAGGGTAAATGAAATCAAATTTTGATACTTTATAGTCATTTTTTTTCCAATGGCAGATTGTGAACAATTACAAATGTAACCTAGTCCATTAATCTATACAAGGCGAGATGTGGTGGTCTCTTTATTATGGAGGCACCTAATAGGTGGGCCACCATTGCTGAAGGGACGGACGGTTACAACCATGCCTTCTCCGGCATTCGAACCCTGGCCCTTTGGTATCGCAGTCAGTTTCCCTGACCACTATATGGATTGGGCAGCTACTTTGCAGACATATATGTGTAAATTACGAGGGCTATCCAGAAAGTAGATTACGTTTTGGAATAAAAAAATAAACAAAGTATAGGAAACAAATTTTATTATATACAGATGAAAGCCACACTCAAATACTACTTTTCTACATAGTCACCATACAAATTAAGGCATTTATCGTAGCGATGTACGAGCTTGGAAATTCCTTCGTCGAAAAATTCGGCCGCCTGCGCCTTCAACCACTTCGTTACCTCTTCTTGCCTTCCATCTTGCACAAAACTTGTGGTAACCAAGCTTTTCGCTGATGATTTCGTGCAACAAACTTCGCGAAATTTGTGGAAAACTCAAAGAAAGTTCCGTTATTGTGAAATTTCGATTTTCACGGACTTTAGCATCGACTTTTTCGAGAAGTTCGGCGGTCACTATGCTGGGTCTCAACCTCTCACTAGCACGGCTAGATGCAGACTGAGCTGCCCAACGCTCTGACCCCAAGATGGCCACGCTAGCCCCGCCCCTAGCGGACACAGACGGAAACGTAATCTACTTCCTGGATGGCCCTCGTATATATTTCCTAATATTTTGTATTAGCCTGTTGCTGGTGAGAGATATTTTAATGCATTCTAAATTATACCTGCTACAATCTCAGAAACTGTATTTCACCAGTTTCAGAATAAAGCTTATTTCTAGTTTAGTTTTCTTTTATTATTAATATTTTCAATGTTTTTACATGTTTAAGTTTTTTGTAAAGGTAATTTATAAACTAAAGATGTATATTTTAAATCATAGGAATGAAATGTCCTTAAGTAGAAATGATATTGTTATTTCGTAGAACCTGCCACTTATTGTACAGATTTATGTAGGATATATATTTAAAATTTTAATTTTTTATATTTTAAAATTACAAATGAATTCAGTTTCTACAGTACAGTAGAATCCTGTATCTCAGATCTCAGTGGACAAGATTGCTGAACTCTGGTAATTGAACCCGAGTTTGAATCTCTGTGAGTAGACTGGCTGCATGATTTTTTTTGGTGTTTTCCCTATGTATAACATAATTATTAATAATTTTCCCTTAAAACATTTATCACTCCTCTTAAGTAGATAATCATCATGTTCTTTGTCATATCTAATTAAATAAGTAAACAAATCACATAACTCAAATTCACTAAAACTTTTGTTTGGTCTAATATATTGTGTGTTAGAAAACCTCACTAACTCAGCATTTAAAAATGGATCCCCACTTAACCCTTTCACTATTAACAGGTATATATGTCCTAGCAAACATTTAAAATATAATGGGATAACCTTGGCTATACTATGATTTGTCACATTAGTAGTTGTGAATGCATATTTCAGTTTGCAGACACAAAATCAAGCATGTATTTTAATCTAAAAGACTGTTTTGATTACCAAGCACTTGACTGTTCAATACTGAGCAATGTTTGTGAAAATTTGTTTCAACTAAGATGAGAGTATAGCCAGATAAGTGCTCTACTACATTATTTCCATTATATTTATCGAATTTTTCACGTATAAGACTTAACTTTTTTTTTTTTACAAATTTTGTGTCTAAAATCTGGATGTGTCTTATATAATAGTGGTACTGCTGCTAATGGAAACACCAATGAAACAAAGGGTGAAAGATTGTCAACAACATATATGCTATGTTGCATGTTTGACACATACATGCTTTTACCTGTTATAAATGTTTTGTTCAGAGGTAGCTAAGAAAGATTATCACACAGCTTTGAATTCAAATTAAAAGTGATCTAGTTTGCAAAAAAGCATGGAAATTGTCCTGCTAAACATAAGTTTGGCCCTCCTGTAACTGGGAAAACAATAAGAGACTGGCTGCAAGAAGAAGAAACACTACTGAAGATACCATGGTTGAAGAAAGCCATGAGAGGTAAGTTTTCAAAATGGCCTGATACAAAGAGGGAATTGAAGACCAAAGAGCAATCAAACATTGTGTGCACGAAAATGGATTAACATGATGCAAAATGTTTTTCTCATGAAAAGTGTTATAAATTTCAAAAGAGGACACAATTAGTGCTTCAGGATCATGAAAAGAAATGAACTAAGCATATCTAGATACACCAGGCTTGCTCAAAAGAAGCCTGAAAGCTATGAGGTCTTTGAATTTCTTTATTTTGGCATTCACTATCAGAAAATATATCAGTTTGAGTTGGGACAAATTACAAATACGAAGTTCCTACCTTCAGTTTGATGTCCTGAGTAACAGAACTGTAGATAAGAAAGGTGTGAAGATTGCAAATGTGAAGACAAGTGGACATGAAAATAGTCATCATACAGTTGTTCTAGCTTGATGTGCTGATAGTACCAATCTACTGCCCATGCTGATTTTCAATGTAAAAGAAGTCATTCCTTGAGGAGTGATTGTTCATGTTTATGATAAGGAACTGGATGGGTCAAAATGGGATAAAGATCTGGTTTGAGAAAGTTTGGAGCAAATGACCATGTGGACTCTTATGTGGATCTGCCTTGTTGGTGCTTGATCAGTCCAGGACACACAGGTAAGACAAAAAACATTGTTGCAGACCAGCTGACAAAACTTGCCATCATACTGGAGACCCGACATTCCAGCTCCAACCTCTTGACATTAAAATTAAAAATCCCTTCAAAGCTGCTATGAAAGAGGAATAGAATGAATGAATGATGTAGTCATCTGTGAACAATTTGACATCAATAGGAAGTGTGAAGGAGTCAATTGTCAAAGTTTTCAGCTGGGTAACAAAACCTGGGATGGTATCAAGACTGAAATTGTTGTCAAATCATTTAAGAAGTGTGGTATCTCAGATTCCAAAGACGAAACTTAGGATAAGGCAATATATGAAAACAGTGATTTGTTATCAGGCATAGATGAGGTCCAGCTATTGGATGTGAATTCCAATGGTTATGTAGAGTTGTAAGCTGAATAAACATCGACTTCAATAATTTTATGTAATAAGTGTTGTTTTTTTTTTTTTGTTTGTTTGTTTGTGTGTGTGTTAAATTGTAATTCAGCAGACCAGTAAAAATCAATCATCAACAAAATATTTTTTTTTTCTTTTTCTTTTTTTTCCAATTTTTAAGTCCCAAAATTAAGTTGCATCTTGTACATGGGGAAATATGGTACTTCTAAACTTATGATTTTTCAAGTGCTACACATTGCTGGGATGTATATGTTCCAGTCTATTTTTTAGTGGATACTATTTGTCCCAGTAACAATTGTAGTGTTTCTCTTTAAAGGTGTCACAAATTAATACAACCATAATTGGGGAACTTAGTTACTTGTTCCAGTGGTACTAGTATTCTTTCTTTTTTATAGGTGTCAAAAATTGATGCAGGCCTAAGTGGAGGAATTAAGAAATAATTTATTATCAGATAGTGGTAAAATTTCCCATCCATTAATCACAAACATGGGTTAAAAATAAACTAATAGGGAAGTAGTTAAGTAAAAAAAAATCATCTCACTTCCAATAAAATTTCCTATTTCCAATGTTTTCTTACAAAAGGAAGTAATTTACCTCAGTTTACAAAATGGAGATTCAAAACATAAATAATATCTGGTAGCTTAATGAGTTCCTTACTTTGATGATAATAAAAAGTAAAGGGAAAGCTTTAATTTTTATTCATCACAAAATGTCAGTCTCTCTAACGAAAGAGCTTTAAAATTGATGGGTGAAATTCACTGATTTTGCCTGATCTTAAGATTGTACAAAAGAAATCTTCATACAATGTTGAAAGTACTTCCTAGTGAAATAAATAAACCAATAAATGACTTCTTCAGAGGCATTTAGAAACAAGCTTTATTATGAATAAACTCCTTCACAATTTGTGCTGATTTACCATGTTATTCAACATAAAAGAAAATTCTGTCAAACTATTTACAGCAAAGATTACAAAAAAATAACAAATTATGTTTCTGTTCTTTTGAATTTTAAATTAATTATTTAGAAAATATTTATTTATTTATGGATTTAATTTAAAATTTCCTTTATTCATGACAGCTTAATAACATTTGCATAACTTGATAGAAATTTTTTCACTCTGTATGATTTTGATTTTACTCTTGTTTCACTGTATTTTACAGTTAAAATGCTTTTTTTTTTTTTTTTTTTTTTAGATTTTATAGTTTTCTTTTTTCTTCTTTAAATATTATTTATTTTTTAAAATATATTTATGGATTATAGATTTGCATAGACTAAATGATATTTAATGAGAAATTAGTTTCTAATTTTTTTTTGCTCTCTCAGATGGACTGAAGTATATTATCCATTACCCTATGCTGCACTTGTTGGGGGTGTTCGCTTTCGAATCAAACAGTTGGGCAAATTTACTTCTTCAAACTGGGCAATTGATGATTGTAAGTAAAAGATATTCATATAATTTTTAGCACTTATTTAAAATTACCGTTTTATTGAAAGCTGTCTATATTTACAGTATACATTGGAAACTGCCTTAATGGCTGTAGCGGACATGGCATATGCTCAAATTCTGAGTGCAAGTAAGCTATTTTATTTATATTTATTGCCATGAAGCAATGAACTGATTGTTGAAAATAATTAAGAGAAGCATACTGAAACCTTTCTTTGAATGATATTACAGATGTGATATTGGATATTCTGGTCAAAAATGTGAAATTGCATCCATTACTATTCCATCATCTTTATCTGAAATGTTTCAGACACCAAAGCTGGATGAATTATTTAATATTATTGAAGTGAGTTTAAAGTTTGAAATTACAAATTCTTTCTTTCTTTTTTCTTTATTAATATTAGATTAAGGTAAGGAGAGTAATTGTGAGTATAATTGCTTAGATTTGTTTTTCAATATAGATACATGGAGCTCAATTGGGTTATCAGTGTGGATCACTTGGCAGTGGAAAAGCGGTTGTGTTTGATAAACATGGTCCAAGATATTTGATTACGAATGAAGTTAACACAACTACTATTAGGCAATATATCTTGCATATTCTTTTTTATTATAAAACTTTTAATATAACTCCATAAATAGGAATTTTTTTTTAATTTACGTATGATTAAATCTATTTTGTTTTTAATTTACTTTTGAAATTTCAAACTTTATATGTTCTGCAGATTTCAAAAACAATCTTTCATGTAGATTTTTTTTTATATTTTCATGTAGATTTCTGCAATTTACTTTGCGTATCGGAAGTTCATCCAAAAAAAGTCCGTGCTTATCGCCAGATCACCCATCTGAAGTTATTTATGTTCATTATTCATGCAATGGAGGACTTACTTGGCACCTTTTAGACTTTTTTGAAAAATCCAAGTATCAAGAGCCAAAGTAAGTTTTCAACTTCTTTTCTTTAAATCCTCTATAATTACAGGCAAAAATATTGTGGTAAAAATATCCCAGAGAAACAATGCAAGGGGAAAACATCATTGTACAAAATATTGTGGAGGAGGAAAAAGGCAAGGACAAAACATTGCAATTCTGCAACATTGTGATATAAAACATCATTGTAGAAAATGAAATAGGTCAAAAACTTTGCAATTTCAAAACATCTTTTTAGAAAATACCATGGTAAAAAATATGACTTGGAAACAGCAATGTTATCATCATCACATGATGATAACATTGCTGAGATGTGTCTTCAGATTTTTAAAAATTATGCTTGCATAATGATTTAGAAGTGTCTGAAGGAATGAGGAATATTTTTACCTCTATATTTCATATTTTTGTATTAATTAACAAATTTTTGTTGAAAAGGCATCAAAGAAACTGTATTCAAAAAGTGAAGATGAGTATAAATTAATGGTATGTATAGTAGTTAATAACATTCTAAGCTTAAATAAGGCCATTGTTTAATTAATCTGTTTTAGAAAGTTGCATTAGAAGTTTTTCATTAAAAATACATACAATAATTATTAAAAAATGGAAGATGAGTAACTGCATGAGGTTACCTATACTAAAATTGTTTAATTATTTATCAAATTATATTATTATGTTTCACCTTAATTTAATATTCTTTTTCATACTCTAATATTCTTTTAGTAAAAATTCAGTTTTGTTCTGTTTCAGTTTGTTTGTTTTCTTAAAGTGTTATGTAAAGTGTTATGTACAAAACATTTAAAGTCTGAAAACACATTTCTGGTTTTATGATCATGGTATGATTTATTCATGCTTTATCTTTACCGTGGTATTTTTAAAACTGTTAAGCTTTTGATCTGCTTCTTTTTGTATGATGATGTTTTATACACAATGTTTTAGAACTGTGGTGCCTTCTTCTTGCTTTCTCTTCTTCCACAATGTTTTCACCTTTGCAATGTTTCATACACAGTGTTTTTGCCACTATGTTTTTGTCAGAGATACTATATGAGACGACAGAAATCATAACCTTCTAAAATTTTTAAATACTTTTCTTTTTTTCTTTCCAATGTTATCTTAACACACAGGCAACATGAACACTGCCTAGAGGCCTTACATATATAAGGACCCATGTTTTAGTAAATTTTATTCTGATTATTGACAAAGTTGGTAAGATTTGCATAATATTACAGAAGACTAGGAGGCAAGATTATATTAAGATGACCCTTCATATTTTGAATTATTATATGAAATATGAATGGTCAGAGTTTGAGATAAATAATATTTATCAAAGTATCTGAAAAAAAATAGTTAAAAATTTTTTTGAACATATTTTTATACATGCTTTGAGTTATTTTAAATTTTTTGTTTTGCTTAATCTTTAAAAAAGATCTTGATTTGAAATAATGTTAGGATTTTTTAAAATTTTTGGGAAATTTGCATTCTTTTGGGGGCTGCACATTTCTGTTCAATGCTATATAGTCCTGTGGTAGATGCCAAAGAAGGTATGAAGACTGTGTGTCTCTCGATGTGCCTGTCTGCAGAAAAAAATGTGTATGGTATGAATGAAAGCTTCACCAAAGCAGGAGTGTCTCCCTCAGACCACAGAGGGAAACGGGCTGTCCGTCCTGCCTTAATATCATTTTGTGCATACGAAAAATAGCTGTTGAGCTGGTGTCGAAAATTAAGTTTATCTGGAATTTAGAGTTCTGTAACACCATTTGTCCCCTCTGTCGAAGTAAATCGAATCAGTAATCATCGCAAGAAGATTAATTAATGGATTATTGATTTTGAATAACAAAATCTCCGAACTTCTGAATTTAAATTATCACAAAATGTTTTGTTAAAGAACAAATCCTTTACATTCTTTTTAATTTATCTAACAAATACATTTTAAATTCATGTGCTATAAGACTAATACAGGTAAAAATATTGTGGCAATAGACTGAATAGTAGTATAAGAACACTTTTACGGTCTTATGCCATGTATAATCTCTAAGATACTGTTCAAAACATTTTCTTTCCCTATGAAAATAAGGAATGTTTTTTTTATTACTCTGCAAATGCTATTTAAAAGCATTTACATATATTTGGAAGATCTTTAAACTGAAATCTGGTTAACAGCAAGTTGATGAAAACCTTTATTTCTAAAAGGTATATGTTCACTAACAGTCAGCTAGTTCTTGCTGCCAAGAAGAAGCTTCTGCTTAGTGATACTTAATAAGATGTTTTTATTTCTTTGTTGCACAGTTTTGTGCCTGTTATTTACTTTTCCAAGCACATTGAACACCTGTTTTCCTTCTATACATAGTAGGTGAGTGTTTTGAAGACTGATAGTGTGCTTCAAGTTGATAACCAGTGAACAGGCATCATGTGAATGCAAGTCAGTTTGCTTTAGCTAGTCTTGTACAGATGCATCCTTTCTGACACAGATGCCTTTTTTGCTCTGTTGTAATCAATTAAATTATATATATTTTTAGCCAATAATTTAATTTTAATTTTTAGCTAATAATTATTTCTGAAATGGAACACAAGAGATGAGATTAATTTTTTGAGGATAATTACACCAAAAAAGTTAAATTTAAAAAAATAGAGAACAACAAGCTGATTATCAATTTTATTAAGTATCAGGTTAATTATGAATTAAAGTAATTAAAATTTCAATTTTCAAGCAGTAGTAATTCATAGAATGAAAAAGAAAATGTTTAAGTGTTTTTTTATCATAAAATTTATATAAATACACACTGAGTATCAGATGTTCATTATACAAGATAAACAAATTTTAACACCAAATAGAATTTTTAATTATGAAAAATTTCACTAGAAGTTGACCATGGATCAAAGTATAGATCAATCTCTTTTTTTGCATTTTAGATAAGAGTTTTATATTTTCATGATACTCGTTATTTCATTATACTTCAGAATCACAAACTTCAAATTTCTTCAATTCTTACCCAAATACGACTTATTACATGTTGAAAAATCAATTAATAACACTACCAAAGCATGCAATGATCCAAAATTCATATAAATTATTATTTTATAGCTAAACGTTGATATATGCATGAGTCATGATTTATATATAAAATTTAAATTTTCTATCTTGTGATGTCAAGTTTTTGAATTTCGAATCTCCATTCTAACTGTGTAGTGCAATTTTTAATGTCAATGTGTATCTCTGTGCCTTCAATGTGTATGTCACTGTGTATCCATATGAATCATACTCTACATGCCTGCAAAATTCCAAATTCCTAGGTGATACTGGGTTCCAGATTTTTTGACAACATATTAAAATGATAATTATAAAATTATTATTTGATTGATTTAATTAAGTTGCATTGCAGGATTGTCTCGTTACCTCTGACAGAGACAGCAAGGAAGCCATGGTGCATGTTTAAAATTTGGCAGCCGTATCATTCAGGAAAATCAGAAGATGTTTGGGCAGTTGATGACATTAGCTTATCCTCATCTCTTTTGAATGTAATTAGTTTGAATTTCACTGACTTGAATGCAATGAATTCATCTATTCGGTACAATTCTGGAGTAGTAAAGAAATACTGCCATTCTGAAGGAGCATCAGCTGTGTAAGTGTCATGAATTATATTTATTATTAGTTATCAAAAATTTATATTCTTATTTACAGTAATTTTTTGTTTCATGTATGCGTGACATTTAAATGTTATGAATTTATATTTCATTTGGCTATTTAAGCCTGAAGTATTACACTCTTACTTGATAAGTTTAAAGTAAACATTTGATTCAGAAATTAAACTTAGTTATGTTTAGCATTTTAAATATTTTGCATTTATGTATTTATGGTATTTTGAATAATTCAAAACTGTAATGCTTATTTTTGGATATGTATAATTCAATTTATAATTATAATTCCTTACTAAATGTAGTATTTCATCTCGATGTACTCTGTCTTTGATATGATTTAAATCAAATTCCTCGTCATTATAATTCGCTCCCGATAGTGAAAAAAGTGACACAGAGGTTATTGAAAAGAAAAAAATTTCGATTGACAAATTAGTCGGTATTCTCGACACAGCAATTATAGGACTTGAACAGCATAACTTTGTAACTGAAGAAGAAATTATGTCTATTTATAGAATTAAAGAAAAGTATTATCACATAAAACGAAGCAACTTAAACAACTTACATTGAAAGAAATGTTGAATAACATAAACAAATAAATATTAAGCTTTTTTTTTGTGAATTTTGATACTCTTTAGATCATAATTGTTCTTTATTTCATAAAAAGTGTTTTTCAAATGCTCTCAAATTTCTTCAAACAGCAAATTATATTTCTTGGTCTTTTTGATGGACTATACCCCACCAAAAATTGGTCAACTTGTTAGTGACTTTGGAGAACATTTGGGAATTCTTTACTAAGCATAGAAAGAAACATTTTTTAAAGTTTTTTTTTTACACCTATTTCAATGATGTATTCAGTACTAGCTTTTTGTTTCCCCAATGTTCTGCTTTTTCTGTAGAAGATATGTATACTTCTCAGTTTTGTTTTCAGTGCTGACCATTTTTTTCCAACATTTTTCTTTTTCCATATAAGATATGCACACTTCTTAGTTTTTTAGCCTGTTCTCCTTACATACAGACTGTTTGGTTTTTGTTAAAAAAATATCAGAGAATTTCACAACCTTGGCACCAAAATCATAAAATGAGATGGAGAAAAGAGGTACATGATGTCACTAAGCAAACCGCAGTATGCTTTATGTGTGCAGGAAGTTTAAGTTCAAGATTTTGGCAAAAACAATGAAAACTGCAGTGTGGGATTCACCCTTAAAGAGCTGAAATTCCCATAGGAAGGATCACATGCAATCACACTTGCGAAAAAGTACAGAGAAGTTAAAAGCCATCTGGGGAAATATCTGGGTTGTTACATAATGTATTATGGCAACATCTTTGGTTGCCACATAAATATTTTTTTATGTTGCCTCATGAATACTTCTTTGCAGCTTTTTGGTAAGGGTGAAAAATACCTATTTCTTAGTTGAAATTTGTTTTGTGTAAATTTCTTACATTTAAATATTAAACTTAGCATTAAAGAATATTTACATTCTAAATCTAATGTAAGTGTAGGTTTGACGAAGAAGCATATAATGGACTGACGAGATCGTTAGAAACTAAATCTATCACTGTTGGTCCTTCTTATATGGTCCAGTTTGACTTGCTTATGGGATGTGGCTCACCATTTACTTCAGAGAAAAATAATCAGGTAATTTTTATATTGACTTAGCTACATTGTCATATTACAGTCAAAAGTCGTTAATTCGGACACCCATAATCCGGAATGATCTATAATTCGGCCCTCAAAGCTACAAACTTTCTGCGCTTGCGTCCCGTTGACCTTTACGGCTTTTACAGCAGCTCATATGCCGTACCGCTCATATGCTGCAGGCTTAAGACCTTTACCGCAGCTCATATGCGTGTGCGAAAGCGCATAATACCTTTACGCATGCACGTTTAATGTATAACGGACGGTATAAGCTAAAATTATCTATTTCAGTTAATGTTGCAGATTGCGTTGTTCCTTAATCTTCGAATTGGATCCGGCTATTATTTTTTCCAGACTGTTATAGCAGTTTTTTATAAAAGTAAGCTTGAACTTTCGATTATGTCAAATAGATTTCCGATGCTGGAGCTCCCAAAGGATCTACAACGCGAAAGTATGTTTCGATGTCCATCAAACAAAAATGGAATTGCTGCAAACAGGGATAAAGGCATGAAGAAAGTGACAGAGAGGTTAATGAAAATGAAAAATTCGATTGACTAGTTATCGGTATTCTCGGCACAGCAATTCAGGACTTGAACAGCGGAACTTGTAACTGAACAAGAAATTATGTCTGTTTATATAGAATTAAAGTGAAGTATTATCACATAAAACGAAGCAACTTAACAACTTACATTGAAAGAAATGTTTAATAAACTAAACAAATAATATTAATCTTTTTTTTTTTGCACATTTTGATACCTTTTAGACCATAAATACTTCATTATTTCACAAATCACGATTTCATATTCTTAATTTTATAATCTCTACATGCCATCTTACTAGATTTAAACTGATGATCTGTAATCTGGAAAAATCGATAATTCGGAATCGCCGAAGTCCCGACGAGTCCGGATTAACGACTTTTGACTGTAATATAGTGTTATCTTAATAGCATTTTATATTTTTGTGCTGATATGTATTTAATTGGCAGGTCAGACTGGAATTTTCAACAAATCATGGTATGAATTGGTTACCTGTCTATAAACCATGTTTACCATCCAATGGAAGTTGTAATGGTGTTTTCACTAAGGGCACTGTATATGATGCATCTGAATTTACTAAATGGAAACGTGTTACTGTCAGTCTTTTACCTGCTACATGGTAAATCAATTAAAGACTATAATTTGAAACTTTCGTTTAGTGTGTATTGTATAATAATATTTTATGCTTTATTAATTTATAACCATGAAATAACCATGAAATTATTTCTCTTATGCATCACATATTTAAATGAATAAATATCCCGCTTTTTTAATGTTATTCATATTTAAAGAATTAAATACTCATATTTAAAGAAATTGCATAAAATATAACTTTGAAAATTTTAGGTCTAGTTCAACCCGCTTTCGTTTTATTCAGCATGAATATGATACCAGTGAAAATTGGGCAATAGACAATTTGTATATTGGACCACAGTGTAAAGACATGTGCAGTGGTCATGGCAGATGTACTGATGGATCTTGTGTGTAAGTGCTAAACATTTATTTATTAGTATTATACTGCAATGTATGTAGTAAAAGTTTTTGCCAAATAATATTTTTTAAGTAATATTTTTTATTTTATTTAAAACATAATCTAAGATTTAAAATTCCGGTGTATTAAAATAGGAATTTTAATTTTAAACTTTTGATTTTAAATGTTACTAATTAGTACAGATTGATTGCTTTTTAAATAAGATTTATAATATTTGTTTTGTGCAAAATGCTGCCACTGTATTTTTTCCTATTTTGCTTTTATGCAAACAGTTTTTGCTCAATTGATATATTACTTGAATTAGGATGAATTAAATTATAATTTTAAATATGAGCATGTGATGGATATGTGCATACTAAAAGCATTTTATGAAAACACTTTGATTTTGCATAGAAGATGTATCAGAATTACATTAATAAGAACTATGAGTTGTGAATTTAGTATGTATTTAATCGATTTAAGTTCTGAATGCTGCATAAAATTGTAGAAGTTTTTGACATAGAATTTGAGAGTAGATGGATCCTTCTATTAATATTAAATAATCAAATATCTAGAAAACTTCTTTCAGTTAAATAAAAGTTAATCAATAATTTTGCTTCCCTAGATGTGATCAAGGCTTTTATGGTAAAAGTTGTGTGCCACGAGATAAACTTAAGAATTCAATGATTAAAAAATTTGAATCTCCAGAAGAACTAGTTAAAGAAAACTTTGATATCAGTGGTGGTGCTGTAGTACCAGCTGACGAGGGATGTGGTCCCATAGCTTCAGGCTCTGCAATATACTTTTATCAAGTGAGTAATTTAATTTTTTTCTTATATATTGCTATTTCTGAACTTTAAGAGAATAAAAATTAAACACAGTATTTAGTTTTCCCTATAAATATGAATTATGTTTTTGTTACGAAAGGTAACTAAGTTTTCCTTTTTGTTTTTGTCTTGTAACTATATATCACATGGGGACTTTAATTCTTAAATGGTTATGAGATGAGACTGATAAGATTGGAGTACTAGACTTACAGACTGATAATTACAAATTAATCTATAAAAATTTGAGATACATTATTTCTTAAATAGGGATGACTATGTATGAGACTGATAAGTTTGAGTACAGGACTTATAGAATGATAATTACAAATCAATGCATAAAAAGTTTGGCTAATTTGAGTGTAAGAATTGTGCATAAGAAAGATTTCTGTAAATTTGTGCTTCATATACACAACATGTAGTCACAGTGTGAGGAAATTCTGTTCAAAAAACACGACTATGATCATCTTGCTTTGATTTATCTCCATGCAATTTCTGTGTATTTCCAAAATTAAAAGATGTATTAGCAGAGACTTAATAGTGTTCTGAAAAATGAGTTTTAGGTATGCTTTCAAAACTCTGCTATTTAAAGTTGTGCATAGGTGTACAAAGGGAGAACTTTGAAGGCGGTTTACAGTTTTTTACAAAAGCTTTTGTAAAGATACGTTCTGGGAATTAAAATGTCACATCTTGTATATATAACTGATAATTTATGTTATTTTTAAATGAAATTAGTGTCTAAAAATGTATACATCATAACAATTTCTGAGCTTTGTAGCAAGCAATTACGTCATATATTTAATTACATTATTTGACAGGATTTTTTATATTAGTTTTGCATAAAGTGCTATCATAATCTTATTTTTTACTTTCACATCAAGATTTTGTCTATTTGATAGATAATTAATATGAATTCAATTGTAATTTGAAATAGGTTTTCATCTGATGTACACATACTAGAAAAATATTCAGGAAACAGTTTGATTTTACAAGGCATGTGCATCTAAATTACATTAAAAAGAATGTGTTGTGAATTTGGTATATATTTAAATGAATTAAATTCTGAATATGTTTCATATGTACATATTATAATTACAAAACAATTCCTTTTAAAACATAACACAAACGTTTCTAGTCATTTTCGTGCATTAAGTTGCAGAAAATTATCATTAAAGACAAAAAGTAAGAAATTTAAAACTAACATTTTGCAAAAACCAGAAATTGAATTTCATAATTAATAAATTTGAAATAAACATATAAATGCAACAATGAGTTTGAAAATGTTAAAACCAAATCATTTCAAACAAACTAAACCCTTCTTCAAAAGCCATGAAATTTAAAGAAAAATGAACAAAAGCATGAGCAAAAACAGAAGAGGAATTCAATCAATCTCAATATCACTTCATCAGAGGGGAGGAACTTTGAAACTAATTGAAATCTCTCTTCTACAAAAATCCTTGCTTTTCTGTATCCAGAATTAGCTGATGAACCATTTCAATGTATTTAAATTATAATTATAATAGTTCACCCGAAAATTCTGGCCCTTCCCCAAAGCAAGGAAAAAACAAAGTAAATTCTAATTAGAAACATTAGATAAATCTCTAAAAAAAAGAACTCCATTTCTTTTAAAGAACTGAAAACTAAAGTGAAAAAACAAAATACTTCAGTGAAAAAAAAAATTTAATTTTAATGTAAACTTTAAGCAAATAATCCAATGAATTAAAAAGTAGTTGATAAACCTATTTAGTAAGTAAAAGTAGTTGATAAATCTATTTAGAATCTACTAAACGAAATTAAAAACTCCCTTCACTCTCATTAGACTATAGTCAAAATTTGAGATGCAATACAGAATGATAAGTAAATTTTTACCATTTTGGTATCATTGGAGAAAATAAAAAATCTTGTACGTAAAAGTAATTTTTGAAACCAATTATTTAATGTAAAACCTAATTAAATTTAGAAAAATCTTAAAAAAAATTCTATTTTTTTTAAAGTATCAAAAACGAAAGGGAAGAAACAAAATACTATGATGAATAATTTCTTAAATCAAAATGTTTACCTTTAAACAGATAATCCAGTGCATTAAGGTGTAGTTGAAAAACCTTTTTCTAACACACAAAAAGTAATCAAGAACTTCCATCACTCTCATTAGACTGTAGTCTAAATTTTTGAGGCTATACAGAATTGTTTGAACAGGTTAAAACTGAACCAACTTTTGTTATATTCCTTTATTTTTACTTTATCCTTTGGAGTAAAATATATTTGAATTTCCATAGAGGCTACCAGATATTATTTATCATCTGTTGGGAATTTAAGAAATTTCTGCCAGTAAGTTTTGAGAATTTTACTGTGGCAGATATGCTTAAAAATGTAAAATTACTGTCTCTTTCAAATTTTACAAAATTTGTAGTAATATATTATTAATTTATGAAAACATTTGCTTGTAAAGTTTAATTCTAGGCTTTTTTGTGTTATGGTGTTACAATATGTTTTTGTTCTGTGCTAACCCTTTTAATGTAAATACAAAAATATAGATATGGAGAGTGAAAAACTTCTCTCAAAAGCTTTCAATTATTCTCATTAATTATTTAACTATTTTAAGACTAGTTCCAGAATAAATGAATGCATCTAGTGAAACAATACAGTTTGTGACAGAAATAAACATAACTAAAGCAAGTGGATAAAATTTTTTCTAGATTTTGATTATTTTTATATACAAAATGACTATTTCATTTAGCATTCTCTTAGATCTGCAAATTTCTCTGTAAAACTTTTAAGCACATTTCACATGAATGACAATGTGTTGGATTTGAAAATGCATAGTGTGTTGATTTAAACCCATTAAGAACAAAATTTTTATTTTTATCTCAAAACTTTTGGTTTGATTTTCATTAGGATGGCATTAGACAATTAGTAACAACTGATATGGATACTGAAGATACAGATTTTATTCAATTTTTCATTCGTATTGGCGGTGGAGATGTTTTATTGTGCAACAATGCTTCCCAAAAGGACGAAGGAGTTTTAGTGCAATTTTCAAATGATGCTGGAATTTCTTGGAACCTGTTGAAGGAATTAGATCCTGAAAATTATAGATCATCGAGGTATGTTTATCATTTTAAATACCAGTTGTTTTTTGTTTTCTTCTTTTTGTTATCTGCAAAAATATATAAATATGGGAATTTTTCTTTAGTATGATGAGCACTTTTAAAGAAATGTATAAAAAAACGAAGGTGTTGCTAATGTATATAGTGAAGATGGGACAGTACTAAATAAAAATATATTTATATGTATACTGGCATGAAAAATTAAGGGGACAACTTACAAAAGTCTATGCAGCTTGAATGATTTTGTAGCTAAGAATACAGAACTTTCACAAGATCTTTATTTTGTAATACTTGACATCTTTTCAAAACACAGAATTGCTTTTTTTCTGCAAAAAAATATTTTAAATAAGAATATAGGAAATATGTTATAATATGATCTTGGTAAAAGTAGTGGTACAGCTCTTTGGAGGTACATTAAAAAATTAGTAATATGTGTGGTCACCCTTGGCCAGGAACAAATTGACTTTCAGAGGCTTAAAGAATTATGGTATCCTCACATCAGTTTATGCCTGTATTTCCCCTATTCATTCTTTGTTGGTTTTGGTTTACCTGTACCATGTATTCCTTCATAAAATTGGAAATAGAAAATTTTTGTAGTACTCCCTGAGTTCTAAGGGCCTTTTTATGGGTCCCCTTCCCTTGATGCCCTAAGCACCTGCTTATTTTGCTTAATTGTTAATCCACCTCTTGCCCTAGCCAAATTGTAAGCTTTATATTGATTTTTTTATGTTGTGTATTAGCTTGTTCAGGAATTCCTTCAACAAAGTTATTCTTGATAAATAGCACCTTGTAGCTTTTGAAAATGCTAAGTGGAGGCTGCAGTGTTGCAAGTCAGCATCATAATGCATCCCACTCATGTTCTAACGATTTTAAATCCAGAGAATACACAAGCTGCTTCATCTACTGGATTCATTCTCCTTCAAGATAATTGGTCACTAATGCAGCATAATGGAGACAAGCATTATTCTGGAACTATTTTCCAAACAAGAGCAGTGAGACAAGAGAACTCGACACCAGTATGTGATACTCTGGCAGTGATCTCAGCATCATGTTGTATGACAAATTTCACAGCCTGAATTATTGGCACACAAGTAATTGATTTCATTGCATACAGCTCTGTTTTATGCAACTTGTCACTAATGATATATCTGGATAGATGAGTTCCTGCAGGTGCAGTGAACTTTGTAATATGGGCTAACATCAGTTGTCTGTTTCTTTTAGCAATCATTGCCAAATAATGGTCCTGAGAGTCTATAATGGCATTTTTCCAACTTGACATATTTGTCTGCTTCAGATACTTCTTCTACTTCATGATGCTTTTTGGCTTTTTTTTCGGTCTTTGCAGATCTGTGTCAGTGTCTATCCTGCTTCATTTCTTATAGTTTGTCAAATAGCTTTCCAAAGACATGTTCTACCCTCCACATGTAAAATTTCACCCCACTATTTGTGCAGTCCTTAGAATTTAAAGCATCCCTTTGCATTCCTTGCACATCGACTTTGTGCTACCAACAAACTGCCTTTCATTGATTTCACTTGATAGAATTAACATAAGCTTTTTTTTTTTTTTTTTTTTTTGTAGTTGTTCCTTTAATTAATTAATGTAAGATGGTGTTCCCAAGTCATACAGAAATACTTTCTGTATGAAATGGGAACACTATTATTAAGTGATAATTTTTACACTAAATACTTTTTTTAGTATCTCAATGAGAGCTGTGACTTTATGTATTAGTATTAGATAGTATATCTCTGTATTAAAAATATTTTAATTTTGTTGAGTTTGATTCAATAATCAAATTATAATAAAAATTTAATGCTAGCCTCTTTTCATAAGGAACAAGATTCTGATCATAGAGCATTACGTTACCTTAAATAAATGTACAACAGTATTGAATATCACTGATAGTCTTGTTTTATGACCACCTCTTCAGAATATTTAAGTATTTGGAACTTTACTGCATAGTTTAGAAAGGTTTCTCTGCATATGCAATAAAATACTCAAGATAAGTATAAAATTTTCATTGTTCTTCAACTTTAGATATAGTTTTATATCATAATTCTTATTTATGACATTCTTATGCAGATGAATGATGCAGAAAGAGCTTCTGGCATTGCAATGTTTCTGCCTGCAAGGCAAAAGCACTTCCAATGAAGTGTTTTTCCCCTGTTGATAAAGGAATTCATTAAAGCAATGCATTTATTCTCTTCTTTTTTTCTTTTTCTTTCTCCCCCACCCCCTGAATCGTGTGTGCATATTTATTATTAATAAACAGGACTTGATGTTAAAAAAAGTCTTTAAAAGAATATTTCTCAAATTAAAAAAAAAATTATGTTTATTACACTATACTACTATTATGCATTTATATGTGTTACATCACACTATCATGCATTTCTTATTTATGTGATTTGGTAAATGTTGACATTGCTGAAAAGTACAACCTTTTATTTATCTTCCAAATGGCCTGTTCTCAGAATATTGCCATTTTTCAAAGCAAAAGATCTGTAATTTATCTTTGAAATTTAATGAATATATAATTGCTTAACAAGCTGAATGGTTTGAAAGGAGTAAAATAAACTAAATACTTATTTTACTTTTTTTAATGATGAATCAAGTTGTTAAAATTTCAGATGTATTTAACTTATAGTATATAAAACTGAATTAAAAAAAATATTTTGCAGAGAGGTTTTATTCAGTAAAAAATGTTTCTAATGTGATTTATTATGTAATTCAGTTTTAGAATCATTTGATTTTGTGTCTTTGGTGTCTAATTAAGCTAGAGTTGTTTTGGTAGCTAATTTTTCTTGGAAATAATGAGTTTTTTGCTGTCTGAAGCAGAGTTATTAGAAAACTATGAATGAAGCCAAAAGCTTTTTTTATTCAATGTGGAAAAACTGTAAAATGAAACAGAAATTCTAATCTTTACAAACTAGGAAAATGAAAGGTAAAATATTTCATTGAAATTTAGTAGTTGAAAAGCTAAAGCATTGAAACAGTGTCATGTTTCAAGGTGATGTACCTTTATTTTGCAGATCTGTATGAATTTTGTGCAAGTGGATATAATTATTTCTAACTTACTTTTAATATTTCTAGTATATGATCTTCATTTGCATGTAACCAACAATTAAACTCATTTAAGTAAAAGTAAAAATAAATAAATAAATAAATAAAACATTAAAAATAAAGAAACAAATGTGAAAAGTAAAAACTGAATAAAAAATAATAGCTTACTTATAGAGTCATTAGGTATTAAGCAGGAGTACATGAAAATTGTGCAATGCCCTTTTCGGTACTCAAACCTGAACCTCTCTAATATGCATCAAGTGTACTATCGTTACACCATGAAGGCATGCAGAAACAAGAGAAAAAATGCCTTATATTTTTCAGCAGAAAATAATTGAATTTTCCAAAGGTAAAATGCATGTATGTTGCAAGAAATGAATAAAAATTCATTTTCATAATTAGACACTGTCATTGCTCCTTAAGTAGCACTTTTAAAATTTATTAAATTCAGTATTGTAATGCAGCTATTATTTTACAGAAAAGTTTTAGTTTCATATTATTTTAAAATTTAAATGTATAAAATAGTGAGAAAATAGAAGTCGATCCATTAAAATGTTACTGAAGAATGAAGTTTAATGGGAAAATGTGCAATTAAAATAAATCTGAATAATATAAATAAATTGAAGTTCAGGTTCAGAATTATTACCATTTTTAATCTTACACCAAATTTGAATTCTTTGTCAACTATTTTTAAAATTTATATATCAGGAGTTTATATGTATACATATATATTGAGGTCTTGAGATATATATATTGTAATATCCTAGCTAAAGTAGAGTTCCTTAAGAGCTAGAATTTTGAAGAACTGTGTTGTGACTATTCGCTGAGTTCTTTTAAGTAAGAAATCTAAAGTAGGGTAAAATTACCCTTTATTCCAACTAAAAATAAATGAACAGATGGCCCTCTTCTAGAGCCTACAATGAGTCTCCACTTGGGTTTTAACTCAAGATAGAGAACATAAAACTAATCTAATGCAAACTAAAATAAACCAGCCGAAGCTGCACAAAATTAACTTACTGACTTGGCCCCTATTTAAGATCACTAGCGTATATTTGTAGGTATATAACAATACAGCCATATAACAGTAAGCACAGACTACAACAATGTGGTCAAAAGGCAGAACACGCTCTTCTACTGAAGTGACCCAAACGTCAGTTTAAATACTCGTTTCTATCCCATTTACATAAATCGTAATCCTGAAAACTTATTTTGGCAGAGAAACATAGGCGGGAAATGAAAAAAATAAAGGAAAGGCATAAAAATAACTGTTAGGAAAATAAAAAAAAAAAAAAATCGTGTGCCATATTCAGAGATATTCTCCAAAACTCTCATATCCTCAAAACTTTGAATAGTAACTTCTAGTTTTTTTTAATGTATCAAAAATATTTAAGATTGTGTACAAATTTTTACAAATTGAATTCTATGTATATATGTAAGTAATTTTAAATTAATTATTCCTTAAAATTAGATTAAAAAATTGAGTTTTATTTACATAAAACCTCAAATTGCAGATTATATAAAAAGAAAGCAAGGAAATTTAATTAAAGAAAAGATGTAATATGATGGTGTTTTGAATAATGAACATCTCCAATAAAAAAATCCATGCATAGACCAAAAAATTTTTCACAGAATAAACTCAGTCTCACTTTAGGAATCATATACAGGTTTAGTTAGACATAAAACATGGAGATAAATATTTTTAGAGTCCTTTTTAATAGTATGTAAATATTTTTTTTAAAAAAAGGGCCTCAGCATAGATAAAGATGAGGGAGCAGGAAAATGGACAGCTACACATATTTCTTAGTACTATATTATCACTGAAGAACTACATGCCTTTCTTGATGAGCTCAAAGAGAAGTTACATCTAATGAGAGTACAAATGGTCTGTGACCTTTATAACTATCAAGAACCTTCAGAAAATGTAGAAATTAGACTGATACCACATTTTCTAAAGCAAAAATTTATTTAATTTGAAATGGAAAGAGATCCAGTTCATGGCCAAGCAGTTATCATATGAGAACCGGTACTTTCGGCATGGTATGGCCATTGACAGCCAAGCAGTGATATCTCAAATAATCTTCAGTGAACAAACATATAAGGTATTATCTCCCTCCTTTTGCATGTCTTTGCGGTGTAATGGTAGAACACTCAGCCATTATCAAGAGGTTCAACTTTGATTTCCACCAAGGGTATTGCTCATTCTTCATGTCTCCTGCTTCAAAATAACCTAATCACTCTACAGTGGCTCCCGAACTAAAAAGTGGTGGATTATGATTCTTTACCACCAGCATTTGACATTTAGGTCCTCTAATCCTCAGTTGTCCTTTAGAAGGGAGAGTATATAAGGTATTTTCTTCTTCCTTTTTGCATGCCTTCATAGTGTAAGGGTAGGACACTCGGCGTGTATTCGAGAGGTCCAGGTTCGAGTCTTGTTTTTTACCCAAAAATCATGCATTCTAAGCATTGTGCAACATTAATAAAGGCATTTTTAAAGCAATTTTAATCGATTTAGTAATGTATTTTACATCCATACTTAATGTTTCTGTATAAACTATATAAATTATTTTAGAATGTTTCTGTATGAATTGTATAAATTATTTTAGAATGGAGCATGTCACTCTTCCTTTCACTGCACGAACTTACAGTACAAGGCTTCGTTGGTGGCAACCACAGCACTCTGGTGAAGGGAAAGACCAATGGGCATTGGATGATCTTTACCTCAATGCTGATAATAGGCCTCATCAAGTGGAAAATATGCAACAAGTAAGAAACAAATTAAATTGAAGTATGGTTTTGAAGCTGCTATATACAGTGTCTCACAAAAGTTTTCACACAGTTTAAGAATTTGCAGAAAAAGCTCTGTAACCCGGAATTGAATTTGAATATTAGGCCCAGTATGTTGTCATATCATCTTCATGTGTCTTAGAATAAAACCAAAATTTTTTATTTTTAATAGACTTATTTTCTTTTTCTAAAATAGAAGAACAAAAGGCGCAGATAAAATGCACAACGAAAATGATCGTACACCGAAACATTTTCTTAAAATTTTATGAATAAAATTATCGTCTACCACTTTTAAAAAAAATTTTTGCAGACGTTTAAAAAAATTGTTTGGCTTTATATTTTGCTTGCTTGCTTTGTAACGTTTTATTTAATGCTTAAAAATGGCTCCTAGTCATAAGGAAAAAATGAATGGCTTTCGAAAATTGACCATTTTTTATCATAAGGATGGAAGTTCGATTCGAGATAGCGCTAAATTAGTAAATTTATTCTTTTCTGTGGTGAAGTATGTGATAAAGTGCTTTAGAGAAGGAAATTGGATTCAAAATAAAGTAAGAATAGCTTGTCCAGCAAAGAGGACTCAACGTGATCAGAAATTTATAGTTAGAAAAATCTGGGAAAAATCCGCATTTGAGTGTTGTAAATGTTTCTTTAGAATTTACTTAAAATTTTTCTACTTCAATTTGACTTAAACTGTTCGGCAAGGGCCAAATCAGCTGGATTACACGGGTGCTCTGCTTGGGGAAAATTTTTTGGAAGAGCAAAAAATAGAAAGGTTAGGCTTTTCTTCTCAAAATCAGTGATTATTTGGAATCATGCCTTATTTGCAGATGAAAGCAAATTGAACATTTTTGGTTCCAACGAGCATATAATTGTATGAAGAAAAAAAATTAGGAACTTAATCCCAAGACCTTGGTTAAGTAAAGCATGGCGATGGAGTTGTTCTTGTGTGAGGATGCATGTCGGCATCAGGATTAAATAATTTAGTATATATTGATTACACATTGAAACATACTCTTTATTTAAATAATTTAAAAGATAATTTAAAATTATCTTCCCAAAATTTGTGTGCTGGAAACAACTTTTATTTTTTAACAAGATAATCATCCTAAGCACAGGGCCCTCAATGTTTCCTTTTTGTGTGTCTATAATTTTCCACTTGTTCTGTAAAAACCACCTCAGTCAAGAGATTTAAACCCAACAGAGCACATTTCTAGAGAATTAGATGTTGAAGTACATTAAAACAAAAAACGAACTAAAAACAACAGTTGGAGGAACATTGATGCAGATATTACAAAAAAAAAAAAAAAAATAGTGAACTCTATGCCCATTTGAAAGCTGTCAGAAATACTGCGGGATATACTACAAAATACTAACGGATGGAAATATTGAAATGTTTACTAATATGTACAGATTTTCTTAAAGTGTACAAAGACTTTTCTGTTACTTTTTTATTATTGATTTCCTCTCCTCCAAAAAAGTTTTAATATGTTCATAAAATAATTAATGTTGTTTTACTAAGAGAAATTTAAAGATATTATTAAAAAAATTATCCTAAAATACTAATCTGTATTAATGAATGATGTAATATTTCATTGAAACTTATAAGTGTATAAACACTTTTGGTAGCCATTGTATGATACATTTTTAATTACCATTCCAAATATATATTATTTATAACAGAAACATGACTTAGAATCTGTGTATCATTCACTAAAATAGGTTACCTTTAATTCAATACTTAGTTAAATTTTAGGAGGCTGAAAAAAAGTATTATTTGATTAGTTATAATGCAGTGCTCAAGAATTTTAAAGATCAGATATTGTTTTCATAAAAAAATCCTTTAAATTTTAATAATATTAATTAATACTTTTATAATTGTTCCCAATATACTGTTTTTAAAGTATGTATGAAATTTTATAAAAATGTTCACGTAAGAGGTACACAGAAGTGGTAACTATCCCATGAGGTAAAGAAACCCTACTCATATATGGGTGATGTAGTGCTAAAAGGCTGTTCATATTTTAGAAATGAAGGCATCAATGAATTGCTGCTGAATAAATTGTGTTCAAGTACTGAATGAAAATCATCAGTAAACTGAGATATTCTCATGCATTGCAAATGTCACATTAACTGTTAATTAAATAAAATAATATTATAGGTCAATTTAATTAGCTGTTAATGTGACATCTTTAAAGTGTATTCAATGTGTCCATGTTTTATTTCAGTATTGCTGGAAAAACTTGAAATGATATAAATAACAGAAATATCATTAAATGTTGTTATAAAAATTAGAATAGTAAATAAAGATAATGAAGATCATATCTTGAAATAAACAATTTGCTATTATTTGTCAAAGTTGTGCCTACATTTTTTTCCTTTCCTTTTTTTCTTTTCTTTTTTTTTTCCATATTTATCAAAAAAAAAAGTGTTACTGAATAATTTATTTTATTCTTTTTACAGGTTTCAGCACCAGAGGAGCAAAAATTATTTTCTGCTACAACAAAATTTTCGATACAGCGTTACTGCAATTCAACTGAAAAAGTGTTGTTGCTAAATGGTCCAGAGAAATTTAAGTTTCTCATTACAAGACCCCTTTTCTTAAAAGAAGGGCAAGTCATCATGTTTCAGGTACATGAAATTTTACTGCATTTCATATTTTCTAAATATAAACTATTTTTGTGCTGTACTCTCATTTAAAAGAAAGAGAACTGAGATAAGCAGAAAATGGGAATTAATTTGGGATTTTCCTTTATCTAATTTTATAGAATGATAGCTATTGATTTTAAATTTTAATACTCTCCCAAAATTATAAAAATAATGATGGTATTAAAATCAATAAATTATTTTTAAAATACTTTTTATAAAACACTAGATACAAAAAAAAAAAAAAAAAAAAAAAAAAAAAACTATTTAAAATGTTATTATAAAGTTTGTTTTATTTCTTCATTTAATTATCAGTTGCATTTAAATGCTTGCAGTCAATTAACTAGAGTATGTGAACTAAAATAAATGTAGTATAGTAGAAAAATCTGAAATCTGGATTTTCAATATATGGACTTACAGACCACAAGCTTCTTTTTTTTCTTTTCTTTTCTTTTTCTTTTTTTTTTTTTTTTCTTTTCTTTTTAAGAAATTCTTTTGCTATTAGTGAGAAAGAATTAGATTCCAGAAATAGCATCTTGCTTCGGTATATACTTCACGCATGAATAGATGCTTCATGCATGAATAGTATGCATTTTTTCATGTTAAAATATGTGTAAGGTCTTAATTTCAGTTTATCACTAAATGAAGCACCTTCATGTTGAAGAAACACAATCATTAATTAACTTAAATCAATTTTATCAATAATTTGTTGGCTCTGCCTGTTGGCTTTGCATACATCTCAATCCGGCAAAATATATAGGCAAAATAAAAAAGCAAAAATTCACAACTGATTTCACTATACGCATTTCAAAATTTTCCAAAAAGTTAATGTGCATTGAATATACCGGATTTTTTTTTATGTTATACTTTTAGCTTTTATTTTCTTCTTCATTCCCGTTTATTATAAAATTATTTTTTCCTTTTGTTTTTTTTTTTTGAAATTTGTTTTTCCTTCACAATGCATTTTGCTGTGAAATGACAAACATTGTACAGTTAATAATTAAAAATAAAAGTATGTTTTGACTAACAAAACTAAAGAAAGGAATATTTATACATGATTAATAAAAATTAATTATTCATGTAATATTATATCTAGAGTAAGGTACCATCCTTATACTCATTATTGGAATTGTCGTATATTGATACTTTGATACCCCCCTTACTTTGTTTAAAAATTTGAAATTAGATTCCATTTACTCAAAAACCAGTATTATATTTATTTGTTCCATCTGCTTAGTTACACTTAAGTGCTTAAAGTTCTAGTCATTGTACAAGGCATATATAATAAATATGTTTTTCTCCTATCTAAAATATCTATTTGTAAAATATCTTTTGAAGTAAATCTTTTAATTATAATAATGATTAATCTTTTATGTGGTAAGATTATGTAAATTATGTATGGATATTAGATTTAAGTGACTGAAATTTAAAAATTTCAATGGGAAAGTGGTGTTTACTTGGAATATTCCCATGATTCTCGAGTTACCTGGAGTCTTGTTAGACAACAATGCTGCATAAATGTACTAGACCGTTTGGCAGATGAAGCTACTATGTATTTTTCTGCATTGCATGGAAAATAGAGGTGTGTTCTTATACCTGTTACCCATCATCTGGCTTGTAAGTATGAATAAAATATTAAGATACTTATTTATTGATCTATTATTTATTGAAAAATATTTTTATGATATAAATCCAGATGTATTGCATAGTTACAAGAACTATCTATTAGTTTTCATGTTAGTTCTAAGCTTTATTGTAAATTTTATTTTTTTACTTTGAAAAAGAATAATTGTGATGAAATATTATATTCTGGACGATTATATATCTCTAAACCACAGAATTTCTAGCAGCAATTTGCCATCAGTGTCAACATTAAAAAATCATTATACTGAATAATTCACCTTATAGCTGTAAACTGCTAATATTTTGATACAATTGGACATATTATTTTAGGATATGTCTCTTTCCCTAATCATCCAGTAACAGATGAACAAACTCGTCTCCTCAAAAAATGCAAAAGATGATCTTTAAACCCATTAAGCTAGGGTAAAAAAACTTGAATAACTGTAACATGTTTTACTGATATATTTTATAAGTCTATAATTTTATTGAGATTTGAATTAATTTCCAATTTTCTTGCCTTTTCATTAATTGTCATTTTTTTATTTATAAGCTGTCTTTTTGAGATAATTTTCTAATTTCTCTCAGATTAAGAAAACTTGAATGTAACAATTTGCTAATTGAACAGTAGTGATTTTATTGTAGTTCTGCTTAGTAACGAAAATTATGATTTAAAAAACTGTTGAATAAAATGTATAATTGTATAAAGTATAATTGTATAAAGAATTTTGAATAAAAGATATAATTACATAAAGTATAACTGTATAAAGAACTTTGAATAAAAAGTATAATTGCATAAAGTATAACTGTATAAAGAAGTTTGAATAAAAAGTATAATTGTATCTCTCAACTAAAAATAAAAAATGTAATTATTGTGTCAAATGTAACTGTATAAAGAACTTTGAATGAAAAGTATAATTGTGTAAAGAATGAAAAAATGTGAATTAAATTCCTATTTTGATAATTTTTGGCTACTCTATATATTTTACTCTTAAATCAATTAAATATGATCTGATATGAAAATTCATCAAAGCTGTGAGAAATTTAGTATATGTACTGTCTGTGATTCTATTCTAAAGGCTTTATTTATATAAATAATGACATGCCATGTGTGTTGTTAATTTAATATAACTTTCAATTGTTTTATAAATTTTAACAATTTCACATTAACTTTGCTGCATTTCATATTAACTATCTTCAATAATTAATTTATTCAAGATCATCACATACTTATAACCAAGGACCACATTTTGATGACACATGCATCTTTTGGGGTATTTTGGAATATTTTCTTCTTTTAAAGTATTTTTGAAGCTTTTCCAGGTATTTTAGAGCATTTTGAGGCATATTCTAGTAATCAAACTAGAATACAAAGTTACCTTTGAAATGACATTATTTCAACCCCTATGAACTCATTTTTACCTCGCACGCTTTATAGGATCTCCTTCTTCTTTTTTGTTAGCGTACAACTTAGACTCTATGTAAAAGATGAAGTAGCAAAATCTTGCTGTGTCTTGAAGAATTAATACTGCAGGAGAATTTTAAATATCCTTTTTATTTAAACAAAATTAAAACATATGCATGCACTTCATGCTCACAAATCACCACCACTTATGGCTAATGTAAATTTAACAGAAAATAAGAATGTAAGAAACATTAATAAGATAAGGTATCTAACGACTGGCTCCTTAGATTAAATAAATGCTAAATTGGCTGCACACAGCAAAGCTGAGCCTAGAAATATCAGTATAAACTGAAAGGTGTCTAACACTGACTAGAGAGCTAATTTGAAACATGCAGCATAAACTCGGAACTAAGTCCGCTATTACTCTATATGAACTCTTGAAACACAACTTAAATACTGCTTCTGAAACACGTCTAGATTTGCATCTATGTCATAACAAATTTACACTCTGGCAGGAAACTGAAATCAGGATGGAAAGGAAAGGAAAACTAAAAATAATTGGTTATAATAAAATAAAGACCTTACAGCTTCTGCGATAGACATAAAACTGATTATGTAATCTGTTAATCCTATCTACCGTGACAGATTTTTGTTTCCCTGCAAGGTATGAATATCACTTTTAAGAATTTTTCATTACCTGCATTTCTTAGCTTTTTAAAACTTTATGTGCATGTTCACTTTCATATGATTGCATGCAAAGCTGAAAAGACTATTTCCTCAGATTCATTCTTTGAATTACACACTCTCAGCTATGTGGAATACATTTTTCTACCTCGAAAAAATTTCTTTTATTTATTTATTTATTTTTGTGCTCAGCCGGTACAGTCTGTTAGTGGTAAGTTGATGAATGAACTTAGATCTTTTCTACTTTTAAACAGGGACTATTAGATTATTGTCAAACACAAAAAATTCTTATTTTAATAAATGAGTTTATTTAAACTCTCAGTAGTTACTATAAATGATCTATTTCAAGTTATTTGAAATAGCATAGTAATTTACTTTCTCATTTAGAAGATTGCTAAATAAAGCATAATTAATGTTACCTTAGATTTTCTAATCAAATTAATTTTATTAAAATATTTACCTGCTATATTATTTTATGATGGGCTAACAATTGCTGGTCCTACAGGTTTATAGGGATCTGCAGTTCTCAGATGATATAGCAGTAGCTGGTATAGTTTGCTATACTCAAATGGTATAACGGTAATCCATGCTTTATTAGTACTCAAATGGTATACTACGTGTAAATAATAATTATGTTAAATTAATGTTAAATGCATTTAAAACTTGATAAAATTTATTAAAGTCATGAAAGTCTGTAAAAAAGCTTGTTCAATGAATATTTATTGTTTTGTTTAATGTGTTCATTTCTGTAATTAACACCTTTCCATATAGTTTTTATATAGCATATAGTCTTCATGTCTTTTATGTAACCAGTACAGTTTTGTAAAATAAAATCCAGTACTGAAGTTTTATGTAAATAATCAAGGGGATAAAACACTTCGTTTCCTGCTCTTGTAAATTATTTGCCCTTTTTTCATAAACTGAAATTCAAATTTGTTTCAGACAAACATTATTGCGCTGGTTTCAAGGTTTATATCACTCTGGAACATTTGGCCAACTTACCCCTTTTGCTATTAGTGAATTTTATGTTGGCTTTCCATGTCCTCTACATTGCTCAGGTCATGGCTATTGTTCTAATCAAGTCTGCATATGTGATCCTGGTTTCCAAGGTAATGCCATAATATTTTCTACAGTACATAACTTAGAATGTGTGTTCTGTTACATAATAATGCAATACAGACAGAGTCGTAGCTAGGGTTTTCAGCGCCCAGGGACAACTGAAGATTTCGCACCCCCTACTGCTTGCCAAGGATGGAAAACATTTAATTCTAAAATGTTGTAACATCAGTTTGGCGCCCATTGGATTCTGCGCCCGGGGACAGATGCCCCCCTCTAGCTATGGCCCTGAATACAGAAAACTCTTGCCAAATGCAGGGTAATGTCATTAATACACTGTGCATGTAGCAAAGTCGCGTTCTGCAAAGTTAACTTTATATGAAAAAAAATGAGTTAGGTATAATTTATGTTAAGAAAGTCTTTATAATTTAAGCAAGCATAAGTATCATTGCAATTAAAAAGGAAAGAAATGCAAGCAAAAAATTTGTAAAGACTTTTACTAAACACAGTGGTGCAGCAGCCCCAGTGGCCAAGGTCTGCAGTGCCTCGAAACCTGCTTTCTTGACCATGCGCCATGGGGTGTGTGAGCATGTGCCCTGGACAACTAGTCAGCTTGTCACAGGACCCCTGATGTTTAGTCACCATGCGAACTTGGTACTCATTTTATCGACCCACTCAAGAGATGGGTACTCATTTTATCATTGCAATTAAAAAGGAAAGAAATGCAAGCAAAAAATTTGTAAAGACTTTTACTAAACACAGTGGTGCAGCAGCCCCAGTGGCCAAGGTCTGCAGTGCCTCGAAACCTGCTTTCTTGACCGTGCGCCATGGGGTGTGTGAGCATGTGCCCTGGACAACTAGTCAGCTTGTCACAGGACCCCTGATGTTTAGTCACCATGCGAACTTGGTACTCATTTTATCGACCCACTCAAGAGATGGGTACTCATTTTATCGACCCACTCAAGAGATGACAGGCTGAGTCAACCTTGCCCAACCTGGCGATTGAACCTCGAACCTGTGGTACTGCTGTGCGATGTGCTAGCCACTGCACCACCAGGTTTCAGAAGGACATAAATAAATATGCAATGCAAATATTTCTTTTAAAAGCTGGTGACTTTTACTTGGGACAGTGACTGATGCAATTCTTTAATAGTTTCGTGGTAAGAAGCACAGAATTTTTCCTTCCCTTTTATAAGTGTCCCATTCTTTCTTTATTTGGGTCAATCTCCACTGCAGAATCAGGTAAATAAAATGAGTTTTTCCCCTCAATAGCAATAGCCTTAGCTTGTAATTTAAAGGTTGTTTATATTCCCCTTCAATATCATTTCTTTTACTGTCAGCTGGAGTTATAAGATCATCCAACAATTGTCATCATTTCTTGATCAATTCTTTGACTTCTCCTATATCTGAAAATCCTTCACCACCAGTTGCTTTTGTAATTTGTATGACTTCTTTGGCTTCATTTTAAATTGGTGGAAATTCTTTAAAATTGTTGATAATTTCTGCCCAGAGCTGATGACAGCAAAGCATTCAATGTTGACACATGATTGTTGAAACCGAGTGTGAATGAAATTTTACTGTTAGATGAATTAAATGGAATTAATTGAAATATAAATGGGGAAAAATTAAAAATTAGATACCAAAATATTTAAGTATAGTGATAATTTTGCTAGCAAACTATGTATAAACTTTGAGATTTCTGGTCTGTAACTGTAAAAGGAACTTTGAAATTTTAAGATTTGTATTAATCAAAATACTTTCTTGTTATTGCATTAAGGGAGGAGCAGGTATAATAATTTTTGCTAATATGTTTAGTGGATCTTTTCCATTGATAGATAATATACACCAAATAATTCTCTACAGAAGATGTATGTGCAGTTATTAAATTAAATGTGTTATTCTTATCTCTTAAAATAGTATTCTATCTCTTCCAGAAACAGTATGACCAAGTAAATGTTTGAGTAGTAATAGACATTCTCTAACTTTTAAGCATGAAGTTGGTTTACCTTCATTTGCTGTGCCAAGGCAGTAGAAAAGTCTGAAAGGGTAACAGCACTTGAGAAATATTGAGGTCTATGTTTTAGAAGTAAAAGAGATGTCCAGATGGTGTCAATCTGACCATCAAAGTTTATGCTTTGATAACCAGGCGTCAATAATGGTAAAAATGTGAGCTGAAAATGATTGAGCACTGGCTTTAGCCTCCTTTCTGAGCTTAGAACCATCTATGTATATATGCAGTCATTTCTTATTTGGATAAAATTTTTCTCACCATGGAAAAGAAAATGCTTGGTCTGTGTTTAGACATCAGGACAGGCCTGTAAAATTCCAATTTCAAAGCAATATCTCAGATTTCAGTAGGCTTTCAGATCTTGTAAGGGAGATAGGTCAAAATTTAGCTCATAAATCAGCTTATCCCTTAAATCAAATTAAAGAAAACCCTGCTTTGTGATTAGAAATTTATCTTAAAGTTCTTAGACATCTAAAAAAGCTTGAGAATTTTTCTGAAAAGCCTTAAGTTGGAAATTTGTATCTCACAAACCATGCATAATGTAACAAAGAATCTATTGGGACTGCTTTTACATCACCAGTAACAAGGTAAAGAGTCTGGTTTTGCAAATATTCCAATTTATTCTTCAAATTCTTCAACTATGTTATTAATGGGGTATAGCAATATTTTATAAAAATGGAAGTTGCAAATTCCCAACATTCTTTTGCAATTTATTTAATTCAAATTTGTTTGAACAATTATTTACTCTTAGCATCAGATCTTCCACCTGTGAATTTCCATGAAAATTTTCTCTCTAAGATGACCCCTCACATATTTAAAAGTTTGACTTTAAGACTGAGGAGTATGATTATACAAAATCTCAAGATCAAGAGGCTTTTGACACAATCAGAAAGTCATGTAAGTGGTCTTCCCATTGTTTTCATTCATGTTATTTATCTGGCACCAATTATTCAGTATCTTGTAACTTCTCCTATTCACCCCTTTTGGGGTGGAGGACCATATCATCAAATCGCCAATGTACAGGAATACATTTTACATTTACATTTACATCCTTATCTTCTGGCTTAAGTAAAAGTTTATTGGCATATACATTAAAAAGACCTTGTCACTGCACCCTCAGGAAAACCAGACTGAAGTTCTTTGTAATGAGATACAGCATTTCTGTAAAGTTGCTGATCTTTTTTAGAATAACTCCCACTTCTCCCAGGTGCAAAGGTTACTTGAGTAAAAGTTTCCTCAAAATGCAGTCATATGCTCTTTTAAAATCACCAAAAATTGTAGCTGCAATAGAGTCCTTATCTAAATCATCATTTGTATTTCATCTGATAACCACAATATTTTCCTCATTTGTTAAATACTGCTTAAAGCTTACTTGAGCAGGGTGTAGCAAGCCATGAGATTTCAGATATCATTTATCCGTGCAAGTGTGGCCAATGTATCACGTTGCGCAACATTTTTGGATCATGATAATAAGGTCCAGTGAACACATTAGAGTAAAGAAGTCCGGACGGGCAAAGTCAAGGATGAGAGGAAATAGGGTGACCATGCATCACAAAGCTGAAACAAGGCAAAAATCGAACAAGTGGACAGATACCACTTTAGGCTATTCACCACTATTTTTTACAATATCTTTACAGGAATACTGGTTAATGAGATAGATATGTAACTTTTGGGATATTCTTGTAATTTTCTTTTTTCTAGCAAAGGAGAATAATAGTTAACATTTTCCAGAGAGAAAACAGCAATATTCCAAGTTTTATTGTATATTAGGATGGTAGACATTACAGCTGAGCGAGTATGATGATTAAATTCATCAAACATGTCATTATTCCTAGGATACTTTTTCTGAGGATTATCTTTCATAGCAATATCTAGTTCAAATTAGGAAAAGTCAGTATAAAGGGCAGGTGTAGGTTTGCCATCCACATATCCTGCAGTTGGCGTTTTTAGTTCTGTAGTGTTGTTCTTCATACATCTTCTTTTGATTTTCTGAATTGGGATTTAGAAAAGAATTTTTTGCATTTATAGGTTTCGTCACATGAGAGTGCAGTTTCACAATGAAGTAAAATATCTGTCCATTGTCTTTCCTAAAGTCAGTCTCAGAAATAAAATCATTAAAAGAGATTTTTCAGTGTTCTTAAATCTTAAATTTTTTAATTTAGTTTGATTTTTCATTTTTCAAAAATTGATCCTCTTCTGAAATTTTCCAGGTATTACATTTGTATAAATAACCATAAAATATATCAAATTAAATAAATATTATTTAAATATAATTTACTGTAAGTTGTAATTACTAAGACTGGAAATATTTTATTTTTAAAACTACTATTTGACTTATAAATTATGCATAAATTTTCATTTATTAAAAATTATTTTAGATAATTTTCCTTGAATTATTGCTAAATATTGAACTTTTCTGGTATAACTGACATTCTAAGTGAATCTATTTAGATCTGCCTGCTTCACTTATATTTTGTATATATTCATCAGTTTAAATAACAGTATGTTAATGGTAGAAGATATAGAATACAGTCAAAAGTCATTAATCCGGACTCGTCAGGACTTCGGCGATTCCGAATTATTGATTTTTCCGGATTATAGATCATCAGTTTAAATCTGGTAAGATGGCATGCAGAAATTATAAAATTAAAAATATGAAACTGTAATTTATGAAATAAAGAACAATTATGATCTAAAGGGTATCAAAATTTACAAAAAAAAAAAAAAAAAAAAAAAAAAAAAGCTTAATATTTATTTGTTTACTTTATTAAAAATTTCTTTCAATGTAAGTTGTTTAAGTTGCTTCGTTTTTCATGTGATAATGCATTCTCTTTAATTCTTTAAACAGACATAATTTCTTGTTCAGTTACAAAGTTCCGCTGTTCAAGTCCTATAATTGCTGTGTCGAGAATACCGACTAATTTGTCAATTGAAATTTTTTCGTTTTCAATAACCTCTGTCACTTTCTTCGCTATCGGAAGTGAATTATTATGACGAGGAATTTGATTTAAATCATATCAAAGATGGAGTACATCGAGATGAAATACTACATTTAATAAGGAATTATAAGCCAAATAAAATAAAAACATCTGCCCTGAAGATAAGGATAGTGCTGACAGATCAACTTCCAATTCATTGCGCGGCGCCGTGGCATTAAAGATAAACAAAGTTTAGATAAACAAACGTTAAAGTTTAGATAAACAAAGGATATGCCTTTATCCATCTTTTGTAGCAATTCCATTTTTTGTTTAATGAACTTCGAAACATACTTTCGCTTTGTAGATGCGTGAAAGCGACGCATGCGCAGAAAGTTTGAAGCCTTGAGGTCCGGATTATAGATCATTCCGGATTATGGGTGTCCGAATTAACGACATTTGACTGTATTTACAATTTTTTTGTGTGAACTAAAGTTCCAGTTACATTGTTTATAATTATAATGTGCAAAATTTGTTTCTATATTCTTGCATAAAGTTTTTTCCAATTAGAATACATGTATTTGCTTTATTTAGAGGATCTATTAGAATAGTATTTTTTTTTTCAAATTTAAGATTTAAATTTGTCACATAGAAATTTAACAAACAAGTTTTAAGTTTCAAATATCTTAAGAAATTTTAATTTAATGCCTTTTGCTTTATTATCACATATTCAGGGCCCACTTGCACACCAGTTCACCAGAATCCTGCTGGAATGTTAGACAGGTTTGACGATCATAGTGATGTTTCTCAGAGTTTGGAAGTTTTTGGCGGTCAACTTGGTACAGGTTGTGGAAATTTATCTCTAGGCAATTCTCTTTATTTTGGAAAACCTGGATATCGCATAGCGCATACAATGGATTTAGATACAACTAATCTGAAGTGAGTTAAAGAAATGTTTAAAAATAATGCTGCTTTTTGTGTGCATATTAAATTTTAATATACAAGCATTTATACATTTGATTCATATATTTTAATAAATTATGTAAACATATATATTTTCTAAAATTTTCAGAACATTACAGTTCATTGTTCAACTGGGAAGTGTCCAGAATACAGCTACTTGCAGAAGACCACAAGATAGAAGTGAAAATGTTTTCGTCCAGTTTTCAACTAATCATGGATTGATGTGGTCAACTCTTAGAGAATTAAACTATCAGTTTTTCAGTCATAAGCCTACAGCAGTTGAACTTAATCTTCCTAAGATAGCAAAATCTAGTACTACAAGCTTTAGATGGTGGCAACCCATAGGAAAGAAAGGTATACTGTAACATTATTATTTATAAAACTTTAGTTATTATACAAAAAGATTAATTTTTTTGGCTGTTTTTTCCTCCCAAAAGCTTAAAAAATATGTAACCAACAAATTTTATAGCAAGCATCTATGGCACATGGTAAAGAATAAAAAAAATTAAAAGCTAAAAATAGGGATATAAGTTTTTATAAGAATCAAAGCACATGCAGATTAAATTTTTTGCATGTGAGAGAAAAGAAAGATAGGATTATACTTTTAAAATGTAGTTTAATTTTATAAAAGAGCTTGATTGAATTTTGACATTGAAAAATATTGTAAATTAAGATTATGGAGAATAAGTGTATAATATGTAAACCAGGAGGACTGTGAAAAATGTGTCATAAACTGATAAACCTTTGAAATTGTGTCCTGCATGAGATCTTTATTATTCTAAGGAATAAAATTTACAAATGCATAGTTTATAAAATTTAATTAAAGTAAAAATATTTTATATTCAAATGTGTTTTGTAGCTTTATATGATCTTCTTTCAGGTGGAAGTAGGGAGTTTGTATTTTCATGTGTGAGAGATTTGTGTTTTTATTTTATTTATTGCTTTTGTTATGCAGTTTATAATATTTCAATCATTGTGCATATATTAAAATTAAGGTCCTTAATTAAATCATGTAGTAATCCTATCAGATCATAAGAGGATTCTCAAAGAAAAGGCAGGCCTTTATAGTTAAAAAAATCTGTATGAGAACCTACTCATAGGAAGCACAATAGGAATGCATAGGAATAACCCAAATTGCTTGTGCAGTCATTCTGTTCCCATGATCCTGGATTGAAATGCCTGTGTTCATTGGTTTTATTAACTTGACAACTGCTAGGAGTTAAATCATATTACTTTCCTTGTGAAATGAAACAAGATTTCTGTCTAGTTTGAATAAACGAGAAGTTTTTTTTTTAAATTTAATGTAAGAAAAGTGAAATAAGTTCACTTGAAATATTTCATTCAAAAATATAAAAGTTTTAGATGATATATTTAATCTGCATTCTGTGCAAAGGTGATTAATATATTTTGATGTTAGCAAAGCATACAGCTTAATTTTTATTGCATGCAATTTGCAAACAGTATATGTTTCTATATATGTTGATTATTACCAGTAATAGCCAGTTTTTCTTTTTCATATTTACTCTGACAGTATATATGTATCCATTATAAGATAAAGTTTTATATGAAACTGAAAAATGCATTAAGCATTTCACTAATGCTAAAGGAAAGTTGTATTAATTCTTATAATTTTTTTGTGTTTCTATTACAGATGAATAAACATATTTGCAGACTTGTGATCAGTTTAATGCTGTGATACATTATAATATATGTGTAAATTATTTTATGTGTACTTAAATCTTTTTTATATTTACAGAATTACAGAATATTATGCATTATTATCACAAAGTGAAATAAGCTTTAATCCCTTCAGAGTACTGAAATGTATTTTTTAAAAAATGCCAAAATCTGTTTTGACTAATAATTCACTCTTTTTAAAATTTAAGTTCTACATTCTGTATATGAAAATTTGATTGAATCTTCTACGGTTTTTGATCTCCAATTATTCAGAAGAGCAAAACATGTACTATTTGAGACACATTAATCGACTTCGATGAAAGTAATTCATTTCCCCCTGATGGGTTCTGAATTAGGGTTTACAATAACAGAGATTAATTTGTAGTTTTTATTTCTATTACCATTTGATTTTTTTATTTTTATTTTCATTTTTACTTCTATTACCAATTTCCTTTTTATTTTTCAAGTTTATTCTGCGATGAAATCTTATATTAATTTTGATTATGTTCAGTTCCAATGTTGACCTTTTTCCATGGTTTCAATTATTAATATTAATAGGGAATTGCCGTGTCTTTATTCCAATTACTTTCATTTTTAATTTTGGATGCTTTATATATATTATAAATATATGTTTTTTGCAGGCAGGGAAAAAGCCCAATGGGCAATTGATAATGTGCAAGTTTTGGGGAATCATAAAAATTCTAAAGGGTTCCATGACACTTTCAATCCTATTGTTATCGAAAACTGGTTTTTGACTCAACATGGTATTCCTAGAGCTGGATGTGCTTCTGCTGACAAAGCTCTGACTTTTGCTGCAGATCACAGTAAGTACTAATAGCAGCTAAATTTATTCTTTGTGCAATAGTATTTTATTTTAAAATTAGCATTATTTTTTCCCCTTGCTATGTTCATTAACTTTTAATTGAGAACTTCTGTTCCATACATAAAAGAAATAGTTCTGTGGCAAAATTTAAAAAGCTGCAAGGGTGAATAGTAGTGTTAAAATATTGAATATCATCAAACTAAAGCACTGATAAATTTTAGATAATTTGATTTTCTTATTTTATTGTGATTTTCCTTTTGTTGACAGCGGAAGAACATTATGCTGAAACATGGGATTTTGAAATTCAGTCTGCCACATTTTTGCAGTATGATATAAATTTAGGTTGTGGTTATCATAGTAATCCATTCACTGTGCAGCTGGAATTTTCTATTGATAAAGGGAGGACCTGGTCTCTTGTATCACCTCCATGCATGCCTCCAGATGTTGGATGCACGAGCTATTCATCTGGTACTGTGCATACATCTGATCAGTATAGCAACTGGACAAGAATAACAGTTTATCTACCTCATAGAGCCATGTAAGCAAAGATTAATTTTGAAATTTCTTTCTTACAGAAGTATATGTGCAAAAATCTTTAGGTTATAAAACTTTTAGACTTAGTTGGTGTTTTGGGATATAAGCTCTTGAGAAATTTAAACTTATTTAGGCAGCTGCACCATAATAAATTTCTTCTGCATTTCAAAGTATTGATATTTTTTGTTGTTTGAAAATAAAAGTTTTTAAAATGTTTCAAGAAAGTAACAATTTAAGTTTAGTTACAGTAACCTCATAATTTATTTGTTCACACCAGAGCTGTAACTGCACCACAGTCCAGCTCCAGTACTTCTCAGTTTTTGACATAAATATAAATCTTAATTCTATCTGCAGGGCTCCGGCACTTCTTTTATGTAACTGAATCGCAATTTCAGCAGAAAATTCTTCGTATCTTTAAAATTTTATTTTAATAAACAAGCCCACCTTAAAAATAGATTTCAACTGAATATATGCCTCTCTTTCTTTGGGAAACTAGCCCTTTGATGATCTGAAAATGCCATCCACATGTCAAAAGCATTTTATCCAGAAGTGCACTGAATTTATGAAAGCAAGTTTTTGATTTCTAAAAATTCTATAAGTGGAACTTTTGGAAGGATGAAATTAAATATGAGGTACAAAAATTTTCACCTACACAGAACCTCACTTATATTCTCTGTTAACAACTCAGACTCTGGAGGACAATGCAGAAAAATCTGTCACATTCTGCTTGACAGCTAGAAATACATTGGCAGGAACATGTTCAGAAAGTTTTGCACTCTTCCTTCTTTGTTTTCACACCTACACATTAGCATTAAAATTTCCTGTGACCATGCTGTTTTGCCCCAAAATTCCTGGTCCGATTACTGGTCCTTTGGAAGCCCCTCATCAACCTTTTTGTCATGATTCTCTCTACCTTTCCCCAGATCACTTCTAAGTTCCTCTCTCTTCCTAATGTATGGGTTATCCCTCTGATAGTAACCACTTCCTCCTTAGTTCTTGAGTTCAAGCATATCTGCTTAGTTTTCTTAAAACTTCCTTAAATAAAATATTCGACATAACAATACAGAGTAAATAACAGTATTCTATATTCTATTATTATGTATTATTATGATTATAACTGGACTCCATAAACACGTGCAGTATTTTAAAATTTTAAAGTATTTGTTAACTACCTGCCTGTATAAAGCATTTTGACGACTTTTCAAAATAAAGTAGGATTATGCAATGTTTGTTTAATTCATTTGTTGGCAATTAACTCATTAATAATAATGAATGTTTTGAAACTTTTGTTTGAATTATTAGTCCAAAGGGGCAATTTGCCCTGAAGGACTATTAATTTCATTTTGGCATTTTGTGTCGAAAACTTTAAAAGTCTGTATCACTTTTCAAATAGTTGCCACCATATATTATCACACTGTCTTATATTTAACGAAATTAAATAATGAAGAATCTACAAAAATGTGTGTATAAGTTTCTTGCATTGTGGCAAAACAATGGTACCTAGAGCCATCAAAATTTGAGTTACATAATCTTCCATAGAATATGGACATGTGAAAGCTCTAATTTAAATTTGAAATTTTTTTTATTATCGATTTCAGATTTTGTAACAATTCAATGAATTTTTGATTAAAAAACTAAAAGATTTCAAAGAGAAAAATGGTAACTACCACAAAAAAAAAAAAAAAAAACCATTTTATCTCCAACACGCAAGACTCTGTATTGGAAATTCTAAAGATATGCTCATTTTAAAATTAATTTGGGACATTACTGTTGAACTGAATTTTATAGTTTGATTATGTAGAACATGATATTTAATAAATAAGTTAGCACACAAAACATTAAAAAAACGTTATGGACGTAATTTAAAATCTGAAACCTTTCAAATTTTAAAATTTTTTTATGTTTTATTATTTTAACCATTAATTTTATTTATTTATTTATTTTTCTTTTCTGATAGTCTTATGGCCTTCCATAAGGCTCTCCCACGTCTGATTTTAGAAATTAAGCCGTGATTGACATATTACTTGTCAGCATTATAAACATAAAGCATATGTTTTAAATTCCTTGCAGATATGGTAAACTAATAATGATTATTGTTCAGCAGCTGTAAAAAAGGGGTTATTTTTTTCAGTCCTCCAATTAAAACTGTGATATTTGTGAAGGAAAACATTTATATTAAAAATGCTCTTTCTTTTAAGTTAGAGCAAAATCAAATTTAGTAATATTTAAAATTAATTAAGTGAAAATTATTAATAATAATTCCTTGTAATGACTATATAAACAAAGTTACATTAGCTACTTATTAGTGATATAATGAAATTGGGATAACACAAAGAAACTTTTATATTAATAATTAGAGAAAAAGTTTGGAAATCAGCCTTTGGCAAATCCAGATTATCAGTTATACTGGATTATTGGATTATTGTATAATTCTGTAGACAGGATTTTGTGAATGTGATTGATTATATTATAAGAAGGAAAATTTTTAAGCAAAATCATAGGTGCATTTATCCTATGAATGTGCTTAGTGATTGAAAACATGTAAGAAAATAAATGATTTCCATAACTTAGCAAATTAATAAACTAACTAAACTAATTGAACTAATTTTTCAATTTACTGCTCTGTTATCTCAAGAAAACCTTTCAAGCAGATTTTGAATGTTTCATAAGGTCAATATTCATTATTTCTCATATGCTCATATGCAGTGATTATCCAGTACTGTACTATCTAATTTAGACTCTTGAAAAGTAGATTTTTCGAAGGAATTTTCTGAACTGTATTAAGCATTTCAGAGTGATTGATGATAGGGAAACCAGTATTTTGTCTTCTTCACAAGAAATTTCTTCCTGATATTCAGAAACAATTTTTGTAAAAATCCCTGTAAAGCTGTGCTCTTTACATGTTTTCTCTTTATAGTCGCAATAGCAAACATTACATTTATATTGAACTGGGATTACAAGCCTTTGACACTGCTGTCAAAATTTAATAAATTTTGCTCATAAATAAGTCATATTTTAAAAAACTTTTGCTTAAGTGTCTGCAGTTGGACTTAAAGTTCTGAATTACTCCTTCATCCAAAAGAGGAATCAAGAGAACAGTATTATATTTGTGAATAGCATATTGAAGAAATATTGTTTTATACAAACTCAAAAGATAAAGGAATGGCCATATAGATCCAAGAGGGTGGAAAACTCAAGAAGGTCCTTAAGAAGCTAATGCTTTTCAAAATCATATTTGTACTTTCTGATTATCTGCATCCCCTCTGAAAAGTCATGAACTCATTGGTGAGTTTATAGAGCATTCAGGAACTCATTGTTGCTGTGGAAAGTCATATGGAGGGGGGAGAGATACACACATACCTGGGTTGTCACATAAATACTTTTTGGCAATGTCATTACCACATAATTACTTTTTGGTGACATGGTGCATTGCATCATTACGTCTTCACATTTTTCGGTGAGGGTACAGGTAATCTGAAAGTACCATTATGGTAAATATCTCTTTTATTGTAAAAAAATATTTCCTAGCAAAAACAGCTCTGGCGAGGGACAGCCGCTAAATGTTTCTGAATGGAGTTGCTAAATGAAATATTTTTATATGATGGCACTCTAGGCGGGTGTGCTCATGCTGGACTGTTGGTAATGAAAAATCTTATTGGACTTTTACCTTATTGAAGCAAGAAACATAATATGTAACTTTAGAAATTGTTTTAGTTTTAAATTACTTTTTTTTGGGGGGGGGAGAGAAGAAAAACTCTATAAAATCAGGTGCTATCTTCCATTATTAAATTTGTCTTGCATTTCACATGCTTTTGCATTAAATAAATTGGCTTGTTAATAAAAACAAGGGGAAAAACTTTTTTATATACATTATACAATTTTTGTCAGTAGATTTTAGCTGTGCATTATTTTCTAGATCTCCATCAACTCGCTTCCGATGGATTGAAGTGATGAAGTATTCTGGTCATGCGTGGGCGATAGATAATGTATATCTTGGAGATGCCTGTCCTTGGATGTGCTCTGGCCATGGTTACTGTACTGGAAAGAAATGCTTGTATGTATTTAGGGAATTGATTCCTTCTATGATGCTAATAATAATATACTACATATGATACACATCTTATGTGCATGCATATGATACACATCTTATGCGCATGCATATGATACACATCTTATTATCTTATCATCTACATACAATTCACATCTTATGCTAGTTTGGGCACCATCGGACTTCCTGAAATAATATTTTCAGTGTAATGAGATCTAAGATTTGTTTAATTTAATCCCTTTTAATGAAGTTTATCACAAAATATCATCAGGAAAATTTCATTATTATTAAGAAAATCAATTATTTATGTAATTTACGTTATCATTAATTAAATGAGTAAAATTTATTTACTGTCTGAAAAACATATACTAGCCTAAACTTAATTTCTAAAATCAAAATTTTCAAAAACTTGTATAAGACCATTAGTTACAGTGTAAAAGTAAATAAGTAATATAATAATAAGTAATTAGATCCAAAATGAAAAATTAATAAAATTGTTAGACAAACAAATTAACTTACTGATAGATACTTAAGTAATAAAAGAGATATATTGTAAAAAATCAAGTGAAATAATAAAAATAAATTTTCTGAACTGTTCAAAATGTTCCACATATTTTGTTGGGAAAGGATGCATTGTTTATATTCAATAGTTAGAATCAGTTGCAATAAATTTTAAAATATTATATGTGTTGATGAAATTTTTCTGTCAGTGATGCAAATCAATTCTACATTAAATCCCTATAAATCGTTTCAGTTGGAATTATGACTTCTATCAAAAACAAGAAGTGAAGAGCTCTCATTAGTCACAGAAGAAATGACTCTACTTCCTTCCTCATTGACTTTTATTTTATAAAATTTTAGAATTAATGGAAAATTTTTTAGAGAAAATGTTTCAAAATATATATACCTTTTTCATATAGTTATTTTAATCACTAAAATCGAAATTTTATTGTTAATCATAGATTATCAGATTACAGAACTCCAATTATTCAGATCTCTTGTTCTTTGTATGCCATGCAAAACTAAGCTTGCTGCTAATTTATTTATGTATTAGCATGTCATTGATTTAAATATAGTAAAACTACAGTTATCTGGATAGCTGTTTCTTCTTTTGAGGTTACACAGAGTTAGGCTTGTTATTAATTATATATATTAATTTCTAATTAATTTTAATAATATGAAGTAAATGCTTGATAAAAACTATTTAATATATTTAGGTAATAGTTTACTGGTATGAGCATTATTACTCACAGGTGGGTGCTGAAAATATCTGCGAGAAGATCTATTGCATCTTCTATGAAGGATGTTGAGGAGCCAGTGGCCAATATGAGCATGCTTAAAATATTTAGTTTCTTGAAGAGTTTGTAAACACATGCTTAAATATTTACTTATTTATATAAGAACTACAATAATTATCTTTATAATAATATGTGCAGTATCTTTAATTGCTATTGATCTGTTTCCAGATAGACACTGCTGAACACAGCAACAATAAAAGACTGAAAAGGGTCATGTGTCAAAAAACACTGAGAAATTATGATTTTGATAAATATAATGACATGTATATTGATTTAACAGTTAAAAATAATTGATTATAAGCAAATGAATATGTCATAATCATATATTTGGTACATATTCGGTAATGTGTTACCACTTATCAGTAGCATGTCTTACTAAACTTTGGCAAACAGTCTTTTAAAAACATGCCATCAAATATCATATGCAGATACATAGCATATAAACCTCAACAGAAAACCAATTCGTACTTTTGTTTTGTTTTGTTTACATTATAAGTAGTTGTTTAACCTTAACAAATTCTTTTCTTCTCTCAAAGTAAACTAAATGAATGTATGCAAATAAAAAAAAAATTCTTAGCTTAATACAGTAAAAATAAAAATAAAAGTAGCCATTTAATTTTAGGCCTTACTTAAATTCATTTAATTTCGTTGTTTCATTTTACTTGAAATTGAAGTAGGTTATAGTTTAGATAAGTGAAAATAATTATAAAAATGAAGGAATTTTGCTTTCTGTTTAATGAAAATAAAAGTATTTTATTCTTTTTAATTGAATAATTTTTATTGAAATAAAAAAAGAACAGTAAGAGAGTAAGATTTCTCCACTTGTACTGTAAAAAATACTTATTTGGTTTGCAGAAGAACAGCAATCCAATGATCCTTATTTTTAATTATACAGATGAACTGTGATCTCATTTTGTCCAGATAATTAGAGTTCTTTTGTGATATACAAATATGACATAACAAATTATGTATTTTTTAAGCAGCTGTTAAATTAATCTTTAGTTGCTTATCATAATATTTATTGCATCTTAACTTGGAAGGTTTGAAAACAATCTAAACTTTTAACATATTTTAAATAAATATGCTGATGAATTTTTCATCTTATTAATGTATATTTTTGTTATTAAAGTAGCAGAAAATCTTATTAATGCATATTTTTGTTATTAAAGTAGTTTCTAGACTGAATTAATTAAATGTAAGCATAAAATTAAATAAATAAGTAAGGAAAGTAAGGAAAAATAATTTATATGAAGTTTTTGAAATTAAAATGTTTAGTATATTCTTCTATAAAATGCAATAAAGTCATTTTCCTTTCAAAGATGTTACTTTTTCAAAGAATTTTAAGAAATATAGCAACAAATTATAAACTATTCAGCATCATTTATGACAATGGAATGTATTAATTTCATTTGTTTTAGATACCAATTTTTGTTGTAAAGAATGCAATAAGCAATAATGGATATACGATCCACTGACCTCTTTTATTTTTTAAAAATCTGTTTTCTGATTCAGCAAAAGTCTCTCTGTTTTTTTTTTTAATTTACTTTATTTTATTTTTTAAGTATATTTTGTTGACTTTGGAGGTCTGCTGTTGTCTTTGTGTATGACTACATAAGCCATTTCTGATTGTAGAAAATCATAAGAATCATATATAACCAAATCAACTTCATTTTTATTCAAAATATTGGTGCTAATCATTGAATTATAAATTTATATTAAGACATATTAGTTTCATCTATACCATTTATATTAGTTGGTGTATTTAATTATGGCAAATCACACTAGGGCTATCTGCCTAAGGGAAGGAATGCCTTCGTGGAGGACTTTCTAAAAGAAACTGGCTCGTATACATGTTACACATGGGGAAAACCACGAAAACACCCATGCAGCCAGCCCGTATACTATATCCACAGAATTCCTTATCCAGCCTTTATTCTTGCAATAATTGATCATAGACATATACTTCCAATTACAAAATGTTTTAAATGATGCAGATTTTGTATGTTTTATTTAAAAAAAATATTTTGTATAAAATAGGAAATACAACTTCTTGCACATTCTTTCAAGTCCCTGTACTTATATTTATATCTGCCAAAAATTGTTTTAAAAAATATGTAGAGACAATTAGGCATTTTATTTTTGACTTGAGACTTGAAAGATGAGTAAGAGACTTAAATATGCAATGCACTCATGGGGGCTCAAATCCTGACCTTCTAGTGCTACCTCAATGTGTTTCCCAATTACACGATGAAGGTATGTGGTAAAGAAAGTAAAAAATCTTACATTCACCCCCCCCACTTAAAAAGCAACTTTCCCATGCTACCCATAAGTCCTTTCCAATTAGACCATGAAAGCAGGCAGAAAGGAAGGGGAAAAACTTATATATATACATATGGGTGGCATACATACATATGTGTAATAAATAAAAAATGCAAAATAAAATAAATAATGCAAAAAATCATAATTTTTTTAAAGATCATTAATAACAAAAGCGTAACATGATCACTTGAGTATATTCTCAGCTCTCTAAGGAAAATTTGATTTGAGCAAACTATAAAATTATATTAGATAGACTGATCTTGATGAGGATGTAGTTTTGGCATCCTATTATATGTAGCTGCTAAAGAAATAAGTCTATACATAATATATAAAGATTTTGAAATTTTTTTTCTGTTAAAACATCCCATACATGTAATAGAAGTTTAATTTAGATCAATATGCATGTCACACAGATTGGCCTAACATATTTGGAAAATATGAAGCATTGATGGAGAGGGGGAAAAGGTCATGAGCCATTTTTGGTATAATAACTGATGTATTTTTAAAAGTATAACTATACTCTATCAGCTTTGTCACCATGCAATAGAATTTTATCTTATAACGTGTAAAGTGGCAGCAAACAGTTACTTTTTGTGTATGCTGTATTTTTTAGGTGTGACATTTTTTATGTTTGAATGTCTTAATGTATAGTATTTTATTAACTGTAAAGTATTCCTTGAAATAAATGCAATTAATGAAAAACTAGAATTTTGTTATTTCCATCTGCAGCAAATATGTATTTGGCATATATGGATTTAATTGCACTGTCAGTAGAAGTTTATGAAGGCAGAATGCTATGAAATTCATGCTGAGTTTATTTTTTAAAGAAATTCTATACCTCGTGTAGATAAAACTAATGCTAATAATTTTTCCAGGTGCGATGCTGGCTTTAAGCCACCTCACTGTGTTCCTGAAAAACCACTGCCTTGTGAATTAAGAGACACATTTGACTCATTTTCAAATCAAACTGTTTGGCCAGAAATCTATGGAGGAGAAATAAGTTCCAGGTGTGGAGTGCTCGTTAGTGGAACAGCTCTAGTATTTTATAAGGTGATGTACACAACAAATATTATAGTTTTTACCTGTTTACATATATTAAAAGTTATGTATTTTTATGTAATGTTTTTTCAAATTATTTCATTTAGGAGGGAGTTCGTATGGCTGTTACTCAGGACTTGGATTTAACAGCGGCTCAGTATATTCAATTCACTCTTAAATACGGTTGTCATGGATCAGTACCATCAACAATAACTCGTGGAAATGGGATTCTTGTACAGTTTTCTAACAACGGTGGAATTACATGGCATTTGTTAAAGGTATATTAATTTTTTAGGTGCAGTATTCATGAAGCTTTTAATTAATTATTTAAATAAAATAATTAAAAGTTTTTAATTATTTCTAATTCACTATTATGTCTTAAATTTAGGAACTACACTTTTCTGCTGAAACTGCTCCACAGTTTTATATGATACCACTGAAAGATCCAACTGCTTTGACAAATGCAACAAGGTTGAGGCTTTGGCAGCCAATTACTGCTAGTAAGCTTATCTTAGAATTTGTTCTTTCTATTTGCCGAACTTACAAAATGAAATAAATGAAGTTTTAGAAACAAACTTCAGTTTTAGGCTTAAAATAATGAATTGTATCATATGTTTCCAGCTTCTTGCTATTAGAAAAATTTGCCACTCCAGGCCTATGCTAGTCATCTTCATACATAAATTTATATTATCTATATAAATATGCACATACACAGAGAAAGAGAGATTTAAGTTTGTTTAAATCAGCTTATTATTTTATAACTGAAACTATTCTGTAAAGACTGCCTACCTAGCCCTGATGACAATTAAGTGGCACTCAAATGCAAATGTAAAACTTGATAAAATTCTTGTTTTCCACTCTTTGTGATTTACACTAAGGCTAGAATATACCACTAAACCACTAAGTCACTTATTTCTCAGAAATAATATTTGATATTTAGAAAACTTGCCTTGGTGTACAAGTACTAAAAGTAGTAAAGTCAAATTCAATTCATTGCCATAAGTACTTAAAGTCAAATTCTCAAAGTAGCCAGAATTATTTCCCTTACTTACTATTTTGGAATTTTGGAAAAACAGTAATCGTTGATATCTCCAGCAAATAACAGAATTGTAATGGATGTCTTAATTGCCAAAAATCTTGTAGATCTTCTATGCTACTGTTTAGATCAATTAGTAAATTTATTTTTTTTAAACTAAGAATTTATTTCATGGATTTGTTTAACTTATTAAATTATAATAGATTATTGTAATTTTATTAATACAATCAAAAGTCGTTAATCCGAACTCGTCGGGACTTCGGCGATTCCGGATTATCGATTTTTCCGAATTATAGATCATCAGTTTAAATCTGGTAAGATGGCATGCAGAAATTACAAAATTAAAAATATGAAACCGTAATTTATGAAATAAAGAACAATTATGGTCTAAAGGGTATCAAAATTTACAAAAAAAAAAAAAAGCTTAATATTTATTTGTTTACTTTTCTAAACATTTCTTTCAATGTAAGTTGTTTAAGTTGCTTCAATTCATGTGAGAATACTTTCTCTTTAATTCTATTAAACAGACATAATTTCTTGTTTAGTTACAAAGTTCCGCTGTTCAAGTCCTATAATTGCTGTGTGGAGAATACCGACTAATTTGTCAATCGAAATTTTTTCATTTTCAATAACCCCTGGGTCTCTTTCTTCACTATCAGAAGCAAATTATAATGACGAGGAACTTGATTTAAATCATATCAAAGACGGAGTACATCGAGATGAAATACTACATTTAGTAAGGAATTATAAGCCAAATAAAATAAAAACATCTGCCCTGACGATAAGGATAGTGCTGACAGATCAACTTCCAATTCATTGCATGCCGCAGCGTGAAATTGATAAACAGATTTCAGATTTCGAAACATACTTTCGCTTTGTAGATCCTTACATATTATAAATATATATCGGAAATTCTATTTGACATAATCGAAAGTTCAAGCTTACTTTTATAAAATTGCTCTAACAGTCTGCAAAAAATAATAAGCCGGATCCAATTCGAAGATTAAGAACAACGCAATCTGTAAATTAACTGAATTAGATAATTTTAGCTTAGCTTATACCATTCGTTACACATTAAACGCGCATGCGCACACGCATATTTGCAGCCGTAAAGGTCTTACACGCACTCGTAAACGCCTGTGCGCATGCGTGAACGCGACGAATGCGCAGAAAGTTTGTAGCTTTGAGGTGCGGATTATAGATCATTCCGGATTATGGGTGTCCGAATTAACGACTTTTGACTGTAAATAGTGTACATTTATGCTGCCGAACCAGTATAGTGGGTTGGTAACCCTAACTGTTGTAGCGATGAGCCCAGGTTCAAATCCCAGGGAAGGCATGGTTGTAATTGTTCGTTCCTTCATAGGAGGCAATGATGGCGACCTATTAGGTGCTTCCATAATGAAATGGCCACCACTTCTGGCCCTTGTAGTGGCACAAAGCTTATGACTATTAAATAAAGCAATCAGCCATTAAAAAAAGTATACATTTATGAAATTATTTGTTTAATTTTATAAAACTGAATATCAAAATGTTTTGCATTCTTTTAAAAATACATGTTGGTTAAAATCAAATTAGTAAACTTGACATAGTCTTGTAAAAAATGTGTATAAACCAAAAATAAATGTAATGTATTGTAAAAATGTGCATTAACTAAAAAATAAATTAGTAAACTGAACACCTTCCTGAACTATTATTTGGAATTAGTGAGCTTATGGTACTTAATTTGATAGATATGAATGTAGTAGTATCCAGTAGTAGATGTATAAAAATGCTACAAAAATAAGGATTTCAAAGATGTGGAGAACATGTTTGCCAACTGTTAATATAAAATATCACCTCCTTTGACACAAATAATTTGTATCCTTACCTGAATTTGTAGCATTACTAGTAAGTATTATTATTAAAAGAAATAACTTTAAAATTTTTGGAGGGCAGCAAGGCATCTTTTGGGATAACATGCTAGCTTAACATGTTCATTAGTCAAACCTAATGTTTTGTATATTAAAAATCCAAACCTTTTTTTAAAAGGGTTTGGATGCTAGGTATTCATACAAAATTCAAAATACATACATGCTAGGTATTCATGATTAAATGCAAATTTTTCAAACTATGTGAAATTATTTATGACATTATTATATGACATTTATATTATTATGATTATTATATGACATTTTAGCAAGTCTCACTTCTTTTTCTAGGCACTAGTGTAATGCAGTGGGCTATTGATGACTTTTATGTTGGAGGTATGATAGTCAAACCTAATGTTTTGTATGATCCTTTGGATCTCATTCCACAGCCTGATGCATGGCTTTTCTGGCCTGGAGGTGTGATGGATGACTTTTGTATGAGGTAAGAGAAAATCATGCATTAAAAAAAGGTGTATGTTATGTGTGTATACATTTCAAATTAATTCTAATGTTTATTTTAGTAACAAAGCTAGAGATGGTTTGGTATTTTCATCTACTGAAGGTGAACGGTCTCTGTATACAAGAGATATGACTGTTATGGATGATTACGTCATCCAGTTTGAAGTATGTGAATATTTTTCTTGCTTTTTGTATATTTGCTTGTTTTAAATATATTTAATTGTAACAATAGTCAGAAATTTTGAGCTTTTCAGCCAAACAGATTTTAAATTACTGGTGAAATATTTATTTGAAAATAAAGCCATCTATTTCCCACATTAGTTTTTTTCATACCTAGAGCTGTGCATAAAGCAAAATTTCTAACTACAAACTAGAAAAGAAAATGTTGAAGTTTAAAAAATGCGACACTCTTATAGATACACATGCCTTTGAATCATATATTACACGATAAAATAAAGTATTGATGTAATAAAAAAGTCGCCTTGTTGAAACAGTACTGTAAATAATTGTTTAATATTTTTCTTTTACAGAGCACACTGTTGACATATGCATTTGTGTTATTTTAAGGTGTTCCAGGGCTTCGTATACTCATTTCTGTAATATTTATACGTGATAAAAAAGCAAGAAAAACATGTAGATATGATTCAAGATTTCAAAATTCATTTTAAATTCACAGATTTAATAATAACTCACTAACCACTTTAGTATAACAATAATTAAGTAATCATTTTAAAGTAAATAAGAAAACAAAATATTTTAGATATTAAGATAATAAATACCAAATAATAATAAATCTCATTATTGGATAAAGGCAGTTATGCCACTCAGCTAAATACTGTTTATGCATATAACTGACAATAATTAAGTAATTATTTTGAATTCTTTTATGCTTTAGATTGCATCTATGAATTTATTTTCTTATTGTAATTTCATAACCTAGCAGTAGCATGGTTATGAACCTAGCAGTAGCATACTTATGAAATTTATAATATATTATAATCTTTTGCAAATATTTCACAGTAAAGGACAAAGATATTTGAAATTTCATTTTTTTTCATTATTTTTTTAATATTTATTTTATGGAACATTTTGAAACAACTGACGGAACAGCTTTAAAAAAGTACCTAGTGAAAGGCATTTAAAATTCTGAAGTATAGATAAAGGAATAAATCTTTAAAATAACAGAATTTTTATTGCTTGTATTTTGTTACAAACCTACTTACTAATGAAGTTTAAAAACCATCTGCTAGATTATCTGTCATGTTGCATCTTTACAAAGTTATTCATTCTTTTTTGTGTTTCTTACCTTTTGTTTATATTTGTTCCCATATTAATAATATGCATCAATATGTCATTGTATCAATTCACATCAGAAATGCTATTTAGGGATGTTCTTTTTCCATAATTTAGAGACAACAGTTTTCCAATGTATGTTATTATTATCTATAAATGATGTTATTGTAAGTTATTAAGATACTTTTGTTTCAATATAATGGCATGTAAAAATTTGCTTTTCTTCATATGATTTACTATGTGAATTAGCAAGATTTTAATTTAAAATTTCCAGCTGAAAGTGGGTTGTGGAATAACTATTTCTCCAGAAGATCCAGTATCTCTTCAATATTCTTCAGATCAAGGACGGACATGGGAGCTGGTGAAGTCATCATGGTTACGATATGGATCTGGCCCTGATGCTGTACTTCAAGCAGAAACTCCTTCTGTTTATTACAGCAATAGTCATTACACATGGCAGAGAATTGTTGTTCCTCTTTCTGGTTTGAAAATCTGTGGGTAAGAGCAAAATGCTGCATCTTTTTTTTTAATGAATATTTAATTTTTTTAATTTCTATAAAATCTGTTGAAATACAATGGTACAATAAGTTTCTTAATAAACATGTATTTAAAATAGAAATGGATGATAATTGCTTTAATATTTACTAGTAGGTAAAAGATTTATCATGTGCATTAAAAATTTAATGTCATCTTGATATTTTACTGTTTATACCTGAAAGCTCTTTGTAATGTACAAATGCCACTTTAATTAATTTATCTAGATTAAAAATCTAGATTAAAAATAATTTATATTTCTTTATATTCTTTTAGGAGCTTGAACTATAAGCCAAAGTTTAGTTTGTTCTCATGTGCATAGTATATAATTTTTGTTTTCAAGTAATTTAGTAATGATGGTATTTAAGTCTAATTTTCTGTTGTTTGTTTTGTATATTTTACTTTTAATAAATCTCCTTAATCTTCTAAATGGATTATATGTACTTTTTTATAATTGAGGACTTGGACAAAAATTAGATTCTCTTCAGAGTGGTGGATGTTTGCAACTCTGCAGTTCATTCAAGACTATCCAACACTTTTGGATAATCTTGAATGAATTGGCTTGTGTCTTGGCTGGCATACCACCCCTCTCATTGCAATATAAATTTTATTATTATCATTTAAAATTTTTAATGGCTATATTGATAGACTGATTTTATGTCACAATATTTTATGTAATTATAGAAATTGAATTTTAAATAGAAATGATTTCCACCCAGATGAAAATACTGTTATCTTTTTGGATTGTTTTTATTTTGGTAATGCAGAACTTGATATCTGTACACTTATGGTTTGCTTATATTGCTTATGGTTTTGGGGGCTGTTGGTTGTGCTTTCCTTGTTTATTTTTGTAAAATAGAAATTGATTCTGACTGATTTATTTTGAGGCCTGGTAAATCTGTATTTGCTAGCAATCAGATTTGCATCAACTGGATTGATGAAAATCTTTTGTGTAGCCATGTTATCAACTTTTATTGTAATGCCTTCTTCAAGCATTCTTCTGCCCAGACTATGAAAATGATTTGCTGTTCAAAATTTAAAAGAAAAGGGCTCACCTTAAAAAAACACACAACATTAAATTCCTTTGGATAAAAGCACCTGTCAATGGGAGGACTGATGCCCTAGTCAAAAAAGCTGTTTATGCTATGTGTTAATAATATATTCAATTAATTTTTGCTTTCATGCATTTTTCAGCTCTACATTCTTCATATACTACAATATTGTTTTCAAAATCCGTATGTAGTCTATTAAGTATAGACATAAAACATTTTGTAAATTTGCAGGAAATGAGAAAGCTTAATTATAGCTTTCTTAATTGATTTTATATTTAATTTTGTTTTAATATTATGCACATAAAAAAGCTGTATTTTTATTCCATTTTTAACATCTTTCATAGTACAGCATTGTTATATACAACAACCACTTCTCTAATGTACTAATTTTATGTAACTATCAACTGCATCATAATTATCCATAAGTAACTGAAATACCAAATTTATGATATTTTTTTTTTGAAAATTATTAGGTTGAATATGATTTGTAAAATTATATAACATGGCTTTTTTATATCGTCTCCATTCAACTTAAATGATAGTTAAGTCATTTCTGTATTTAAATGACTGTATTTCTCACATTATTTAAGTGAAAAATGCTGATGCTTGAACAGGTTTTAAATCCTCATATACCTTTTTTTTTTTTTTTTGTTTAATAGTCTCTGCAAATGTTTTTTAATAAGCTTGAGGGTGTAAAGGTGAAAGTGGCAAATGAGTTATAAATATGGTATCTGACGATTATAGCATCTTAAAAAAAAAAAAAAAAAAAAAAAAAAAATCTTTATTTTGTGAACAGTTTGCAGTATGCAATAGTTTTAAAATAAAGCATTAGCTCATGGTTTTTGTTGAGGTTTTAAATATTATGTGTAGTTCTGTAATTATATCGAAAGGAAATTAAGCTTATGAGTATAAAATTTAAATACTTTTTTAGTCTAATTGGATGGATGGTATTCCCGTACTTCTTCATCATTCTGAATGATGAGATAATAGCATTGCAGGAAATGTTTAGCATTAAGTTCTTTTAAGTATTAAGAGCAGTCTGGAAAAATGAAGTTTGCATTGCAAAACAAAGATGGCTCCTTTGCATGCAAATGAAAATTCTAAATGTTATTAAAACTGTCAAATTAGACCACATGCTTGAAAATAATTGAAATAGGTATATACATGCCAGCTGTATAATCATGTACCGTAAATACAAAATTTCATTGCATTCGAATTGTTTCTTAGATCGTTCACAGATAAAAATAACACTTTACAAAACTAATCGTGCTAAAATTGTACTAATGTTATATTTGAGGAAACATTTCGATATTCAAATGATTCATTTGTATTTTTTGTAACAAGATGAAATACGTTATTTTGATGAAACTAATTTTATACAGAATAAAGCATATAAGCAGTTCCATGTTGATTTTCAATTAATTTCTTTTTTGCAGCATAATGGTTTACACCTGAAGTATAATCCCCTTCTTCTTCTTCTTCTTTTTTTTTTTTTTTTTTTTTTTTTTTTTTTTTTTTTTTCTCTTCTCTCTCTTCTCTCTCTTGTTTTTTTTTTTTTTTTTTTTTAAAATCCAAATATGCAAATGTTTGAATAAACTTTTATATAAATTTAAATTTCATCTGGTTACATGTTTTTTTTTCTTATCTAAAATTAACTATTATATTAAACTGTAATGAAATCATGAAAAGAATATCCTTTTAAATATAAATATTTGAAAGGAAAAAAGGACATTTCTTTGCTAAAATGTAATCTTGTTGTTTTGCCATTTAGTTTTTATAGTTTAATTCTTCCCTTAATTTAGTTCCCAATTAGTTCTCAAGTGTTGAATGAAAATAAATGTTTAATATTTTTTAGAAATGTGCGATTCAGGTGGACTCAAGGTTATCATTCTTTGAGAGATTCTCCATCTCCATGGGCAATTGACAACATTTATATTGGACCATCTTGTGCTCTTCATTGTATGGGTCATGGGTTTTGTGTAAATGGAGTGATGTGTGTTTGTGATGCTGGCTATGAAGGTGATTTCTGCCACAGCATACATCCTAATCCTAGTTTATTAAAAGATGGATTTGAAGGTAATGTTGATGTGATTTATTCAATGTCTGAATCATAAATGTCACTCATGTTCTTCTAATGGATACGTACATAAGATGCATTTATAAATTATTATGTATTAATAACATTAAATTTTATCTCATATGCTTGATTTTATCTTTTCAAAAATATTAGTAAATTGCATTTGATTATATATTTCGATCTGTTTACATCATTTAAAGAAGTTCTTATCAGCTGTTTTTTATGAGATATTTAAGTAAAATTTATTACAAATCTTTAAACTTAATAGTATTGAGGAAATCTAAATTTCATAAGTGTCTGCAATTTTTTATAAAGTTGTCATATGCTGTATTTAGAAGTAAAACACACTAAAATAGCATGCACAAAAATTCTTATTATTTGTCATCACCTTCATGCCAGAACCATGAGTTTGCAAAGTTTAATGTTAAAGTGAATTAAAAAGTGCAAAGTTTAATTTTAAAGTTTAATGTTACTTTAGTGCAAAGTTTAATGTTAAAGTGCATTAAAAAGTTTGGCATGTACTTGATTTTGAGAAATCATACTTGATTCGAGAATCAAGTATGATTTCTCAGAATCAAGTACATCTCAGAATCAAAATAATTCTGATATTTTTAAATAGATTATACATTTCTGCATGGTGTAAATTATCAAAAATAATATAGCAATGCATATACCATATATACCCGCGTATAAGTCGAGATATTTTGGACAAAAAAAAGACTTCAAAGTGGGGGGGCAGTCGACTTATACGCGGGGCCATAAAAAATTAAAAGAATCAGAAGTTCAAAAATTTCTTTATATAATGCAGTTGTTTTCTTCCTGCACTCAAATTGGATGACTTATCAAATAAGTCACTTACTTGAAAGTAATTTCATGACTTAATTATGTGACAAACTAATCACAGAGTTTCATACTTTAATCAGAGTAAGTTTTGATAACCCCTAGATGTCTGCCTCAATAAGCCCTTCAAAGTAAATGTAAGAAAATATTGGGCAGAGTGGATTAGTTCCGGTCGACAACCATTTACAAAGGGAGGCAGCATTAAAAAGCCCGATATTACGTTAATTGCTCAGTGGGTTAAAGATGCTTGGAACGAAATACCCTCTGAAATGATTATAAAATCATTTAAAAAATGTTGTATTAGCAATGAACGAGACGGCACGGAAGATGATGCTGTCTTTGAAAGTGAAAATGACGACGAAGGCTCTAGTAGTGATTGTAACAATACGGAGTTCGAGACTGAAAATATGTATGATGACGAGCCAATGACGACAGAAGAGTTCTATGAAATATTTTGCGAATTTGACCATGGAATCGGACGTTGACGGATTATGATTTTGTTTATTACCAAGGTATTTTTTTATCGTATATTTACTTTTTTTTCTCAGATGATTTTGAATAAACGTAGTACATAAAAAAAATTTTTCGAAGTTTCTCGATCGATTTCGGAAGTGGGGAGGGGGTCAACTGATACGCGGGTTTCTTATTTTCTACGAATTTTTTATGTCGAAGTAGGGGGTCATTTTATACGCGGTATCGACTTATACGCGAGTATATACGTTAAGTATAAATGACTAAAAATTCAGTTTCATGTTTTTGGATTGAAGCCAATAATATATCATATGAAAAATGAATGATTTTTCTCCCAAATTTTATGCCTTGCAGTTCCATAATCTGATTTTAATATTTGATTTAATTCATCATCATTTCAGACAATAAAATTGACTCCAAAAATTGGGAACTTTGGAGTGGTGCAGAAATTTCTTTAAGCTGTGGAATCCTCATCAGTGGTAATAGCTTAGTGTTTACTTTCCAAGGAGAACGCATATTGATGTCCCGTGATCTTGACCTCACATTTGTTGGGTATGCTTTAACTGTTAATTTTGAATCTAGTTGCAAGATATTTTCATACATTCACTTAAAAAAATATTGTTAGCAATTAATGTACCCATTTTTTACTTTCCATTGTCATTGAATATGTAAACTAAGGATATAAATCTCATTTTATGAACATCATGCAATTTCTTTTTAAATAATGCATGCGAATTTATGGAAAAGAAATATTGTATGTTACTTACTTGTTTCACTTTTTATTTTTTCTAATTGAAATTAAATACAAAATGCATGTTGTAAATTGGTTGTACGAGTCAAAACATATCAACCTTTACTACTCTTTGATTATATCAAGTTATGCTAATTTTGTGTTTTAATCTAGAATTTTGATAAAATCCTGTCTAATTAAATTTTAATGCTTTCACTTCTAATAATCACGAATGAAATGCAATTGAATTAATTAATTGTATTGTTAACTATCTTATTTTGATGAATACCTAAAAAATATGTATGTCTTCACTGTTATTAGATTTTCTTGAAAATTCCATATTTAAACATATGTTGTAAAACATCTGTATTTGCTGCTGTTACTCTTTTGTTTGCATATTTTTATTATTTTAAACTAAGTAATGTAAAATATAAATTTTTAATAAAACTGGTATACCAATATATATATTTTTTCTTGCTTAAGTTTCATGCACTTAGAAATCCTTCTGTTTAGATCTATACAATTTTACCTGAGACTGGGATGCAAATCAGAGGCTCGATCTTCTGAAGAGCAACCTGTACTACTACAATATTCCATAGATGGAGGATCAACATGGAATATGTTAGAACAATTTAGCTTTGGTGAAAATTCTAGAGTCTCTCATCCATCATACATTGCAATAGAACTTCCTCATCACGCACGAACCAATGCAACAAAGCTGAGATGGTGGCAACCATCTTTCAATGGAACATTTTTAGAAGAGTGGGCTTTGGATCAAGTAAGACTTATCTTTTGTTTATAGCATTTCATTAGTACGAAATCTAGGCAAAAACAATATAAAAAAAGCTTGCTTTAACTTTTGAAATCCCTCCCTACATGTATATGGTGTCTCATCGAGACCACATAAAGTCTGCAGCATCTGTAGATTCAAGCAAGAGATATTGTCACTTCTGATATATAAAAAATATATTTTATTGCAAACAATGAAAACTGGTACTTTACATTAGAAGATGCTTTAAATACACTGTGCATATTGACACATGTTTGTATATGTGATGGAATGGCTGATTAAGCACTCTAACAACACTATGATCACAACAGTGAAGGTGGCATGAAAATGAACAACTAAGCCATTTGCTTAATCTGTAGGATTTGACAAATCAGTTTCTCCATATGGTCCTATTGAAAGAAACCATTGATATATAGTCTCTTGTAAGAGTCATGTAACCTGGAAACCCATGCCGGAACCAGCACAGTGGCTATTTTCTATCCAACCAGTAATGTATGCAGAGTTGAAATGTGCTGGTGCCCCATTATGCTGGAAACAAAGACCACATAATATCAAAAAAGATATGCTATCAAGGAAATCCGTTTGTACACTGCATAATAAAAGGGAGGGGACAATTCTATATCTCCTGTTCTGAATTCTCTTGTTACTGGTTGGATAGAAAATAGCCACCGTGCTACTGGGCCCATTGTTGAAATTCAACTTGCATTTTTCATGTCACGAAAGCACGACTTAGGATATGTATTAGATTTGCCTATAGCAATGTTCTAATATAGGTATTTTGACACAAAATTGGACTTTTTCTGAAATAACATACCAAGTTTTTTCCATATTTCCATTTTATGACTCAAATTATGCCAAACTCCCAAGTTTTGTAAAAATCGCAGCAGTAATTTTTAAAAAATTAGCTCTCAAAATTTTAGCTCCTCAATGTTAGTTGAGTTTGGTATATATTTATTAATCTCTCTTTTTTTTATAAATTTATTTGATTTTTCCTTTCACATTTTGAAAATTCAGGTTCATTCCAAAAAAATTCACCCAATTTTATGATTTATTTTTTAAATTTGTATTTTTAAATAATTTTTATAAATTTTTTGAAAAAATTTTGATCTATAATCTATAAAATTTTACCATCATCTTAAAGTATACCTGCAAAAAATTCCAGTTTTTGTTCAAACTTTTGGAACATATACGTGAATTAATATATCGGTGCGTTTTGAATTTTGGCATATTTCTTGAAAGTGATAAAGCATCAAACGTGGTTTAGACACTTTGCTAGAATTATTTGAAAGTAGGAACGTTTTTCACCCAGGCACAATGAAAGGAGGTAGGAATGAGGTGCCTTTTTCCTCGCTCCAGCATAATGGAAGGGAAAGGAGAATGAGTTGCCATAGATATTAAGAAGTTCTCTAAGTGAATTCTTCTTGGTGCAAACTGAAAAATATCAGCTAGATAAATTTTTGAATTTCTCCGTAAATTTCGCACCAAATTTTACAAAATTTAATATCTAGGCATAATTTGAGTCGTAGAATCGAAGTATGGAAAAAAATTCGCATGTGATTTCAGAAAATGTCCGATTTTTGCGTCAAAATATCTATGTTAGAACAATGCTATATATAAATCAAATATATATCTGAAGCCGTGCTTTCGTGACATGAAAAACACAATTTGAGTTTTGTCAATCAGCCCAGTAAAATGGAAGACACAGAACTGTCCCATTTTTTTTGCGCAGTGTACATTATTGAGAATCACTGAGCATGAATAAATGACTGGTTCATAGAACAGGTATGGTTTAATAATGCAACTATTCACTGTGCTGGTCTGCACATTAACATACTAACTAATCTGATGTCCTTGTAGGAGGATTAACATACTAACTAATCTGATGTCCTTGTAGGAGGATTTTATGAGGGTGAGACTATGACTATAAGTGGCTGTTGTTCTTGTTAAAACTTCCATTACACTGGAAACATGCTTCATCTCACAAGAAATAAAAATATTAAGGACTTCATATTCTTGCAATGGCCATTCACAAAAGTAACACCATCATTAAAATTCATGTTCATGTATAGCTTCTGATAATACCCTGTACCTCTGCTATAATTAAATTATCTGCCTAATGTGCATGTACTTATGCCTGGATCTTTGCAATCCATCTGAGTATTGTAATTTCTTTTTCTGTTTTCTTTGACAGTGCTATTGCTTAAGTTTTACTACTAGTGGTGTGAAGAATTTCTACCAGGAGAATGCTACCAGTATTTCTCAGTTTGTCATCAATAACATTACTCAATAATAAAGTAAAATATTCATAAATGGAGTATGTTATAACCATGCAGAGAACTGTTGCTATCTCGTAACTTTTAGATATCCACTTTTGTTCAACTCAGTTTGTAGGTCTTCATTTTCATAACAAATTTCTTACTTATTATACATGTTATACATATATACTTATTATACATATATACATTATTATACATATATACTTATTATACATATATACATATATACTTATTATACATATATACATATTACTTATTATACATATATACATTGACTTATTATACATATTTCCCCCTTTTGTAAGCATATAAAATGTAAGATAGATGTTTATTTTGTTTCCTTCTATTGTACAGTTTTATTTCCTTCTATTGTACAGTTTTGTTTTTAATAAAGTTTATTTTCAACGCACCTGGAATGACTTTACATATTTCCCCTGTCATTTTTCTTAAAAACTTGATATATAAATCTTTAGAAATTATTCATTCTGAAATTATTCTATTATTTATTATTCTGTCTCCATGGAAAACTCTCAGTATTTGGTGAAACGTAAAATCTGCCATGTTCCTTAGATTGTTTAAAAAGTTGAAAATATATAAAGAGACATCTTTAAATAAAAAAATATTGTTCAATTTTAATTTTTATGAATTAATATTTTTAAGGTTTTCATCGGAGGAGATGCCAATGGGGTTTCTACACTGAATGATGATTTCAGTAGTACCAAAGAAGCAAACTGGGTATTAAACCCTGGAGCAAAATTAGAGCCCACTTGTGGAAGCAAAAATAATTTTCTACATTTTAAAGGTAATCTGTTCCCAAATAATGACAAAATATTCTGCTGCTGAACTCTGGATTTTAATTTAATTTTTTAGATATACATATGAATAATAATGAATAATGTTCATCTAAATTTATCATTTTTTCACCAAGTTTTAAAGGTAACCTTTTATTTGACAAGTCTTTTATCGATGAAATGTTGGCTTTCTTATGAAAGAGCATGCATGTAGGCTTTGCAATTTTTGATAAATCCAGAAACAGATAACGGATTATTTATTGCCGATTAAATAATTTATTCCTTTTATGTCTTACCTGCATTTTTGAAGAATTTCTTCAAGTGCTTTAATTTATAAACATATTTACTTTAAATTAATAAAGTAGTTAATCGAAGATGCTTCTATTTTTAATTTTTAATATTCTGTTCTAGAAAAACAGTCAGTAATAATTAATGCATTCGCATCAATTTGTATAAAAACTTTCATAGCTTACTAAGATGTTGAAATAGAATTATTTTAATCAGTTTTATCACATGATGCATTAAAATATTTTTGTTACATATTTAATTGTATCCAGTTACTATTACAGAGTGCATTGCCTTGGCAGTAGAACATTGTAAATAAAGGATTTTAGTTAGTTCTTCATAATTTTTGTATGGAAGTAGTTACTGTACATAAAATAATGTTTTGAAACTTTGAAAAATAAGATTGTTAATGCACAGTTTTGGATGCTTTGATAGTTCAAAGCTCATTGCGATACAAACAGGTTCCACAGATGGCTTAAGTTGCTGTGTACTACAGAATGGGATGCCACATCCAATTTCTTCTCAAAATTTATCTGAAGCAGAAAAAGACTATGGACAGAGCAGTGTTTGCTGTTTCTAAATTCTGCTACTTCATTTATGGTCAGGTAGTTGAAGTGCTAACTGATAATGAACCTTCCGTGCCTGTAAATGGAAATATAGGTTAGTATCATCTAGGTTGCAATGAAGAAAATGAAATTGTTAAAATTTCAGTTATATACTTTCTTGACTTACAGTTGTGTATGGCAGATTAACTATCATAATCTTTTATTCCTGAAAAATATAATTCTGAAATGATATTAATTATGCACAGTTTAGAAAGTATTTTTAGATGTGGGTAGATAAGCAAAACGAGTTTTAAGAAGCAACACTAAGTGATTTAGGCCTTGCCTATGCTATCAAATTTGGTTTGAGAAATTGTCTTAAATGAGAAAAATGTACTTGTTGAAGCTTAGAAATATTTTAAATTTCAAAATAACATATATGACCAGGGAATTCTATGTTGTTTAATGATAGAAGGATAATTACAATGAATTTAAGAACAGAAATGATGAAGTTCACTTTGAAGTAGAGAAAATTAAAGCCAGAACAAGGCAATTGTTTTTTGGCCGATAATCAATAAAGATAGTTACAATACGATTGCAATATATAAAATTTACAAGATATTTAGGTCTAAAAATGTGAAAGAATCTTTAATAAATCACAATATTCCAAATTTGCCGTATGAAGAAACTGGCATGGATATTTGTGAACAACGGATGAAAATTGCCTGTTAAAATGATAGTACGTATCAGAGTAACTAGATATAAAAACTATTGACTAAATCTTCTGAGGAAATAATATTAAAATTTAATGAGGTTTGTCCTACTTGTGTATACTCAGTTATTTGATATAACATGCCTTTCTGTTAAGAGTATGAACCAATTCACAAAAGCTTGGGTTTTGAAATTTTGAACAGAAATCCTAGTTATCCTTATTTGAATAGATCTGTAGAGAAAATGGTTGGGATAGCTAAAAATGTTTGACATAAAACAGGAATAGAGGTAGATGAAAATTGATTACTGGAATGAATGTTTTGTTTTATGTCTGCAGATCCTCATGAGCTGCGGTCTTTGTAAAAATTACTAGCTAATCTGTCAATCTTAAAACCAAAAGCCATAAAAGATTTTAGGAAATAAGCAGAAGTTAAAAAGGACATAATTAAATTTTACATGATGAGCAAGCCAATAAAAGTGTGGATTTTAATGAAGGAGTAAATACACTATTGAAAGCTGATAAACATTGGAACCAGCTGAAATTATTAAGAAATATAAAACCCAAATTATTCTTATTAAAGACAGAAAAAAAGGAAGTAATCAAGAAGAAATTTATTTCATCTAAGAAAATGTTATTCAACTTGGATTGTTCTGGGTATTATGATACAGAATTATTTTATTTGGGCTGTTAAGAGAAGGTTTACATAGCTCAAGAAATAACAAGTAAGTCCCACAATAATGCAGTCAAGGCTCAAGTAATCTGGGAACTGCTTGTGTAACAAAGAATAGCAGAACTGATAAAAAAATTTTTTTAAAAAATCATCTCACTTAAAAGATTTTATTTTGTAATTTTCCCATTATAAAAGACAAAATGTTAAATATTTGGTAAATGTATTCAGTTGATACTAAAGATTGAATTTTCTTGAGAACAGAACAGTTTATACTAAAGAATGAACTTTCCTTGTTATAATTGTAATAAGAATTAGGATATTATTAATGTTAATAAATCTATGTATTTCTTAAGATATCATTTTAATATTTCAGTTTCAATAAAAAAAGTGACACTTTTGGATTTACAGAAGTCCATTTCATATGAAATTAAATTTAGTTGTTTGAATTTTTCAATTTATTTGAAAATTCTTGCTTAATTGATAAATTTCTGAAAATAGGCAAAACTATCTGGTTGTAACAAACATTTTCCGCTAAAAATAAAGTTGTTAATAAAGTTAGGAAAAAACATGAAAGCAGTACCTTTAGTATGGATAGCAAAAACCACCCAAATCTATGACTATCTGTCAATGTTTTGGTAGTTTTTCAAAGCCTTTGGTCCATATACTTGGTGGCCACGAGTCCAAAAACAGATCAATCTCATTTCAGATGTCCTGTGCAGAGTGCAAGATAGCACCAGGAAGATGTAGCTGCAGGTATGAAAAAGGTAAAATTCCAAAGGAGCGACGTCGGGGCTATATGATGGGTTTGGCAAAAGATCCTATTCAAGTCTGTATGTGTGTGTGTGATTATGGCAAAGCCTCGAGAGCTATTTGCCTAATGAAAGGGATGCCTTCATTTAGGATTTTCTGAGGGAAATTGGCTCGTATACACGTTACACTTAAGGAAAACTATGAAAAGGCCCATGCAGCCAGCCCGGTCACGGGATTCGAACCTCGGACTGAACTACCAGTGTTCAGCGACTTTACCGCTCGGCTGCTATTGGGCTCCATTCGAGTCTGTATAGAGTCCAGCCAGTAAATGCAGACACATATATAGTCTTGCATTGCCTTGATGGAACATTACTTTTTTGCGCTGGAATTCAGTTCGATGTTTATTCTTGATAGCAGCATGAATATGGGCTAGCATCTCACTGTACACGTTACTGTTCAGAGTTTTATCTTTTTCCAGATACTCTTTGTGGATAATACCACAGCAGTCCCACCAGATACAATGCAAGATCTTTTTGTTAGTCAAATTGTGCTTTGCAACACTGCCAACGGGCTCACCGGGCACAGACCAATTCCAAAGGACGCTTTTCAGCCTGGTTGTTGAAGTAAATCCACTTTTCATCACAAGTGATAATCCGGTCCAAAATTTTGTCTTTGCGTTGATGTTTGAGCAGATTAGTGGAGGCCTAAACACGTCTGTCCTTATCTGCTCATGTTAGCTCATGCAATGCATAGTGCGACTAATGGGCATGGCACTAATGCTTAACACCTTAGCAAGCTCTCAAGTGTTTGCATATTTATCTTTCTCCACAAGTTTTTACAGATAGGCTTCATCAACATCAATAGGCCGTGCAGAGCACTATGCTTCTTGAATGTCATAGTCCTTGTTTTTAAACTTTCAGTACCAAACCTTCACAATGTTATAAGATACAACATTAATACCTAAAACTGTATGCATGATTTGGTGGCATTCTCTAGCTGACTTTTTGCAATAGAACTGGAAATGATGGTTCTAATCTAGTAACATGATAGTTCCATTTCAGACACCTTGTACTTGGTGATAATGATATTTTTTTACAAATTTCAAAACACAGTGGTCTTCTCTTTCTTTCAAATGCCAAAAATCGTTTGACAGAATATGATTAAACATGCCAATGCACACTGTTTTCGCAGGCGATATTTGCGGTGGCGGGAAACTGTTGTTAAACCGGATATTTAGAAGCTGTAAAATGAAACTATCACTTTATAGATTTATGTCTAGAAGAAACTATGTGCTTTTTCCCTGTTACTTAATAACTAGTTATTTTAAAACTTTCATTGTATAAAGTGTTGTTAAGAGAAGGAATTTTATTTATTATTTATGTATTTCTACGTTGTCATGATTTATGTACTTTTACATCTGATAATGTAGACATTTCTACATGTTTCTGCTACATACTGACATCTCTACATGTTCATGATTTATGTATTTCTACATCTACTGTATATTGTCGTCTTAATAATCCATCATTTTTATCAAATTTTAAATAATTCATTATAATAATTTTTGGTATTAAGTAGTTAATATCTGTGGGTATGTAGGACCTGATGACAGGCGATATGCTGTTACAACAGATGTTGTAGTTGCTGAAAACACGTATATTCAGTTTGAACTTGTTATGGGCTGCAGATCAAGTTCCGCTACTTGTTATGGTAAGTAAATTTGGAATCAAATTTATCATTTATTTGCAGAACTTTTGTTATTAACTCTCAAGCTTTAATTAAATATATTTAATTTATAAACTGGTATTTTTATTGTTTTGACTTGTGTTTAATTCATCAAAAATCAAGTGTTATTAAAGTCAACTGTAAAATACGAAGAAACCAATTAGTATTAGTAGTTAATAGAAGAAAATTTTTCATTTAACTGTTTTTTTAATTATTATTAACCATCATTATTTAAATAGTTTTTAATAAAATTTCAGTAATTTTCCCCCTGTAAATATTTATTTTACTTTGATATTTGTTTTATTTTGATATTTATTTATATTTTACTTTAATTGATATTTTCATATTTTTTTAATTTATCCTATGGTGGGATTCTTTTAGAAATTTTGTTGGAGTATAGTATTGATATGGGCAAATCATGGGATTTGGTGCAGCATGATTGTCTTCCCATGAACGCTGATTGCAGTGACTTTTTTGAGGGCAGTGTATTTTTCTCAGACATGTATCAGGACATCACTCGAGTTTCTGTTCCCTTACCGTATTACACCAGGTATTTCTTTGCATTGTTGTGATAATTTCTATACAGCTTATGATATTTTTAAAGGTAATACGCTATTTTTGTTTCAAATAGAGGCTAAATATTTTTGTTGTACTTAAAATAAATATTTATTACTTAAATTGCTTTAAAATGGAGGGAGGCTGTAAAAAAGGTATTGTAGTATAAAAATTTCTTTTTTTTTAATAGTGATATCTGTAAAAATATTGAAGAACTTTTCATATGACTTCTCCATTTACTTTTAGAACACAGACTACAAGATTTCGTTGGATTCAACTCCCAGAATTCAAATCTTCTCAGACCTGGGCAATTGGACATTTATACATAGGCGAAGAATGTAAATACATGTGTTCGGGTCATGGCAAATGCAGCTCTGGTGTATGCAAGTAAGAAAAAAGGCTAAAATCTCTATTTTTTCCCTCCCATCTTTTAGCTTTTATTCTTAATTAATATGTGCATATCAAGTGTATTATATAATGACTTAAATAAACTGTTCTTTCAGCTTGTACTGACATTAAAATTCATCTAAATCTAATTATAATATTTAATTAGAAAAACCACTACTTAAGTTTATTTCCATTCAGCTTCTTAAGCTCATTTTGTAAATATATATTTTATTTTTTATTAATATTATATTACTGTCTTTTTGTTTTTGGCGAAAGATGTGATGATGGCTGGACAGGTACTTACTGTGAAGAATCGAAATCTCCTTTACCAACAGAATTGAGGGACTCGTTTGTATCAGAACCTTCTAATAGTAAATATGCCCTTATTGTAGGGGGGATATTATCTGACCTGTGTGGGCCATTGGCATCTGGAACTTCTTTGCATTTCTATGGTGTAAGTTTATTAAATGAAAAATAATGTAATTTAAAATAATTATTGAACTTCAAAATAATCATTTGGATTAATAAACTATTCTGAGTTATAAATAAAAAATGAAATAATTTTGAATTAATAAATAAAAAATTTTGAATTAATAAATAAACTTTTGCACAAAAGTTCATATAATTTTTCTGATGTTTATTCATGGGTGATTAACAACAGTCACACGAAACTTACTTTAGAAGATATGGTTTACATTTAGACTATTAGAGACTAAATGTGGTAAAAATGTGAAACTTTTTTTAAACTAATTCATTTTTGCACATTGGGAGTTGAAGAAGATAATTCTGTATTTAAACCATCGAACCTAGTCCTGCAAAATTTGCAAATGTAACACTGATTCTTGTTGTTTGACTTTTCCAATGATCATTATTTGGCATGTTATTTTAACATTTATTAACCTGAATTCTTTGCTTGCCTGTTTAAATACTTTTTAAATGACACATACTGTCTGAACTAAATTTTAATTATATATTGCTTTTCTTGTTGGGAGAGGGGGTGGTAAAATGAAAATGTGTGTTAATGTGTTTATATCAATGCACTGTCTCCTTTTCAACTGCATATCTATAACCATAAGATTTAAGCTTGAAAATGTAACAGAGATTTCTCCTTGTTTTCTAAAGCAATTTTTTTAATCACAAGTTTGCGCTTTTGGAAATTTATATGTTAAATCATTTTATAGTACTGTTAGAGCAGCTTTAAACCTTAATAACACTTAATAATAACTTTAATTCTTTCTATGTCTACATTTTGTGTTAATATTTTGAAAATAGAGACACAAATTTCACAGGTTCTAATTCTTACAGTATTAACATTATTTAAAAATAATTTATACTTTAGCTTGAGAACATATGTTCATTTGCATAATATTAATCCCTGTAGCAAGGATTCTCTAAAAACTGTGGCTATTTAATTAAAAATAACTTTCCTTTTAGACTTTACCTTCTAGATATATATTTCTTGTTTATTAAACCAAGATAAAACACTCTCTAGATTCCAAGAAACACTCATTATGTGTCATTATGAAATTATCTTGTTTTATGTAATATTTCCTACATAAGTTTATGGTATTTAAAATAGGAAAGAGATTTTGAGTTTGTTCTAGTTTAAAAATAAAAATAAAAATTTAATGCAAATACTTTCAGATTATTTTCAAGTTTATTTTTAAAACTGTTTTTTTATTATGACTTCCATACAGCATGTTAATAAACTTTTTTCTTTCTTTCTTTTAAACAGAGCTGCAGCCGGCAAATTGTAACAAAAGATTTGAATTTAGAGAAAGCAAGTGTTATTACCTTTTACTTTCGTTATGGATGTATTTCTGCTCCAATAAATAGCAATCATACAGTTTTCCTTCAGTATTCTCTAAATGGTGGTATTATTTGGAAGACAATGAAAGAATTATACTTTAAAAGCTATTTAATACCTAGGTATGCTAATAAAAGTTTAATAAATTCTTGCTCTAGTTTACTAAACTATTACAGTCAAAAGTCGTTAATCTGGACTCGTCGGGACTTCGGCGATTCCGGATTATCGATTTTCCCGGATTACAGATCATCAGTTTAAATCTGGTAAGATGGCATGCAGAAATTCTAAAATTAAAAATATGAAACCATAATTTATGAAATAAAGAACAATTATGATCTAAAGGGTATCAAAATTTACAAAAAGAAAAAGTTTAATATTTATTTGTTTACTTTATTAAACATTTCTTTCAATGTAAGTTGTTTAAGTTGCTTCGTTTCATGGGATAATACTTTCTCCTTAATTCGTATTAAACAACATAATTTCTTGTTTAGTTACAAGTTCCACTGTTCAAGTCCTATAATTGCGTGTCGAGAATGCCGACTAATTCGTCAAATCGAAATTTTTTCGTTTTCAATACCTCTGTGTCACTTTCTTCACATTTAATGTGATTTAAATCATATCAAAGACGGAATACATCGAGATGAAATACTACATTTAGTAAGGAATTATAAGCCGAATAAAATAAAAACATTTGCCCTGAAGATAAGGATAGTGCTGACAAATCAACTTCCAGTTCATTGCGCGCCGCGATCGTTTCCCCCCCCCCGCAGAGCAGCATGAAATTGATAAACAGATTTCGGAATGGTTAAGATAATCAAAGGATATGCCTTTATTCCATTTTTTGCAGCAATTCCACTTTTTGTTTAATGGACTTCGAAACATACTTTCGCTTTGTAGATCCTGTACATATTAGTAAATATATATCGGAAATTCTGTTTGACATAATCGAAAGTTCAAGCTTACTTTTATAAAATTGCTCTAACAGTCTGCAAAAAATAATAAGTCGGATCCAATTCAAAGATTAAGGAACAACGCAATCTGCAACATTAACTGAATTAGATAATTTTAGCTTAGCTTATACTGTCCGTTATACATTAAACGATCATGCGTAAACGTATTATGCGCATGCGCACACGCATATTTGCAGCCATAAAGGTCTTACGCACACACGTAAACGCCTATGCGCAGAAAGTTTGTAGCTTTGAGGTCCGGATTATGGGTGTCCGAATTAACGACTTTTGACTGTATTATTTAGTTTAGTAAACTAGAGCACTATTAAAATTTACTATTAAAATTTTAAACACTATTAAAATTTACTTTTTATCCCATTCTGCATATAAAACTTTCCATTTGTGAAGGAATCTTCTCTTTCCTTCCTTATTTGTGCACCTTCATAGTATATTTGAAAGCATATCTACTAAGAAACTGGAAGCTCTTGAGTTTGAGTTCTGATGAATGCATTATTGATTTTTCATATTTTCTGCTCCAGTTTATACCCTAATGACTCTGCAAGTGGCACTCAGACCTTCAGACCTTCTGATTGCTGCCAGTCAGTTGTGCTTCCAATTACACCATGAAAATATGGAACAAGGAAAGAGAAAATACCTTACAATGTAGTTTGAAGTATTATTTATTTTTTCCTTTTTTTTAGTTCATTATGCTGCTTTTGCAACTGATATAAAAACATTTTGCAGTTATGTAGCAGTTCCGCTGCCAGATGATGCCCGAGCTAAAGTTGTACGAATTCGCTGGTGGCAAGCACAGCATTCAGGAAGAGCACATAATGATTGGGCTATTGATAATGTGTTCATTGGAGGTGTTCTTGAGGCACCTGACAAATATATTGCCTTAGAAAATGGTCGTTTTTTGGTAAACAGTGAATGGATTACCAGCACTCATATTGAAAATGCAGAGTATTGTAACAGTGGTACTTCAGTTGCTGTTGGTAAATCTATCAGTAATGAAAATGCCGTTTTGGAGACGATAGATATACACATAAAGAAGCACTATGTCTTAGAATTTATGGTGAGATATTTTACAAACTTTAAATCTTAATTGTATATAATCAAGATGATTTTTAGATTGAAATTATAACTTTTCATTGAAAAATAGGTTTAGATTTTAAATTTTATCTTGTCTAAAACTAAGAATTCTGTATGCAAAAACTACTTTTTTAAAGTTCATTGTATAGTTAAGTTATAATGTATAAATTTCTTTTTGGTTACTTTTAATTATTTTAGTTTAACTAACTGATTTTTTATTTTAAATTATTGTATTTAATTATTTTTATTATGCTTGAGTACAATTAAATATTATTCAATCATTTTCTCACAGAAGTGGATCTAATTATCTGCAACAAAGTCTCTAATAATGACTATAATGATAGCTTTTAAAAATATCATCTGGTGTGTAATTAGTGAAATTATTGCATATTATTAATAAATAGAGTGTTTCAGTGACTACTTATTAGTTTATATTATCTCGTCTGTAAGCAATAATGAAATTAGTTTTTTTTTTATCTGAATATTTTGACCAAGTGTTTTTCATTTTTAATTATAAGACATGTTTTTAAAGTAAGTACTGTTTGGAAATAAAAAAGAAACAAGTAGAATTTTCTTATTAATTTTATTTTTACATGAAAGCCTGCACCTCATTCCATTTTTCTAAATAATTTCGGCCAATATTAAGGTATTTATAATATCGTACAACGAATTTCTAAATCCTCTCTTCATAGAAGTCTGCCACCTGATTTGACACTGCGGCATGGTCATTTTGATCTCATTGTTGTGATGAAGACTGCCCACATGTTTCTTCAAATGCAAGAACATGTGATAGTCACTAAATACTAAATCAGAACTGTAACGGAGAGTGATCAAATTGTTCCTAGCAATAGACATGATGAGATCTTAAGTTTGTTTAGCTGTAGGTTTACAGGCATTGGCATGAAGCAAAACAATTCCCCTACTCAGCATGCCAGCCTTTTGCTACTCAGCCTTTTGCTTTGGATTGCAAGAAACAGTTTGTTTAAGGTCTCGCAATATGTTATATAATTTATTATATTACCATGAGGCAAAAATCAACGAGCTACACCATCTTCCTGTTCTAGAACACAATACATATGATTTTCTGGACTGAAACTCTTTGCTTAAACTTGCATCTTCTGTTTCACTTATTTGTCAAATTTCTGCACCAATAATGTTCATCAGGTTACCTTCTTTGTTCATCGTTATGAACATTTGTGTGACCGTCTTTAAAAGCTCTAACCCATTTCTATACCATTTCATCACTCGTAATGTTTTTTCTGTGTGCTTCTCTAATTTGATGATGAATTTCAGAATCATCCATGGTATTTCACAGTTGGACGGATCCTCAATCAGTGGAGTAACTTTAAACACTGAAAAACAAATGGTACCACGGTCTAAAGTTTCCATAAAGGCACCTGTGGCTTTCCAACAGATATAGGTAAACAGCACACGTGTGTGCAATGCCGACCACAGTGCTGCCATGCCAGAATTTCAAAATGGGACTACTTTAAAAACATGCCTCATAATAAGATAATTAATGTAACTTTTTTTTTTTTTTTTTTTTTTTTTTTTAAAAAGAGTAAATTTGTTTTAATGTAAACATTTAAAGGTCAAATTTTAAGGTTTACATAAAAGGCACTTTGAAATTGGGATAGAAATGCAGACAAAATGAAAGTACTGCATTTTTTTAGAATGGAGGATAAAGGGAAGAGACAGGAAGCGATGTTATTTTCTTATTTTAAGGTAAAATAAAAACTAAACTGCATATATTAGCAGCTTGAAATTAGTTCATAAGCGAAGAACTTGCTTTCCGGTTTTTGTATGACTGCTGCATTATATTTTCAGTGTAATCAATTATAGCATTAAACATATTTATTTAAATTTATTAATATTTCTAATGCAGATTAAGAAAATCCTCATGAGTAATCGAGTGCTTCAGGCCTATGGATGCTAGTAGTTGACCTAAATTCAAAGCCCGAATACGAGCTGGCAGCATGATGTTGTTTATAGTTTTTTTCTCAAGAGTAATGTGAATACAAGCCAGTTACTTTTAGAAAGTCCTTCATGGAAGCATCCCTTCCCTTAAGCAAATAGTTCTTGTGTATTTTGCCATATCCAGATAACCTAATGTAATATAGCAGATTCTGAATATACCAAAATAATTATTACTAAAGCAGCCGCATAATAATTTGAAAAGCAACACTTATAATTAATAATTTATACATATTTTAGTACATTATTTATCCAAAAAGTAACACAAAATAAAAATTTGGTAAAACTGTAATTAATTATTTTAAATAAATAGGTTAAATTATATTATTTGAATAAAGCAAAGAATTTAAGGGACATGTATGCTTAAACTCCATTTTAACTCTGCAGTAAAGCACATTTGTGATAGAGTCCTAGGGTCTCATTCTGCTGTTTCACCATCAGTCTTTTCAGAGAACTTCTGGTCATTTTAAGTATTCTCATTCTGCTATAATTTCAAATATCTACATCTATGTTTGATGCAATGTTGTTGTTTAGCTGCATATATTTAAGTTGTCTAAATGATTATTGATTTTTGCATATAAAGTTTTTTTGAGACTAAAATTTACATCTTCACAAAGTAGAAGAGAAAAGGAATTATTTGATACAGATGATAACTCGATCGGACTAACCACCTGCAAGTTATTAGAGTTTCTATTTTTATCTTAGAAGACTGAATTTTTGTATATAGAGTACAATTAAAAAATGCCTAATGTCTAGGTACATACCTTTTAGTTGACATTTAGTAGAAGTTATTAAAGCCTTATAATTACTTGTTACATACTTATAATATAGAAAATTAGCTAAAAATAAGCCAAATTTTATCCCAAAATTTTTAAATATATTGTAATTTTAATCTTTTTTCGTAAATTTAATATAAAATATTTAAAATTTGAATTTATGGAAGCCATTGTTGAATCCTCATTGCAAAAATCCATACACAGTACATACAATTTTATTTTCACATGCAAAAAAATAATTTATTAAAATATTAATATCCTCACATGTTATAAATAAAACTATTAAAATTATATTATTAATAATAACCTAAAAACAAATAAAATTCTTAAACAGTAATAAACAATTAAACTTAAAGTTTATTTCATTATTTCTACTTATAATAGCGATTTCATATATATATTTCATATTTTCATATTCATTCATATACACATCACTTCATCATTCACCATTGGAAGATTTTTATTTAAATTGTAAAGTACTGATAGGCTAAAATTTCAACAGTTGTTTTGACATTAAAATTATCTTTTCTTCCCTTAAATACCTATTAAAATACAAACAATTCTATTACATTCCAGATTAATTTTGCAATTAACAGAATGATCACATTAAATGTATAACTTAATTAGCACTGGATTTACAATAAAATTTTGTTTGAAGACTTGAACTTTCAAACAATAGTTATGTTTTTATAATTAAGTTTAATGGCTTCCACTAGTCCTTCTATGATTGCTTCACTTAGTGGATCAGTAATTACAAACAATTCTAAGGCAGATAGTCCTGCAAAAACAGTTAGCTTGATTTCTAGATTAGTAAGAATCACTGTTCTGTCACAAGCTTTCTCCAAATGAAAACTGTAAAAAACCATAAAATTAATAAAGTAGATAGAGAGCAAATATCTAATTACGTTAAAGGTATTTTAAATCAGTGTCTGATCAGGAATTTATGATAGCAAAACAAGTGGGAAAGGTTTTACAGTTATAGGAAAAAGTAAATTTTAGTACTGTCATGTAAAATAGTGAGATTTATTTAATTTTTCCTGAATTCAGAGAGACTAAACGACAAGAATAAGGTAAAGGAGAATTATGGAAGTAATCAGAAGACAACAAAGAATCCAAATCAAAATCTGATTAAAAAGAAGTCAGATCATGTTCTCTTAATTAAAGGCAAAGATGAAGATTGCAGCCCAATAATATTAAATCACAATTGATTAATAGTGTAAAACCACATAAACTTGGATTAAAATCTAATGAACTTCTTGCAAAGAAGCATAACACCTATAAAACTACATAAAACAATAGAAGAATCTTCTGCACTCAAAGAATATTAAATACTTTGAATTAGAAATTTGAATATTCGAATTCCTTGCTTTCCTCGAGAATCATTTATAGTACTTGGAGTAGCACAAAATCTTACTTCGGAAGAAATTCAGCAAGCTATTGACAATTTAATTCCTGTAACCTCAAGTCAAGTTTTCTGTCCTAGAAGTTCCTGGGCTTAAAGTGACGGCTATTGTAATTGGATTATAGAAGTAGTGCAGAACATCATCTAAGAGTTTAATACTGAATTTTCTTTGTGCCTTTTTAGGGATTACATCAAAGTCAATCACTGTTTTAGTTGTTAGGCCTTTAGGGATTTTAGTAGATTTTGAAATTCCTTCCAACCTGTTCTATTTGTGTTTAAGGACATTTTACAATAGAGCAGAAGCAGAGAATTGTGCTAATTGAACACACTGTAATAGACAATCTAACACAAAATTTGAAACAACTTGTAAAGCTAGCTTGAAGATACGCCCTGTATACCGGCAAGAACTATAACATCTCAGCAAAATCCATAGGTCACGCAGTTTTAAAGTATGCCTTCAACTGAAAAATCTTAGATTCTTACAAGCAAATCTTCAAAGAACTATTGAGCAGTCTCATACCATCCGCAAGACATAGTCCCTTTAAGACGTTTTTATTTTTTTGGGGGGGCTGAGTAGCACAGATTAGATGTCGCTGCGGAGAGGTAGCGGATTCGGATATCTACCTGTTCCACTGCACAGGAACAAAGAATGCACATCTTAAAACCTAATCAGCTTTACTTGCCTAAATGGGCAGAAAATATGCTTAAAAAGGAATTTGAAAAGAGAAAGTTGCAAGAAATTCTTAAACACTGTCATCTATAAAATAGGATGATAAACAGCTTCAACAAAGATTAAATTGGAAACAGTATAAGGTATTTCTCCCGCCTTCTTGGCATGCCTTCGTGATGTGGTGTTCTGCACGCTGGGTGCGTATTCCAGAGGTCCGTGGTTGATTCCCGGGAAGGCGTTGCTCATTTTTCATCTCTCCTGCTTCCAAAAATACCTAATGTCTCTTACAAGTGGTGCTTGAACTTAAAAGGGTGTTGGATGATGATTCTCCACGTCCAGGATTTGGTGATTGGGTCCCCTAAAACCTCAGTCGCCCACTAAAAAGGGGAGTATATGAGGTATTTCTCCCGCCTTCTTGGCATGCCTTCATGGTGTGGTAGTCTGCATGCTGGGCGCGCATTCCAGAGGTCCATGGTTCGATTCCTGGCGAAAGCGCTTGCTCGTTTTTCATCTCTCTGGCCTCAAAATAAAACCTAATGACTCTACAATGGTACTTGACAAATGAATTTTTTTTTAATTTATTTATTCTGTAATACTGTTTCATCATTAAGTATTTTTTTTATGTAATCTTGTATTTTCTATATTGTCTCTTTTGTATGTATTGTATGTTATGATTTCGTATTTTGTTATAATTTTGTATCTGTTAGAAACTATGCTTGATTTGCGATTGCATATGCCTTATTTTATAGCTTTGTATTATGTAGCATTGCATTCTTGTTTTAAACTTTTGTGCTTTCCTCTTATATTATTATTACGTTTATATTGTGTGTATTGTACTTTTGTTTCATATTTTGAAAAAAATGCCATCTGATCTGTTAACTCATCCCTTGGGGGTGGAGCAGATAGTAGATGGCATTTGCCAGAATGTCTTAATCTTAGAATTCAAACCTAAATATAACAGGTGTCCAAAGAAGTTCATTCCATAGTTTTTTAGTGAGAAATAATGACCTAGTAATTTCATGCAAATTCATTTTATGCAGCAAAATAATCTCCTTCAGCTTCAATTACATGTTCCTAACGATTTAGCCTGCATTTTTAAAAGGTCTTGTCTCTAGAGCCAAAACATTGTCCTGCGGCCTGCATGACATGTTATCCGTTTTGTAACTGTTGCTCGTGTAAATGGTTATCCATGGCCAAAACCAAATGATAGCCAGATGAAATAGTGCTCCGAGAGTAATTTTGATGAGTTAAAACTTCTCAACCAAGTGTGTTGATGACCTCACTGTATGATGTCTATCATTCTTTTGAAGAATGATCACTCCTTTCTTATTGACTAGTGCTGGCTGCTTCTGATACCGTGCATCTGAAACCCTCCGCAACAATGAGAAGTACACTTTGGCTGTGATCATTTTGCTGCTCTCTAACAATTCAAAGTCCACAATATCAATGATGAAACACCACAGAGCAGTACCTTCTGTTAATGAAAGTCTTGTTCGGAGCCAAATGCCACAGAATGAGGGAATGAACAAAAAAGTTTTTCCTTTGCAGTTGCTGCCCATTTCTTGTCTCATGTCAGTATCTGGTCTAAGAATGGAGCCTTCTTGTGGTATGAAAGTAATGAAGAAGAAATGTTAAGTATCCAGAGTTTGGTTTCTTTGGTTGAAATGAGAGGAATCCACTTACTGAGCACCCATGTCTTCCCAAGGTTGTGTAGATGCAATCAAATGGTTTTCTCCAATATTGGAAACCTTATACAAGTTCATTCCAGGTTTGATGTGAATTACACTCAATATCCTCCTCCAACTTGGAGGTTGTCATCGATAATGGATGGATGAATATCCAACTTCCAGGCTTGTCCTGGAGGCTCTCATCTCCTGGTGTGAATCGACTGAACTACTCTTGTGCTGTGCGCTCAGTATTGATAGCGGTCCAAACACGGAGCATATTTTCCAACAGATTCTGCAGCACTGCTACCCAGTTTGAACTATATAAAGTAAGCATGGCTGTAAGTAATCCTTTGAAACTGACATGTTTATTTTAAAATTGTAGTTCTTACAGAGCTGCTTTTGACATGACTGACACACCTCACAACTTTGCACTGACTGTTAATAGCTGATGGAAATGTCAACATCTGAAATCATCTCAACAGGGTGTCTGGCACCTTCTGTTTAAATTTTACTTCTTGCTCCAGTGGCATGAACTTTTTTGGATGCCTGATAATAATAATTCATCTTGTGTTTACCTTAATACCAGCTTGATTGGTTTTAATATTCTTATTTGTGAATATAGAATGAGTGATTAAGAATTATTCCTTATATTCCCAAATTAGTTCTCTATTGGATGCAATGAAAGTTGGGAAGATCCTGGTATGCCAGTAAGATTAGAATATTCTGTAGATTTTGGAAATTCATGGCAAGAAGTAGTTCAGAAATGTCTTCCTATGGAGCTTAACTGCTCTGGTGTTGCAGAATATCCATCTGTTTATTTTACACCGGTACCATGGAAACGATTTACCTTTCCTTTGCATGGTGATTTTATTTCTAAGTATGTATGAATAGCATTTTCTTTTCAGCATTTAATTTTTTAATCATACCCTGTATTCATTTTCCCTTTAATTTTTAGTTTTAATAACTGGCATTATATTGAAACTTTGAAAATTTCTATTAAATATTCCAAGATATTTATAATTTTCTAAATTATCAAGGAAATTTCAAATTTTTTCTCTAATAATGGAAAAAAGTACTGATTTGCCATATGTATCTGTGTTTGTTACATAAAAATACTTAGTGTTTTGGGCTACTGTGGAACTAATTTAAAGTAATAAAATGAAAAAAATAATTTTAGAAATTTTGATAATTCTTTTAAAAAAATCTGCCAAATCATATGTAGTATGTTTGTGTATGTAAGATAAAAAATATTTGAGGCAAAATTCTAATTTTAATTTGAAATAACTCTCTATTTTAATTTGGGTATTTCCTTTTTAGATCCAAAAAAATAGTAACTGCTTATAATAAATTGATGTGAATTGCATAATTTCAAAATTAATTCATGCATAATGCTAGTTATTGCAGGCACTTACTTAAAAAGCTTTTTGTCCAGTAATGATTTCAGTTCAGAAGCTGAAACTTTTTATTAAACAAGGGGAGTCTGAAAAGCATATCGTATTCTTGCTCTTGTTTGCTGTCCTGCCAATATGCCACTGCTTATCTCTATTCCATCAATCATGTACTAATAATAAAGATGTAAAAGGGTACAAATGCGATGAAAATTTGGTGTACAGTTTGGGCCCATTATGATGTATAATTCATATTTAGAATGTGCTTCTTAAGAAATAAAATTCTTTGAGATGGATTATAAGTGTTTTATAAAGTATTTTGAGATTATTTTTTCTTTTTATTATCATTTTTGTTTTTGCACTCAAATAGTCAAGAAGAACATGAAATATTTATTCAGTAGTAATGTTCAGTACTTAATTGTTCTGATTTTAATGTTTTGAAAAATTATACCGCCAATGAGTCTATTTGAGGCATGAAAATGTGAATAATTCATATGCTAACTTCAATTTCAAATTTTAGTATGTTTAAAAAAGAAATTAATTTTTCAAAGATTTTTTTTAGGAAATTTTTTTCAATTCAATATGCTTAAAACCTAGTTCAAAGTATTTTATTATTTCATACAGTTTTCTTTATATTTATTTACAGTTTTTTCTTAAACTTTCCAGATAGTATAATTTTTATATTAAAAATATTCTTTGCTAAAATTAATTTTTCAATCTTTAGCACTTGATTTTATATGTTTTATAGTCCCCTTAGTCCTCAGTTTATTACTTTTAATAATAGTTTCTGTATATGTATGTTATTGTTAGGTTTCAAGTTATTTAATAAGTCTTAAAATATTGCAATTTTTTAATGTTGTAAGTTTTATTAATTAAAAAAAAATTTAAGGACTAAATGAGATTATATGAAAAATGGCTTCTAGATTTTTTCTAACTTATCTATGCATCTTAGCACAAAAGATATAAATAAATACTATATTTACTTCTTAACCTATATAAAATTTAGATGATATAATCAATTTTAATAACATCAAATTTACTCAGTTATAGATTTCTGTTCAAATTATACTCAGTTTTTACAATACAGTTTTATACAAGTTTAAATTTTCTTATGAATTTTCTTTTACATCTATTATATCTATCTGCTTGTTATTTAGCTTAAAATTATTTGAAAAAGGAAAATGTTAATCAGAACTATTATTTTTATGAAAATAATTCTTTGTATAATATAAGTATTTTTAAACATAAAAATATTTTTTTAAATAACAGAACATATATTTTTTCATGATGAACCTATGTGTTGTTTTTTAAATAAAATTTTGATTTAATTAATTTTAACCATATTCAAGTTTTAATCTAAATATAATTTTAGTTTAATTTTTACTTTTTCATAATTCGTAATTTTATTGTAAATTAGTTGGACACGATTCAGATGGACACAAACAGCCACTCAAGATGCAACACCATCACACAAATGGGCAATTAAAAATGTGTATATTGGTCCTCAATGCCCACATCACTGTCATGGACATGGATCTTGCATATCGTTTAAATGCCACTGTGACAAAGGCTATTCTGGGGAAAGTTGCTCACACTCAGAAAATAATCCAGTTAGTTTCCTTCAGTTATTATTTTTCATATCAGTTTATTTAATTTATTTATTTGCATCTGTTAAAAAGTGCTAATAATGATCATGAAATTTCATATTCATAATTTACATAATATTGCAAGAGAATATGTTCTTTGAAATGATTGAATTCATATATCAAATTAAATTTTTTTGGCATGTGAATGAGAATTTTTATTACTGTGGAATCATATTTTAACAAAAATCTAATTTATAGATTGTATATTTTTAGGTGTTTTCACATTTTTCTCAATGCAATTCTTGTTTATGAACTTTTGGGTTTTATTTTTCTTCTTTTGGGGGGGGGCTTTGTGTGTAGATCTTAAGAAGCTAATAAAATTTTTTAAAAAATTCTTTCCATATATTAAGCATTTGAAGTAATTTCCTAAGCTCATTTTTTATTAGTAAATTTGTTTTTGAAGATGGAAATTAAAGCATGAATATCTTTTAAATTTCAAATTTTCTAGTTCATGGGAATTTTTGTGCATGTGAACACTTAATGAACTTACAGTATGATGCTTTTCATACATTGTATGTCAGTTTTTGAAAATAACTTTTATAACACATTCATCTACATAATTAAATACAATTTATCAGGTGTGTTTAATAAACTATTTTTCCCCTTTAAAACTTTAAGAAACTGTTAAGGGTTTATAAAAAATGTCAAAATTGCTGAGTTATGCTTGAAGAGAAAGAAAAACTAAAGAAAGTGAACTATTATTTATGGATGATGGTAGCAATGCTTATCTAACTGTATGCTTAATACAAGGGAGAAGGGCAAAAAAGTTAAATAAATGGCATTTTAAAGGGAGATTAAATAATATATTTTATATGCTTTGCAAGTTATTGCTGAAAATGCACTCTTTTAAATATGCATAGTTGACACCACAAATGTTTTCTTTCTTTTCTCTGCCTTCAAATGCTCTAATCTAAGTCAGACTCCACGCATTCTGTGGTGTCTTCTGAATTAAGAGGTGTCACTTAAATATGAGTAAGTATTCAAATGTAGAAGACAGAAACAATTTTATTTCAGATAGGTTTATGTTTAGGGCATACAGAAGATCATGCATTAAATGAATTTGTGTGTTATACATACTTCTGCATGGGTTCTGGATATATATTTACTACTTAATGTAGATGTGAACGTAATGTGCACATTTTGTGTAACAGACATTTAATAGCACAAATGTTTTATTAACACACGAACAAATCAAATAGTTAACATGAAAATAGAATCACATTTATCATTACGCTGGCATACAGCGGGTTGCTTTTTGTTACTATCCGTCTCTTCTCTTCTAATGTAAGTTACATGAGAAAGAGGCATTGCACACCATTCATATGTATAATATAAGTATTTTTTAACATAAAAATACTTTTTAAAATAACAAAGCATATATCTTTTTAAACTGCACATACGTGGTCATCATATCATCACACGGTATGAAATGGTTCAGCAGCTATTTGCGCTGATAAAATACAGATGGGATAGTAAAATAATTACATTATTGTCATTCATGGCTAATATTCTAATAATAGAAGCATAATAATGAAAGCCATCTAAAGCATAATATTCTCTCATAGGTGGTGACTGATTTTGTTCTTGCAGAGAATACATTCCTAGCATTTTTAAGAGTTGAGATGACAACATAGTCTAGTGGTAGCAAAACAACATGGTCCCATATGCATATGGTAATTTGCCTTGAACATTATTATTACCTTTTAAGAGGTAATGTTATTTTAGTCCACTCTCTGTATCAGACTAATTAAAAAGAAAACTGAAAAGAAAAAAAAAAAAAAAACAGCTAAGATTTAACATCTTATCTGGCCTAACACTGCTTCGAAAGTAGCTTCCTTCTACACTTATCAACCAATGATAAGAAGTCCCTCTGTAAGTGTATAATTGAATTATGTCTAGAAGCTTATGCGATTTGCTTTGAATGTGCTGCATGAAATTAAAGCAGCTGTCAATTTAGAAGCGAAATAATGTTACAAATACCAAATCTACAAGAAAAGGAGAAGAAATGCCACTGAAAATTTCATTCTTGCCAAAAAGTATTGCATTTTCAGAGCATTGTCAGATGATGTTGTGGTGAAGCAACCAATTTCCATCACTCTACAGATGTCTTTTTTTTTTTTTTTTTTTTTTTTTTTACAATTATCTTGTCACAGAAGACTCAAAATATCATAATAAAAGGTTGCCTAGCCTCTTTTGACTTATCTATGCATCCTATACACTAAAAAAAATAATAGTCTTGTATTTGTTGCATTCATAACTTTTTTGTTTTTTGGTTGTAGGGAATTTGTAATCAATTATTGAAGCATGTAGCTTCGTCTTATGATATAATGATTAATCAAACATATAGTTGCAACTGGAGACATTGACTGCGCATAGAACGTTTGCCACATTTCAATTAAAAGACATCCATAGGCACCCTGGCATGACATATGAATGCAGACGAGGATTACTGTTAAAGGGGCAGAAGTTAATGCTGCACTGTCCATGCTCATAGCTATAGCTGCCCAGTCAGTTTTTTAAATCACTATGGAATAGCTTCTGCATACATTTTGTCAGGTACTGAAAGCAAAATCGTGTATTTTGTTACTAAAGGTAAGAAAATACATCCTTTATTTTAGATTCATTCACCTATGTATGATCGTTTACTGCATACATTGGCAAATAAATCTAAAGTAAATAATCTAAAGTATTTTGAAAACCATTCATCATAAAAATTTGCAAGTGCAAGAATTTTTCTTCTGCAGTGTCTACATTATGATTGAAAAGTAAAAAATTTGAGAAAGCAAATTGTATTGTTTCATTGAAGCAATTGTATTGTTCATTCATAAATTCATTGAATCTTCTAGTCATATTCAATCAGAATTTTTTGTTTGTAAATTTATTTAGATATCATTTATTAACAAGATTAAGTTTCATTGCATCACAAATTAGCAACTACAACTAGAAACAATGGGGCTTCTTTTAAATATATTATATTAGGGCTTTTGTAATTCAGTACATGTATGAACGCAATAAATTAATTAAGCAGAAATTACTACTGAGGTTCATGACCAAATGTTTGCATGCAATAAAAATAAAATACATTTGAAAATTGCTGACAAATACAACTTTCTGGATGAGTATTCAACTGTTAACACAAATTTATTTATGTGTCATAAATCAAGTGGATAAAGTAATTGTACATTGGCATTTCATTCTATTTCAGTTCAAATATTATCTGTGTGAATATTTTCATTGCTTTCCTCATGTACTTCTCTCTGTGTGTTGCAAACATGAATGAGTTTAATTTAAGTAGTGCTAAATAAAAGGAAGCATCCAGGACTGGATAATCCTTGCATGCATTGTCGTAATCATTTATTTGTGTACCTGAATTTTATTCAATAAGACAAACACAGTTATTTTAAAATCGTAATTGACACCGTAAATAAATAAAAACTGATAAAAATTATTATACGTAAATTTATTATGAACTCGCACACTACCCTCATAATTACACCTGGTTTACTCATCATGGACCTCTTAGTTGTATGCTTTATTTAAATATTTGAGGCTGTTTACCTGCAAATAATAGTAACATAATAATTATTTTTGTGGAAATATTTGTGTGGCTTTGCTGAATCTGATTAGAACTTGCTTCATCAAAAAATTTAGTATACAAAAGGGAATTAATGTTTATTAATACTGTGTCTTTCATTGTATATTTAAGGTGGAAATATTTATTATTTTAAGTCTTTTTTTATTTTAGACATTTCTAAAAGAAAGTTTCCATGAAGCAAATCTTGATCCAACATATTGGAATTATGTAGTAAGTGGAAGAATAGCATACCCGTGTTCTGTTCTTGTGGAAGATACTGCTATTGTTTTCAGTGGTCCAGGCCCAAGAATTCTGGAGACAGTTGATTTAGATTTAACTGAAGATGCTAAGTTAAGTAATTGTTACAATATTTATGGCTCTTTTTATAAAATGGACAAATTAATTTTATTTCTAATTGTTTCTTTGGTTTGGGGATATAGGCAGATAGGCATTCTTTGTCATAATCAAACAAAACCAGTTTCTGCATAATACAAAAAAACGTATTTTTTCTAAACATTGTTGACATATTTTGAATAATTTGGTGTCTTTTCAGTCAGTGGAAGATTAGCCGAAAGGGAAATTAGTATACTCAGAGCAGAAATTTCTCCCCTCCCCCCACACACACAGAAAGGAAAGAAAGGGAAATGAGGCAGGTAATGCAAGTAAATTTCCATTTCCATTGAATAAAATCTCTTCTCTATCTCTACTTCTGTCTTACTTGCTTAACTTTTGCTTAAGTTGCTTCATGTCTTCAACTGGCTTATATTTGGCAACTATTTGCCAAATTTTGCATATTTATACTCAGAGCAAATTTCTCCCCTCCCCCCCCACACAGAAAGGGAAATGAGGCAGGTTGCAAGTAAATAATACCTTTCCATTGAGAAAAATCTTGCATCTCTACCTGTCTTACTTAGTGCTTCTTAAGTTGCATGTCTTCAGCTGGCTTACATTTGGCCAAATTTTGCATATTAATTAACAGCACTAACTTTTAGCATCTACAGAGCAGGCTATTTGTGTTTTCTTCTATTTGCATTTTACTTGCATTCTTACTTGAAGAGGAAAAATTAAACATGTTATTCTATATAATTTTGATTTAAAAAGAATCTAGACAAATTAAAGAAAAAATGCATGGATTTATAAATAACTCTCTTCCTTAATAAGTTTTAAAAGTAATTAGTTTATTCAGCTAGCTTGAGATTTCTGTCTTCAACATACTATTTTAAAAAATGATTAGACAACAGTAAATTCAAATTCTATTCCTGGAAGACAGTACTTTCATTTTAATTTGCAGTTATTTAATTTAATTAAATTTCATAGGATAAATTAAAAAAATTCACTGAAAAAAAAATTTCACTGATGCATATACCTCTAAATTATTATTTTAAAATGAAATGAAACAGCAAGCATAACATACATGGCAAATGGCTACATTCTGACTTTGTAGTTTAATCTCATATTTGATATTTCTGTGTTAGATACATAAATTGCAATCAGCATTAATTAGAATAGTTAAAGCTTTAAAGACATTATAAATAGTATTAAAATATAATCTCAAAAGCTTGTGAGATCATATTGTGAGTTCAACATGTGAGACAATTTGGAATTTTGATTTGAACTCATTTTTCATGGAAAAAGCGAAAAATATATGAAATGTTAAATGAAAAATATGTAAAATATGAATATAACACAAAATAAAATGTTTGATTAATTATACAAACATTCCAATAAAATGAGAAAGCTGCTCAAATGACTGAGTAGCAAAGTTACTAAAAAATGTAAGGGATAAGATAATTTTTCTTTTACGCATTTTGCAAGGGAAATGTTTCTGAAATTTCATTTCAGTTTATTAAAATTTTCGTCAGTTCAGAAAATGCGATGCTCCCAAATTAACTAGCTACATGGGCATTTTCTTACTTTTCTCCTTGTGTAATGTGAATGGGAGACAGTTTCCCTTAAAAGGTCTTCCATTAAGGCATCTTCACTTTAAGAATATTGTGCTTCCCCATAAAAACTATTAAACAAACAAACTGAAAATACAAAGCACTGTTAAGTTTTTATCATAATTTGGGGTGTGGTCAGAAATTTTATAATTCATCAAAATTTCCTCCAGTAAACTGAACAGCCACATGCAACTCTTTGCCTCCTTAAATATAGTTTTCTTTATAATAAGCAGTAGTTTAATTTGTATAATTAAATATATAACTAAATAACTAAGTTAAATGTATAATTCAAATATCATGCTATGATGCTTGTTTATACGTATCATCAACTTCGTTTTTCATAGTATATTATGCATATTATAATTTCAAAATGCATAAAATACATTAAATTGTTGAAATATTAATAAAAGACCAGAAAATTCATTTCTGGACTTTGAGCAAATTGTTTTAGAATGGGCTTTAACTGTTGAGACAGCATAAAAAGACATATATTTGGGAATACATTCTTGATTTATAATTTTTTCAGACTTTTTCTATAAAGAATTTTTTCAATTTTCAGTTTTTTTTATGCATCATTTTTAAAAATTAAACAATTTTATTCAAAATCATGCAACTTAATTATTTTAAACTATTTTCAGTAAGAAATTTGAAATTTCTTTATATCCATGTCAATCATTATTTTTTCTTCAAAATTGTGTATAGATTTGGTAAAGAAAAACTTTAAGTTCTATTTACAAAACACAAAATTCTTTATTACAATTAAAAGTATTTGTGTTATTCTAAATATTATAACATCATTTTTCAAATTTCTGTTTTTAATTAATATTTTTAAAATCAATTTCATTTTGCAATTATGAACAATAAATACAAATTCAAAGAAATATTTGATTTTCAAATAAAATATTTTCAGCAATTTTGGATTTTAAAGCTTAAAAAATATTTTTTTCAAAACACATTAATGATTTATTTTTTTTAATAAACAACTTTGATTAAAAAAAATCTTTTTATACTTATTTTCTTTATAATCGTTAATTTTTTTTGTTTAAAATGTAAATTGTTTGTTTTCATAATGCTTTTAAATATTGCTGCAATTATTGCTATATGCATTTTTAAAGATTGCAATCATTAAATTTTCTTTAAATTATGCATTAAATTTTGTTAATATGTTTAAACAAATTGCATTTTATTTAAATTCATTTGAATATCAAAAGATACATATTAAATTTTAAAATAAAAGAATAAAATTTTCATTAATTTTTTCATTTTCTTTTTTTCAGTTAATTATTAATTCTTTTAAATTATATGCAAAATTTTTCATATTCAGTTTTTTTAAATTTTTTTTCAGGGCATAACATTTCAAAATGACCAGTTTGAAATCATTGATGTTAACCAAAAATTAAATTTTGTAAAACATGAAATAGATAATAAAACAAATTCAAATTTTGGACTTCCAGATGCACATGTTCGGGTGGAGGACTGCATTATTGAATATTTGATTGCTCTAGGTACGGTTGTTTTTTCACAATGCAAAAAACATGCATGATCAAATTTATTTAATTTCTTTAAAAATAATACAGGATGCTAATATTCAGTTACAACAATTTGAAAAGTGATACAGTTAATCCATCTCAAATTAATATAAATTTATCTCATCATTGTTGGATAATTTCTTGCTTGAAATACTATAGCCAAACTTAAGACGTATTTTCTTTAATTTTAATTATAAACTAAAATTTATTCTAAACATGATCAAATTCATATGAATTGATTTTAGAGATTTTTGACTGTTCTGTCAAAGAAAGAATTACTGTCCATTAATATGCCAAATTTAACAGTTTTTGACCAAATGAGCAAAAAACTGAGAAAAGCAGACATTCAGGTAAAGTTGTTCATATGGATAACTTGGAGAAGAGGAAAACTGCCAAGTCCAGGCCAAAGTTGCTAAGTGTTTGGTTACTTGCACCTTTTTCTTTACGTGGGAGACAATTTTTGGCTAAAAGTAATTTATTTTCCTTTTCAGCTCAACTTCCACTGACTGAAAGTGGACATCATCATTCTGAATACTGCATTACCTTTTTTATGATCTTGCATAAGAACATAAAATCTATTTCATTTGTAATAAAATATGTTTAATGGTTTTTTTTTTTTTTTTTTTTTTTTTTTTTTTTGATTCATCAGATTTATTGTACGAATTGGAAGATATGGAGACAATCTGGCATGCATTGGTGCAACTTCTAGGAACAACAGTGCATACTTACAATTTTCTACAAATGGTGGTAAATATGTTTTATCAAATTGAATATTACATGAGATATTATTTAAATGCTTGAAAATGTTTTTGAGTTATTCCATTATTTTTACATAATGCCATTCTTCCTTTACTTTAAAGAAATTATTAAGTAATGCATTTATAATTATTAAAATATTATACATAGTATTCACATAATCATAACATGTCTGCTGAAGTGTCACTGTATTAGGGATACTTGATTAGTAATAAGTTATTTCTCTGTTAACCCTGACAATGTCTATCACATGCTGAGGCTTACTTTCAAAAAGTCAGCAGAAATGTTTCAGGGGTAAGCCGTGCCAAACATCTAGGATTTCCCATGAATGAATTAAGAACACTGTGATGTTGGATGATTGGATCGCACCTCTTCCTTCAAGATATACCAAAGGATTTAATAAATTTGGGTTCTTGGTGGCCATTTCAGAAAAGAGAATTCTGTAAAATGCTCCTCAGGGGAGAAATTGTCTTTTTGGAACACTCTATTTTCATCCAGATAGCAGAAAAGTGATAAGAAATGTGACTTTTGAGCAGTTTCACATACTTGTTGGTTCAAATAGCAAAGATCCCAAACATTGTCAAGGAAGCTGTCTCGAACCATCACTGAATCATCACAATCATCATGACCTTGTCCATTTTCAGACTGGCACATTGAAAGTTTGGCTTCATAAGGATAGTACCGTATTTCTAACCTTAAAGTCAGCTTAATGCATTTGGAATCAAGACTCATACCTGCATGCCACTTGCTTCCATTCATCAATGAACCAGTCATTGTGTTCTACAACTCATAGAAGGCAGATGCTGATACAGTGGCATGCTGTTGGATGTGGTACTATCACAGTTCTTTGGCTTCTGAAGTCTGTACAAAGAAATAAGTAGTCACAATTTATCTAATCAGGTGTAAAGAGTCAACTAAATGAGGCACCCTGTCTGGATTGCTCATGTAGTTAGGTGATCACCTGAACTAAGGTTTAGTGTTATTGGCTACACATGATTATGGCTGAGACTACAAAGATCATCATTCAAGATCATTCAAGATTGCTTTTAGATGATGATTTTTGCAATTGATCTTCAATTTTAGCAATTGCTTCAAGATGCTAAACTTACACTTGTGCATATCCTATGGGAATATCTTCACATGTTCAAAAATGAGGCAGCAGTACCAGAATATCTGCATAATGATATTTATCCTTAGGGATGAATAGCATTGTGTAGATGCATATGCACTTCATTGTGCATATAATATACAAAAAAGGTGAATGAAACCTTTTCTGCATATGAAGGCTTTTGTTATTATCCAGTTCTTATTTCATTTCCTGCTTCATTGTTATGAGAAGACACTTGAAGAAAGTAACTAAATGCTGGTATTTATATATAACAATAAAACCACTGCATAGAAACAGTTGTTAAAATTTCAGATTTTTTATCAGCAATTTGGTTGCCACTAAAAAGAAGAATCATTCAAGTTCTCTTTGCTTCATTAACTGAACAATACATTGTTGCAATTTAAAATGTACATTAAAGTTACCATTTGATTGACAATCATCCATCAATTTCTAGTGCTGAATTTTTATTTTCTTGCCCCATAAATATTTATAAGTACACACATACGCACAAAAAAAATTTCACATTAATGCATTAAAATGGTTTCATTAAAATGGTTTCACTATTTCAGTAATATTTAGTTACTTCACTTTTTATTAATTTTTTAAAATTTTCAATTATTTTGCTCATTTCTCAGGCATACAATGGCATCTACTACATGAACTGAATTATTCTCATGCTCATGTTTATCCTATAGTTCTTCCTGAGAATGGCATCAACTGGAAGTCGTTGGTGGCAACCATCAGGTTTCTTTGAAGATGCCTGCATTAGATGATGACATTTCTATTGATGGTTCTGAAATCAATGCATTTGAGTTATTGGATGATTTGAGAGCAAGGAACTTGATCCTACAAACTGGTGGTTTGGGCCATACTCTGAGGTGAGAAAATTGAGTGTATTTTTAAGTTCTGTTAGGTATTGTGTTGCCCATTTAAGTTAAATTATTAACCCATTGACTCATTTTATGAGAGAAATGGTTATTTTTATAGTAAAAACTGAACTCTGGGATGGTAGGTTTATGTAGATGTTTCTATTTTTAATTTTTTACTATCGCCAGATGTGCTCGCTTCTCCTCATTCTTCTCCGCACCACTTTTATGTTCACATTACTTTTCAAATAAAATGGATACTGCCTCTAAATGTTATTGTTATGTATTATTTTGAAAGAAATGATATAGGGAATTAAAAAAAATATTTTGGCAACACTTAATACTATATCAGGAATCCTAATGATATGCTGTTTTTAAAAATTTTGTGATTTTGCTTATTGAATTTTGTGTGGGGTAAGTGCAAAGAAAGGGATGCTTAATAATAAAGTTAAAAAGACAAAGATAGTTGTGCAGGTCATTTTGTTAAGAAAGCTATGCATTGATATGATGAATTCAGAAATGACAATAGAAAGTAGGAAAATTTATGGCAACATTTAACACACTATTGAGAATTCTAAATGTGAATCTACTATTGAATTCTATGTGATGTAAGAATTCAGTGGGCAAGCTACAAATTTCATAACATATGATACCATTTTATAATATAGAACCATTAATTGCCGAACAAGCATTTTTGTCTTTTAAATGCTCCCTAAATTTGTTTGAAAATTTAAGCATTGAAATGGTATCTAAGTCAGAAAATTCATTCTTTGAATATTTTTGTGAATTTGTCAGCCATATTTATGTGTTTAAATAAATATATAGGTACCCACCTACATACATGCATATACATGATTAGGCATAATGAATATTTTACTTGGAATTTTTGTGCTACCGATACCATATACAATATTTGATTTTATATTTATAGACTTCTTTGATATACATATTGAATTTATTTCATAACTTTCTCTATCTTGTTTTAAAAACCTTCTGTAACTGGAAATCATACTGATTTACTTCGAAAGAAAATTTACCACGCATTTATTAGATACAGAATGTCTTTAACCGATGTATCGACATCGGATTTAGTTCATTAAAAGGAAATGCTCGAATATAAATTAATATGAACGTAAATGAAATAAAGAGCAATTATGATCTAAAGGGTATCAAAATTTACAAAAAAAAAATCTTAATATTTATTTGTTTACTTTATTTAACATTTCTTTCAACGCGCGCATGCGTAAAGCATACATTACACATTGTCAAACTTAGAAAATTGCAACCAGAAAACTTTTTGATGTGTATTCGTGATATTTATAATGACGAAGAATTTGATTTAAATCATATCAAAGACGGAGAGATGAAATACTACATTTAGTAAACAATTATAAGCCGAATAAAATAAAAACATCTGCCCTGAAGATAAGGATAGTGCTGACAGATCAACTTCCATTTCATTGCACGCCGTGCGACCCCCCCCCCCCGCAGCAGAGCAGCGTGAAATTGATAAACAGATTTCGGAATGGTTAGAGAAACAAAGGAATATGCCTTTTATCCATTTTTTGCAGCAATTCCACTTTTTTTTTTTTTTTTGATGGACATCGAAACATGCTTTCGCTTTGTAGATCCTTTGGCAGCTCCAGAATCAGAAACTCTTTTTGACATAATCGAAAGTTCAAGCTTACTTTTATAAAATTGCTCTAACAGTCTGCAAAAAATAATAAGCCGGATCCAATTCGGAGATTAAGGAACAACGCAATCTGAAACATTAATTGAAATAGATAATTAGATAATTTTAGTTTATCTTATACTGTTCATTATACATTAAATGCGCATGCGTAAATGTGTTATGCGCATGCATAAAGGTGGTATGCACATGCGCAGAAAGTTTGTATCTTTGAAGTCCGGATTATAGATCATTCCGAATTATGGACGTCCGGATTAAAGACTTTTGACTGTAATAGAGTTTTCTTTTCTGCACTTTGTTAGCATGTGTAGAGTTTTAAAAGAACATTTGCATTCTCAGTTTTTTATTTAAAGTTACAAAGTGATACTCTGGCAGCATAATGACCATATGAAATGACTTTTCTGTAGATTAAATTCTTTATTATTTAACAGCTAGAATTTATTTATAAAATTGCATTTATATGGGAAAAGAAGACAATGCAGTAAATAGGAGTGGCTAAACTTCTTGTTAGTAGGAGACACATGTTGGAACTGAAGAGGATTCAAAAGTAATAAATAAATATTATAAATGTAGTAAACCAGATTTTGGATAGAAAGAAACGTTTCATATAATTAAATAGTATTTCACATTTTTTAATTAATAAAATCCAGAGCCAGATTTAGACTTGATAAGGCCTTAAGCTGTTTGAGATATGGGGCCGTTTATAAGTCTGTTATAATATATTTTAATACTATTTATACTACATTTTAATTTTTTGGGGTGCCTCTATGAAAGTTGGGGCTCAAAGATATAGCTTCTGGAGCTTATACGTAAATTCAGCCTTCATAAACTCATTTATAAACACGAAGAAGTAATTTTTTGCTCTTGCTCATTTATCAGGAAAATATGTCTAGTACTACAATGTGCCGAACACTTTCTTCCCCAAATAGAAAAACAAGTTTTTTCTTTCTAATTACAGCTACGAATCAATTTTTTCCAATTTTAATCAACTGCTTCATTCAAAATAAACTTTTTCTTACCCTCCAGTGGCCAGATACCTGCTGGGTGCTTAAATCCGTAATAATAGCTAAATTAATTACATATCTAACCTTGCCATCACTATTGCAAAATGTGCATCATGGAATAAATATATTACAATCACGAGGAGGCAAGAAACTAGCAAGTCTTACTTGGGAGTCAAACTTACATCTTTGGTTCTGGATTAGCAGTCAACTTCTTCTAGCATTTAGAGCAGCTGAAAAATAAAATGGTATCAGCAAAAGGTGTAGTAACTGGTACAGTAATGTAGAAAGCATTCTAGTTCACTGAAAAAAGTCAGTGGTTTGAA